ACTTTACATAACCGCCTGCTGCCATAAGTCTTTGACGCCAACCCATACCAGCTAATGAAGGTTGACTTGGTTTAGTTTGGAAACTAAACTTTGGTTTTGGTTTATCTTCAGTTTTTGGCTCACCTTCTTCTATCGGTTTTTCGTCACTTTTCGGTTCCTCTGACCTTACCTCACTTGCAGGTATGGTTGTGTCGTTAACATCTTCGTAAATATCATATGCCATTTGTTTTTGTTTTCCTTTCAACTTTTTGTGTTTGTTGTAAAGTTTAGAATATTTCGACTCTAAGTCAATGAGATGTTCTATAATGAACTGTTGGTCAGTGAAGAATACTTCCATCTGTTGTCTCGAAAGCTCCTTCAGACTTCAATATTTTATTTGTGAGAGTCTGTTTCTTTTTTGAGATACTAGCCGTTCCATTTCTATGAAAAGTGACTTTGTAGTTAGGGTTTGTATTTCCAGACCTGGCACTTTCTATTATTGAATTTTTTTCTTCATCTGTAAGTTCTTTGACAGGTTTTGACAATGGTTCTGAACTTTTTGTTTGTGGTGTCAAATCTACCGTTTCAACTTCTTCGGTCATTTCATCTCAGTAAAAAATTTTAGTTTGTTTGTTTTCAACTGGTTGTTTAGGTTTTTTAAGTCGGTCTAAAACTTCCTGAGGTATAGGAAGAACTTGACAAACACGTGGTTGTGTAACTGCTGGAAGTCGACAAATCCATCTTGAACCCATTTGTCTCAATGCTGTATTGTTCATTTCATCTCAGTAAAAAATTTACATTCCCCACGTTTGAGGTGGTTGCGGTTGGTTGTTGTTTACCCATTGTTGTGCATGGTTATATCCTCTGTTAAAGAATCTTTCACCTTGGTCCATATAGTGTCCTGCTTGGTTATAGTAGTCATTTGCTTTGTTATAATAGTTTCCTGCTTGTCTTCCTACATTGTCCATCCATCCTTGAACTTTTCCTCTTGTTTCAGGATTTGGAATAAGATTTGCTGCATCTCGTGCTACCTCCCAACCTTTCTGTACAGTTTGTATAATAGGTTGTGCTTTCTCTTTAAGTATACCTAATGTACTCAAAATCTTCCTTCCAATTCCAAATGCACCTCTGGCTATTGTTCCCACTGCGGGCAAAAATCTGGATGCAACTCCTGCTAATGCGCCAAATAAACCCATTTCTTATGGGTTAAAAAATGACGAATCCAAACAAGGACCCCTATGTTTCTAAAGCGACAAAGAAAGCACTCATGATAAAAATCTTTAGTTCAACACCAAATGCTTGGTTTATGGATATCTTGGAAAACATTCCGAGGTATAGAGAAGATGGACCACCATACTGGCTAATATTTGTCGGTCAAAACACAAGATACTGTGAAGCCATACCATTACAGTCCAAAAATATTTTAGATGTGAAAACTGCTTTGACAATATTCGTTGACAAATACCATCCAACAAAACTGACATCTGACTGTGAAAGTTCTTTCAAATCAGATGATATTAAAAACTATCTGCGTTCAAAAAATGTAAACCAATATTTCATTGTCGACCAAAACCATTCTGCTCTTGGTGTCATTGACAGTTGTATAAAAATCTTAAGAGACTTAAACCAACCACAAGGTGGTGAGCAAATGAAATGTCATATGACGACAAATATAGACACTTCTCCATGGCAAAGATGAGACAAGTTTTAAATATTTACAATAGCCGTAAACAAAAAGGTTTGGGAAACCACTCCCCCGAAGAAATGAAAAACAACCCTGACTTAGAGAAAGACTATATATTTAATAGTTTAGTCAAAAGAGACAAACAAGAAAGAATGCCAGGCTTCAAACTTAAGAAAGGTGACAAAGTAAAAATAGAAATACCTAAACGCGACCCATATGAAAATACTATTGACTATGACAACAATGGGAACCGACAGGTACTCACATTCGTGTTCGTAAAAATAGAAGAAAGTATACAAGAGAATATTATGAAGTTTTAGGCAAACATGGCAAAATGTACAGACTGCAAGCAGAAGATAAAACTACTATTGTCAGACCTCGTTTCAAACTTGTCAAAGTTCAAGGTGGTATACTTTCAAAGACAGTTCCTAACAAATATAAGACAACTCCTGACGAATATGCTAAAGAAGTTGAAAATGACGACTAAGCAATTCTATACCATGCGTAAACTGTCATGTAAGGTGGCATGTAGTCTTTACTTTGTCCCGTTGTTTGTGTATATCCTGAAACGAAATGTGTATGGTTTCCTTCTCCCTGAGTGTCACTCCAGTAACAATTTATAGCAAACTTAACGTCGTCTTTAACATCATATCCTTTACCTTTTGTCATTCCTGACCAATCCCAATATCTATGCTATGCCAACCTGCTTGAGATGTACTTAAATCTATGTAGTGACTGTGCGCAGGTAAATTTTCACCTGAAATCGTTTTACTTCCTCCTGTTTCCTTTGAAGAGTTTGCACAATACAAAACCTGTCAACTATTTGTTCCCATGCACCAACACCAAACATTACTTGAGGACCTCTTGCTTCCATAGATGTATAAATAGAACCTACTGGGTTCATTAAATCAAACATATGAGACATTATAGGATTGTCTCTTTTGAACTTAAAATATAGTGCAACTATTTCAGGTTTCTTCTGGTTTAAGTCAGAATATTTTTTATAATATAATCTTATGTTTTCAGGGTAGGTAAAGTCTTGACTATAATATTTGTTTCTGTCATCTTCATAATAGTATACTATTCTCGTTTTTTCTATTGCATTATATCTTTTATATCTATAATAATCTAAATATAATGTTAGCTTTTGTTCATCTACATGTGGTGTTCTGACGTCATCTCCATAGTCATAATAATATGGTGCTGGAGCTGGGTCAGGCAATGTCATATCTGTCATTTCATAAACTCTTAAATATTTCTTTTGTTCGTCTCCATATAAGTTTAAGTAGCAGTTGTTGTCTAATGGAACTTTAACTTGTGTACCATCGTTCTTTTTATAGCTTACATACATTTCATTGTTATTTTTCGGAATGAGTTTATACGTGTACCATTTTCTAAGGACTGTACCAACTGCCATCTAAAATATTTGTTTTCTTCATTGACAGAAAAGTCACCAACAATAGTTTCAATATTTTTTGTTCCTAGCAAACTTTGGTATATTTCATTGACATATGTTTTATCTGCTTTATTTTCAAGGCTAACGTTTAAGTCTGTTATTTCAGAAGATGTATGTGTATGTCCAACGTCACTTTTCCTGTTTAAGGTTTCTTGTAAGTTTGCAATATTTGCAATGGTATGTGTATGTCCAACGTCACTTTTCCTGTTTAAGGTTTCTTGTAAGTTTGTTATTTCAGATATAGAATGTGTATGAGTCTTTTTAGAATATTCGTTTTCAGCTCTTGTCACTTCACTTGACATTTTATTGTCAACATATGTTTTGTCTGCTAGTTCAGGATGAGTATGTTCTTTTGTTGCATAAGCTTTGTTAGCTCTTTCTTCTTCTTTTGCTATTGCATCGTCTACATATTCTTTGTCAGCTTTGTTGCCAACATCTGCTTTCAAAAGAAGTTCATTTATAGGTTTCTCGTTTAAAGTTCCTTTTGTTGGATTTATACAGACAGTATGGTTCTTATTGTCTTGAAACAGAAACTCATCTGTCATTGGGTTTAATGTCAGTTTTAAGTTTCCTTCTTTCAATGACTCAGATATCTTAGAATAGTTTGAAAAGTTTGTTGTGTTCTTATTTAGAGCTTGCATAATGAGTTGTCGTTGTGTTGTATTTCTCTCATAGACGCTGTTTCATTTGACATTTTATTATAGATAAAATATGCTTCCAATAGAAAAAGAAAATTCAAGAGTTGCTACAACTAAACCATTAGATGAACTTTTTACTAATGTCGGTCAAAAGTTTGAGACAGATACCGTAAAGCATGAAGGCTATCGTTTTGACTACCCATTAAGATGGCTAAGAGACCCATCTGTCACAAAAGCTATTGGCTTTCGTAGAATGAAGTTTGTGTCTGTAGAAGATAAAAGTTTTCCATTTATTGTAAGGTTTCATATAGATTATATATCTGAAGGGAAACGAAAAATGTGGGAAGAAATTGAGCTAATACAAGTTGACCTTTCATCTTCTCTACAGACTGCGTTAAAAAATATAGAAGATAAAATAAATTCATGTTATGCAAAATATGCTGATGAATATGCAAATACCGAGAGCACACTTTATGTGAGAATTGTATATGACAAACAAAATTCACAAGTGTCATTTCAAATCTACGAAGACAATCCAAAGAAAGACGAACAAATATATACAGAATTCACTGCAATGTCATGGTATTATTTGCAAAGAATGTTAAATCAGAAAGTCGAACTTCCTTTAGCAAATATTTACAGTCGATATGCAAGAGATGAACCATATTTATTTAAAGATGTTTTCGACCCAGCTGCTATTATTGTTCATGCTTCATTTTCTGGCGCCCAAAACTCTTTCTTATGCTTGGCAAATGACTTTTACGAAAAACCTACAAAGTTATACGAACCACCAAGTGGAAGTATTTCAGACTTTCAAGTATGGTTTACTACAGATGGAAGAAAAAGAATAATTCCATTATACCATGCGTTTTACTTAGAACTTAGTTTCATATACAACTACTATCGAACGGTAAAAATATAATTTTTTAATACGGTTGAGGTTGCCAACTAGACTGTGGTGCAGGTTCAGGCTGTTGTATAACAGGAGCTTGTTCTTCTGGTTCAGGGTCTTTAGGTATAATACCAACAAACTGACCTACTCTTTTACCAATATTTTTGACTCCGTTCCAAATTCCTTTTCCGACAGATTTTATTCCATTCCATATACCTCTTCCAACATTTCGAAAGAAGTTTCCAATACTACTGAAGAAACCCATTTTACTATATGTAAAAATCTAATGTCCGCCTAGTCTCTTACGTTTCCTGTTGAGTTCCATAGCATTCTTTAACTGGAGCTCATACATTCTGTTTCTCCTCTGGTAGAAAACATATTCTGGGTCAACTCCTGTGTTCGCGTCATCTGCATAAAGTTGTTTATATCCCACTTCAGGGTTTGTATAAAACTCTTTCCATCTCATATTTGCATACCATGGTGGTAAGCCTAACGCAGCGTCATTTGACATGGCAGTTTGCATTTGTACATCTGTTGGCACTTGACCATAGTTTGCCATTGCAGTTTGTATTCTAACTTCATTTGGAATATTCTCTGGGTTTGGTTGTCCAGGTTGCTGTGCATTCGCTAAGTTCTGTGCGTCCATTTAATATTAGATAAAAATATCTCTTACGAGTACATATACTGAACATTTGCAGGCATTGGTTCATCTTCATATTCTCTATATCTTTCTGCCACGTCAAATAAGTAAATGACACAATGGAAAAAACCTAAAACAAGTAGTCCTATTTCAAACCACATTTACTTACTAGTAAAATTTCTTTGTTATGACACTTTCTCCAGTTTATAGGACCTCTCTCATATTCTATCTTATCGTATCTAAACTCATAGTCATGTATGTCCTCTAACCATCTCATGACACTTTCCAAACCACTTTTATCGGATGTAAAGTAAAAGCATGGATGGTTATGTAAAACGTCTAAAGTTTCTAAAGAGTCTCTCAAAGTCCAGTCTACTTGGTATTGAAAATCCATGTGTTATAGAACGGCGGGTCCACTATAAAGAAAACATTTTCCTTGTCTTTATATTTTTCATACAACTCTGTCCAATGACATCTCACAAACTCTATACCCTCAATATATTTTTCTATGTTCTTCTTTGAAAACATTTGTATAGTTAAGATATAAAACTTTTGACATAAGTGTTTCAATGTCATGAACTCTTATAGCACCACTATATAATAGTCTAGCAGATATACTATCCCAGTCAATATACTCTGCCTTTTCAAAACTCTCTGACAGTATTTTTCTTATCTAATGGTATACGTTCCATCTTACTATAGGTATCTTTTCTTTTAACTCTTTCAATATTTTGTTTGTGTCTGGAATATGTTTGAGACGGTCCATATAGTTGTCGAAGTCATTGCATATAATCTTTGAGTCTGGGAATATTGTATGGCACAAATGGGATATATAGAAACTTCCACCGAACAAATCTACAAATGTTAGACCATTCGGTAGTTTCTTAAGTTCTCTCAATAGAATATCTTTACATTTACTCTTATTTCCAAAGAACGGTAACGGTGGTTTTGTAAAATTCATTTATATATAATAATAAAAATGTTTTTCCCTGAAAAGTGACAGAAAAGTGACAAACATGAAAACATTATAATTTGTGAAAAGCGACACATTATATAATGTTTTGACCCAGAAGAAGGCTTCTTCCCAGAAGCAATGGAGGAAGAAGAAGAGTCCTCCGAATAAAAACTTCATTTATACTAAACATCAACATCAGGGCTAGAAGGCACGAAGTGCCTGGAAGCCCCACTACCTTTTTTTTTTTTTTTTTTTTTTTTTTATTTTAGGTAACATTAGTCATAGTTCATTTATTACTAAAAATGAAAAAGGTGAGGGGAAAAAAAGTCGTAATTTCAGATAATATGTATATTTTATTTAAATTCCACTAGGAATTTCAGAGAATCCTTTTGTTTTACGCTTTCTCAAGATGCATACTATAGCAACGGCAATAATAATTGCGGCAACTAAAATTGCAGCAACAATGATAATAATTAATGTAGTTGATGTCTTTGAGCCACATTTCTTGAATTTAGAAAGGTTTTGACCAAATAATTTCCATTTGTAATCTTTATTTAAGACTATACAATCGATACTACTTGGATCAGACATAGTTCCTCCTATTTCTATATTTCCAGAATAAGTGAATTGCTCAAATTTGACATAATCTTTGCCGCCTGACTTTATTTCTCTAACATCACAAGAAATATTGATATGTTTTATCTTGCAAGATCTGCAGAATGTAGGTCCGGCATATAGTTCTAAGTATTTGCTTACTTTCTCTAAATTGGCTGTGTAATTGTTTGTCCAGTATGACAAATGAATTTTGCTGATTGAAGGTGAGTTGAATTTGATTTCTTTCAGATTATGGCATTCGATGAATGCTGTATCAACTATTTCGACATCAGATATTACATTAACAAATTGCAAATTTGTCATATTTGTGAAGCACTTATCTCCAACATATTTAAGTGATTTTGGAAGATTGAATTCTGTTATTGATGAGCACATTGTGAAACATTCATCTCCAATCTTTGTTACTGACTCTGGTAATTCAACTTTAGTCAATTTCTCGCAGTGATAGAAAACTCTTGAATGAATTATCTCTAAATTCTTTGAGAACTGAACAGTTTCCAAGTTCTTGCATGATTCAAAAGTAGAATTTGAAAGAACTTTCATATTTTTAGGTAACTTAACTATCTTCAATCCTTGGCAATCTTTGAAAGCAGACTCTTCAATCAACATGTTTTCTGAATTGAATGTCAATGATTTGACAGATGACTTTGAAAATGCAAATTTGCCAATTGAAATAATTGATGAAGGGAAATCTAAATCAATATTGAGTAATGTATCTTTAAATGCATGTTCACAGATGTACTGCAATTTGTCACCGAAATTAATAGAATTTAACTGATTACATAATGAAAATCCATTTGCTGAAATGTTTTTAACATGGTTTAAATTAACTTTCTTCAGACTCTTCATATCACTAAATGTTCCTACTCGAATTATGTATATCTTTGGAGGAATTGAGATTTCTGTTATTTTGAAACAACCATTGAAAGCATAATCTCCGATGAAATCAATAGAATCCGGAAGATTTATTGATGATAATTTACTGCTTTGTGACATAAACACATTTCGAGTTAGATTGCCAGACATAAGTTAACAAATACCTTAAGTCATGGTTTCTGACTGAAAATGCGTTTTTCTTTCATATCCGTCTAGCTTTCTATTTGGAGCCTAATATGAACAGATATTTGATTAGATATAATTATATTTTTAATTATGCATCAAATATGCATTATTGATTATCAAATATTCACTGTTTGATTGATTTTCTAGAATATTTTCACTGTACTTCATATGGTTAATAGTACTGCAGATTTCATATGTGCACTCGCATAGTTAACCTCTTCAAGAACATATGATTCTAAAGAAATTTAATTTGACATCAATGTAAGCAGTTTAATAATTTTGCCGTGGGAAAAATGAGGCCGACTCAAAAGCAAAATGCTTCTTTTTCATACAGAAATGATAACTATAGTACGGCCTCAGCTGGATCTGCAAGATCATATACAAGCAATTCTCCATCTATTCGAAGAAATACTAATAATCAAACTCAAATGTCACCTAGATTTGTAAGAAACGAAATACACCCATCGCAATATAGTAATCGTTCTCAAAATGATGATTTTTATTCATCATCTCTTCGATCTTCTCCATATCAAAAATATAATTTTCAATCCAAGCCAAAAAACAAGACCAGAAATATTCAAATTGACCTAAGTGATTCCGATTCAGATGAAGATTTACCAGATCCCAAAATTTATAATTCGAGTTCAGATGATGATGAAATTCTGAAATCTGATACAGAAGTATTTATAAAAGATCTCAAATCTTACAAAAATTATTTCAATAACTTACCATCTCCTTCATTCAATCGAAATCAGTACATTTTACCGCAAAGTCCGAAATCTGCAATCCAAAAGCGAGGATTGTCAATTTCTGGTAGCTCTAGTTCGCCTACAAAGCATTTTGATAAAAACGATGTAAAAATTTCAAATCACTTTGAAATTAGTGATTCCGTGGCATACGAAGCAAGTAATGCTTCTCCATCGAACTACAATAACGAAAGTAATGTCTACAGTGAAAACAAAGATTGTAACGAGAATCAAGAACAATCAGAACCAAAAGAGAGATCCATTCCATTAGATGCTACGAGCACAATTACTTTTGTAGAGCCAGAACCAAGCACTCAAAAATCTCCAAGTCCCAAAAAATTTAAGACAAATGAAGATATTCACCAAATTTTTAGAGAATTACCACAAGTTGACTCAATTATACAGGAAAATAATGATGACGATGATGATATGGTGTTCATACCTCCAAAACCTGATGAAGTTGTAAAAGGAGATCCAATGGAACTGTTTAAGAAGGAATTTGTTTCACCATTCACTGACGATCAGAAATCTTCATTTGTTCCTAAAGCATGGGATACGCTTACAGAAACTCCTGCCGAATTCTTTGAGACTTTACAAAAGAATGAAGATGACGAGAAAATGATGGCAGATTCAGAAGGTTGGGGGCAGCCAATGGATGAAGAACATGCAAAGCAATTCTCGCTAACAGAGATGGATAATCCGCCTGCAAAGAGAATAAGGAGAGTCAGTTCTTCCAGGTCTCAGAAAACACTCCTCGACCAATCAATGAATTCAGTTAGTAGTGAGTACATGCCTCCTTCTAAAAGGAAATCAATACTCATAAATACAAAGGGTGGAGCATTACTTGAAGATTCCATGCTAATAAATATGGAAGATAGTACTCAAAATGTTTATCAAATGGCCGAATATGCAGATTCTGAAAATATGGATGAAATGAATTCCAATCCTGAATAAAAATTTGTTTGATATTATTGATTTAATTCCTTCTTTGTTTCAATATGGAAATATATACTTTAATATCTGAGTAGTTAATAAACCACAATACAAAAAAACAATTTATCTCATGCATGATTTATTCAATAATGATGTTACGAACTATAGAATGGATCATAAAATCTGAAATGTAAATAATCGTCATTCAATTCAGAGAAATCATTCGCTTTTAAAGTACTCTCATGATGACATATCAGCGTTAATACATGATATTCATTTTCTTGAATGAACTCCTATGATTGAATTTCAATTCTCTATTTTGATTTCAAATTCATTAAATTTGATTGATTTTATTATTTTTAAAGATTAATGAAATACATGCGATTATTGCTTCAATAATTTACTATAGTAGTAGGATATGACGGGTTTAGTGACTTTTTTTGTTACATCTATATATAGACGATGCATTAAAATATATTTATTTATAAATCATTAAAAAATTAACATTAATTTTAAAATAATTTATTTTTTTATCTTTTATAAAAGAAGCTATATATAGATGATGTCAGATATTCCGCGATTAATTAAACATTGTTTAAATCCTGAATGGGTTAAACTTCAATTTAAAAATGAAGATTGTGAATTATTAAATGAATATGAAAGCCAAAATAAGCTAATGAGGTATAAATATAATGATAAAGAATATTTAATTTCATGGAATCAATGGAGTCATAATCAAAGACCTCATAAACGAGAAGAAGAAATTGAAAATAATGAAATGGAAATCATTGATGACATTAAAGAGGATGGAATTCCTAAATTTTGTAGAAAAACCTTTAGAACTAAGTTAGGAGCATATAAACGTAGAGTATTAAATCCTGAATATCTTAAACATCAATTTAAAAAGGAAGACTGTGAATTATTAAACGCTAATGAATATGAAAATGCTAAATCAAAACTGAGATATAAATATATTGGAAGTGATGAAAGGTGTAAAGATAAAGATAAAGTTTATTCAGTTTCATATAATAACTGGCACACGTTAGGGATAAGAAAACATTTAGGAGATTATGGGAAATGTTCTGAATTCTTTAAATCTAGTATATACGAGAGAGTAAAAGAAATTAGAAATAATTATTTTCATGAATAAAAAATAAACTTTAAAAATTCATGTCTTACGAAAAATTAAAACTTAGTTATGTTTATTATTTTATTTTTTTAATTCGTAAGAAATGAGTGAATCAAAATTCGTGACTGTGAATCAATTAATGGATAAACTTTCACCAATTCTCACCCAGGTTAAACAAGTAGACGTTTATTTTGATGATTGCGTACAAAGTTTATTTTATAAAGGTAAGTTTAATATTAAACCTATTGCTTTTGCATTTGATGGTAAATTAATCGAAAATTCAAAAATTTGGGAATTAATTCCGGATATTGAATTTATAACAAATATTAAGGATAAATGGTTTAAACAACAAAACCACCTCACTAAAGTTCTTTGTAGATTAATGATTAAAACTGAGGAAAAAGAATTTAACGGGTTTAAATATCATCCATGTAAAATTTTAGAACTTGGTAACGAAAAACTTCAGAAAAAATTAAACGAAAGACTATCAAAAGATAAAGTTGAAAAAGTAAATAAACTCGCTAAAGGTAATGGTAATGGTAATGATGAAGATGAATTTGATGAGTTCAACATTGAACTTTAAGAAACTAATGATTATTTGAATTTATGATATCAATTATCTGATTTATTCTTTCTTCAATCTCTTCTATTCTTTTTGTTAAATCATCAATTTTCATTAATGAGGTGATTCTTGATTGAGGAATAGATTTCAAACTAATCACTCCTTTTATTTTTGAAATTTTGAATCCATGACCCTCCGGGTCTTGGACTCTGTCCTCAACTTTAAACATTTTATTCAATTTACACGTTGTCAATTCTTCAAATAATTTTTTATTATTAGCATAATAGTCATTAAATTCTTCAACAGATGAAAAAATTTTTATTTCAGTAATTGGTTTAACAACGTTTATTTTTTGTTGAACATTTTCACTTTCATTTATTTCTTCCTCCTCTGTTTCATTTATTTTTAAAATCGGTTTCATTTATCATTAAATAAAAATTAGAATATAAGTGATGAAATATATTTTTTTAATTAATATTAAATCAGAAATGGCGGCAGGATTCTTTAAAAAATTATGGGATGGAATTAAGAAAGCTGCGGGTTGGGTTCATAAAAAGATTATTAAACCCATTGCAAACTTTTTGGCACCAGTAGCGAAAACGGCAGGAACTATCATAGGTGGAGTATTAGGTACTAAAGCCGGTAATCCGGCGATGGGAGCACAAGCAGGTAACGTAGTTGGTGGAATAGCTGAAGGAATACTTAATAAAATAGGAGGTAGATAGTGGAAAAATAAATATGAGATCCTATGGATCATCTCGCCGCTTAGCGGCTTAAAATTATTTTTATCTTAGTATCGGTTGTAGTCTTTGATAAACTTTTTCTCCTTTATTTAAAACTTCTCTTATTGGGGCAGCTTTTGGTGTTATTGATTCAGCAACGTCACTAATTGCTTCTTTATTCTTAAATATCCAATTTGCCCCTTCTTCAATGTTTCCCAAACTTTATTCGCTCCTCTTTTTACTTTATCCCACAGTTTCTTAAATATACCTGCAGCCATAGTTGATTATTTCATTAAAATTAAAAATTCATTTTCATCTTTTAATTTTGATTTTTTATTTAATAATAAATGACGACTAACTATTTGGTGCCAAACACTAAACCGATTAATGGAAATGTGTTTCATTCATTCGAAAAGATAAATGAAATATTCGCAAAGAATGACGGTAGAAGATATTATAGAGAACTTGAAAGTTCATGCTATGACTCTGATGCTCCATATTTTGATGATAAACAAACTCATTTAAGAATTACAAATCCGGCTCATGATGTGAACCAATTAGGTGACACATATATTAAACGCAAAGTTAAAGCAACTCTAGTTTCAAATAAAGCTTTCACATGTGATGCCGCTTTTAAATGCATGCGTTTATTCGTTGGTTACAACATCAAATCAAAGCTTTAAACAATTAGAAGTAGAAACCGAAAGAGGTGATGCCGGTTATCTTCAGATGGATTGCGCCCGTGAATCTTTCGCATTTGCAACATATAAACCAAAATCAGAAAGGAAAGTTAAAAAGTTTGTTCATTCGTTATATAATAATGTTCAAAAATATGATAACTCAGTATGTGGTAAATATATTGACCCTTCAGAAGTTTTCAAGAAAGCAAATGAAGAAGTTGATGTCACTTTTGATATGATTATTCCGGTAAATGATTTGTTAGCATTTCAGGCGTTCGATGATTATCCTAAATCATTTGGTGATATCATTCTTAAATATTATGTTTTCAGGGATACTTTAGTATTTTGTCAGGTTGACCCGTTAAGAGTTGCTGATTTACAAAATTACGTTTATGAAAAGATAACTGATGAAAATTATGAAAAGATTATGAATCATGTTTATAAATATGATCGCAAATTCCAACAAATCGGACTTCCTGCCAAATTAATTACAAGCTTAGCCGCTACATCTGCTGACGCAACAGTTGATGACGTTATTATTTCATGCACAAAGATGGAAGTTTTAGAGGATAAATGCATTACACCAGGATACGGTTTAATTGAAGAATCAGTTAAAGCAATACCACGTTTATTCAGTAAGGAAGATCCATTCATGATTCCAGCTCAACATATTGACGTTCGTTCACTAAATGGAGGTTGATCACTCCTGAAGGTATTAGCTCAGATTTCTCATACGCTCTTCATAATGTTACAGATGTTGTGTTAGCATTTCCGAAGAATGCAATGCAAAGAACAGTTTTAGAAAATCCAACGCTTCGAGGTTTCAGGTCACTATAGATTCCAGAAACTTCCCCGATCAAGCGATGACCACAGTGGGCGACATATTCTTTACACGTATGCTTCAAGCTTCTGATTTAGATGGAGTGAATGAATGCACAGAAGAATACGAGGACTCATTAACTAGACACTGAATGATGATAATGGCGCGCCATTAGCTAGAACATGGAAAGACCAAACTTCATTCTTATGCACTATTCCAGTTCAACGTGATGGAGCGGGTATATTCTTTGATGGATTAGAAACTTTCAACTCACAAGTTACAGTACAAGTGAAAGCTTATCCAATCATTCAGGGTGAAAATGACACTTACTGTTCAAAGGTGACAAATCCTCCTCAGGTTTGGTTTACTAGGACTACATATTGGACATGGACACCGGATGAAGGTTTGAAATATCATCCAACAGGTACACCACCACAGTATAGAAGTTCATATGATGAAATATTGATGAATAGAAATGTTTAAAATTATAAATTTATTTTTGATTAAATGGATTTAAATTCATCCACCCCTTATGAAGAATTAGCAGGAGTATATAATACATACGTAGATGATATGATTAATGAAGCATTGAGTGATAATAGAAATGCTCTATCTAAGGAAAAATTAAATGAAAATTACATATTCTGAATGTTACTTAAATTCAATCACTGCAGCAATTGGTAAACAAAATAAAGGTAAAACATTAACGATATTAAAACAAATTATCATTATTGCTAACACTTCCCCCTATTCACATGTGTTAATTTATATCAACCGTTCAGGTTCACCTTCAGATGATACATTTGAATCTTTAAAGTATTTAATCAAAATTCCAATTATTTATTTATCACAAGAGAAGCAGAAGATTATTTAAAAAACTTTTTAATGTATAAAGAATTATAATACAATCAAGAAGCAAGGATTAGAGGAAAAATTATTGATAAACAACGGGATGAATTATTTGAAACACTTTCTATTTCAAATTTTGATAGAGAATTTTTGCATTCACTCATTTTTCTAGATGATGCAGTGAAATCAAACTAAAACAAATGAGAAATCATATTTTAATCAGTTATTAACTCAATATCGACACATTCAGTGTTCATTCTTTCATGGCTGTTCAATACTTCAAAGCATTAAGCACAAAATTAAATCAAATCTATCAACACTTTTCATTTTCAGTGGGTTTAGTCGTCAACAGTTGAACGTTATGCTTTATCAAGTGAATTTACAATGAGCATTAATGAACTTTACACACCAATATCAGCAATAGGTGAACATGAAAAATAATAGTTATTTAAATAAAGGAGGTGTTAAATTTGATTAACTTTTTATAATTAATTTTTATTTTTTATTTATAATTAAACATGACAGAAATAGCAAATCTTCTACAGGTTCCATTAAAACAAGGAACAAACAAAAAGGGTGCATATAATAGAACTATGAAAGTTCCTGATGGAATGAAAGAATTAGTTCATATTGTTGCTGGTCTTCAAAAAGATGTTAAACAAATGAGAAACGTTTTAACATTACCAAAAGCTCAAGCATATGCCAAACGTCATGGTCCAAATTGGGAAGCACACGAAGCAGACATTACGGGTCCAAATGGAAAACCTGATGGTATAAATGAAGTTTTCGTTACTGATGGTCAAGGTAATATTAAAGTCATAAATGGTTACAAATTAACTATAACTGATTATCCTAAACGTAAAGCATATAATGAATGTTATCCTATGCAATTTGATGAAAATGGAAAAGCTGTTAAACAATACATTGGAGAAGGTGAAGATGGTCCAATTAATTCATACCGTTATAATCCATATTCTTATTTCAATGAAGAATTAAATGCTATTGAAGAGGGACCGGATGGATTACCACGATATTCTAACCAGTTTGATGGTCAATATGCAAATATTAGACCTGAAATTTCAGCTAAGAAATTCTTTAAAGTTGCTTTATTCGATCCAGTTTTCGCAAATGTTAAAGATGAACTTAAACAGCAATTCCAACCAATTATAGTAGCAAGAATTGCATCAGGTGCTTTATCTCAAGCATTCAAAGATTTAATTAAGAAACCATTATATCAGCAACGCGGTTTAACTTATGATTTAGTTAAGGAATTAGATAAAAGAAAATTTGAGAAATCAGATGATTATAAGAATGCAATTAATGAATATATTAGGTCTATTAATTACAATGAACCAGCTAAAAATCAACTTCAAGAACAAATACAGGGAATAATAGATTCAAAACTTCCAGCAAAATAAAAGTTTAAATATATTTTTTTATTCGATTATAAATGAGAAGACGTTTCACTAGTCAAAAGAACACTAACGCAAAAGCAGAGATTACGGTTGTTATAACGTAAATGATGATAAATCACGAATTATTCAAAATGTTAAAGTTAATGTTAGCCCTGAATTAACAAGGTCAACAACTCAACCAAATTTATTAACTCGTGACTTACCGAAAAAGGAGGAGGAGCAAAATAAAGAAGATGGAGACCCAATCATTTTATCTGAACCGTAAAGAACCTGTTGAAATTCCCACTTATCCAACATACCCAGCACCACTTGATAACCCATATAAAATAGACATTAATTCTGAATTAATGAAATTTACCGTGATATAATAATTAATAATTATGATTCAATAATAAATTTAATTGATCAATCTGGTTTAATTATTTTACCTTATGAATCATTAATTCACATTATCGCCATTCTTTGTGATGTTCAAGATTCAGACGTTAAAATTCAATTTTTCATAGATGATGAGGTTTCATGCTGCGGAACAGTTGCAAAAATAAATCCTATAAAGGATATTAGCACAATTAAGATATCAAAGAACGGAACAACAACTGAACTTCATTTAACATATAATGATATTTATAATAAAATAGTTGATGAATATAAAATATCACTTGAAAAACTCTTTGTTAAGGCTATTTAATATTCAAGCATTAACATTATCGAATAATAATCCTTTGAATCATAATCAATAATAATTGACCTTTCACCAGTTTCTATCGTTTGTTTTATTTCTTTTTGTTCCCACTATCCGGATTGGTCATTGTAATTGTTTTGTTATAGTATCAGCTTTATCTTTAACTTCAATCTTTTTTCCATCGGGATATTTAAACCAAAATTCCAAAAATTCGATATTGTCAATCTGTTCATATTTTAATCTATCAATTACATTTTTAATACCATCTGAAAATCTTATGAAATGGTCATTATATGGGTTTGATTGAACTAAATTTGAATGAAGTGAAATATAACCTGTTGATGAATATGACACTGACTCATATTTTCTGAAAACACTAAAATTTATAACATGAATGAATTTCTTATTCGTTGAATTTATGAATTCTTGAGGTAATCTTATTCTAGTTTTATTTATCACTGGAAAATAACGCTTTACCATATTTTTAATCGTAATAAAAAATGTCAATTATCAATATTATTTCGAATAATAACTGTGAATTAAATTTAACAGTTAGCGGAATTTATAATGTTACTCTCGTTTCTGTGAGTGGTAAATTTAATCCCATTCTTTTAGACCCTTCAGATTATATATCATTTATTAAAGATGACCATGAGCCGCATAGCGGCGGGGTCGTAGACCTTGAAAAACGTATTGATATGTATATAAATAATGTGATAGCGAAATGGGATATTAACATGATTTTAAGTTATTTAAATGAATCATTTATCGTATGGTATGAAGAAAATTTTAAATCAAAACCTGATAAACTTTTTGAACTTGATGAAATAAATAACCTTATTAAATTTCCGCTGAAAATTAAATTTTGTGCTCCTCATCTTCGTTCATTGTTGGGGATATTAAATTTTGAAAAAGATGTTGGGGATGTTTTGTATTCTGACACTGGTTCCAATTTCATTTTAATCAAATGTGATAAAGTTAATACCCCAATGAGATTTTCACATCAAACATTAGACCCTAACTCTTACCCATCAATACAAAACATTTTATACATCAACTTAAACACATTTTCTTTATCATATCTGTTTCAATTATCCGGGAATTCATTTATTCTTCATTCAAAAGATTTATCAAATATTAAATTTAGAATAACTGACCTATTTGATTGTGATTTAGAATTTATGAATGAAATATTATGGCAATTTCAAATAGAGAAAATAGCTGATGAGATAACGGATTAAATATTTATTTTTAAATCGTAATAAATGATTAAACAACAGCAACTTAAGGCGCAAAGCGCCCAGGTCCTTCAGACCATTACATACGCCACATATGCATATAATTCAAAGACGGCAGAACAAACGCAAAGGTTGAAATATGAGAGATTTGAGATAGTATTGAAAAATGACCATTTTGAATTCGTTTGCAAAGGTGGTGCAGTGATATCAAATATAAAAGAAATTTTATTTATGAATTCAAAAATTAAAGGAATAACGGATGATATAACATCAATTCCACCAGAAGAACAGAGATATTACGCATTAAATGCATTTCCTAAAGTTTTGAAGATTGGAAGATTTAATTTAAATGAGGAATTCATAGAAGGTTTCCTAAATGACATAATGAAGAAGGTGGATAAGGAATATGTGGATAGTGAGTTAATGAAGAAAGCAGATTTAGTTTATGTAAATACCGAGTTAAATAAGAAGGCAAATTTGGTTTATGTTGATGAAAAAGATAATGAAATTAAAGAAAAGGTTGAAGGGTATCATGAATGGACATTGGAGACTTTTAAAGTTAAAGCTGATACAGAATGGGTTTCAGGGTGTTTAGACCTTAAAGCAGATAAAACTTATGTTAACGATGAGTTAGAGAAGAAAGCAGATAAAACTTATGTTAACGATGAGTTAGAGAAGAAAGCAGATAAGGAAAAAGTTATTTCATTCATTAATACTGAGTTAGCAAAGAAAGCTGATATATCATTTGTTAATGAAGAAATAAAACAATAAGAGGTCTATTTTACTCCACCATTTTTAAATTTTATGAAATCATCAGATAAAACCTTTGATATAGATTCTTTTGAATGGATATGTTTCGATGGAGTGACCATGTATTTATTTTATACAGCTGGAGTGCTTTATTATTTTAAAACAAATGATTTTAAAAACTATGAATCTTTTACTCCATCTGTTTGGAATCCTGATACACGAAAGCCAATCATTAATCCAAGAATTTTATATGTTGAATATAATAACGGTAAATTTATGGGAATGATAACGGTTGGAGATGATTTTTGCCCTTGTATCCAATGGTTCAAATGTAATTTAAATCAAGATGCTAAATTTAAATATCCAAATAATCCTATTAGATGCGTTAATAATAAATGGGTACTAATTTATGAAGTCAATCAAATTTTCATTAGTGAGGATGGGATAAATTATTATATGTTTAGTATGATGTCATCAGATTTGGAAATTGATTATACAAGTAAGTGGTATTACATTAACAACATGTATTTTATCCTACAAAATGATAAAATTTATAGATCATATTCAATACCATTTGGTCGTTTTGAACAAATTTTTCAAGCTGATGGAGACATTGAAGCTTTATGTTATGCTTCAAATGTTTGTGTTCTTGTTTCAGGTGGGATGGTCTATTCATATCCTGTAAGTTATAACAGACATATTTATTTATCACAAGATTTTTCACAGGATCCAGAGAAAACACCAAGTTGGGAATTGGTTTATTCATTCACTCCAAAACTTACTCGAAATTATAGATTTACTAATTTATTTTATATTGATGGGTACCTCTTCCTGTCGTTAGAGGTTTTGGTATTGCAAGTGGTTTAATTTTATCTGCTTTGATTTTGGATGATGAAGTTTTGGATTTGACACCCACTTTCATTAATTCTGGATGTATTCTATTCATTTGTTTTAAATATACTGTATATAAAGGTTTGATATACTTTCCCGCTTCGAGTTTATGTTGAAGGATGAATTCCAAAAGTTGATCTTCATTTAAAAGTCGGGCTGAATATGGTTTAACTAATGAATCATAAATTAAAGCTTGTGCATCATTTATGGTCTGAAGACCTGGCGTTTTGCACCTTTAGCTGTTGAACATTTGCTACTTTCTCTTTTGGTGTTGTTTTCGGCTTTTTTCTCCTTTGGCTTTTGTTCCTTTGGCTTTTGCGGCTCAGGATTATATAATTTATATAATCATCAATATCTTCTTCTGTTAATACTTTATTTTGAAATCTTTCAACTGTTTAAGTTGTGATTTAGTTTTTCCCTTTGTATATTCATTATTTTTAATTTTGTCTTTAATTTCAGAAATTATTTTATCATGATATTCAAAATTTCATTTTATAATATGAATAATAATAATCCATATCATCACCTGTTATATTTTTATTATGTTTTTGGAGATATGATTTTAATTCATAATAATTAAGAAAATTTTGATTAAGTACTAAATCATCAATTAAATTTTCTAAATTTGCGTTATCCATTTATATAAAAATAAAATAAATGTTTTAAGGGTGCCCACCTCTTTGAATCATAGTATCAAAACCATTATTTACATATTGAATCGCATCATTAACGGTTCCTCCTTCTAAAACGGTATCAAATGGTGGAGTCCAGATTTCCTGATGATGATCATAAAATCCAGCAAAATTAATCGTATTATTAGGTAAAATATGAATCTCAGCGGATATCTTCTATCTAAATTTGGATGCCTTATATGTATACCATTACTGCCCGGATAAAATCTCAAACCTTGATTTTTGTTGACGCATCAATTATTGAAATTTCTTTCTTCAGGGGTGAATGTTCTTCTCCGTTGACGTTTGTGGTGGTGGTCGTTGTTGCTGCTGTTGATGCTGTGGTGGGATTTGAAAAATTCGTTGCGGTTGATTATTTGGAATCTGAAAGTTAAAACCATTTGGTATAAATCTATTCGGTTCCTTTTGTCTCTTCTGTGGCATTTTATTAAAAATAAAATTTTAAATTCATGACTCAACCCCTACGTTTTTAAATTGTATTAAATAAATGGCATACAACATCCATTTTCACAACATACAGCCTTAGTGTGTGCTCCTGTTAATGCAGTCTTACCGATTGTTAAGCGAGTCATTGACCCGTTTTTAATTGTTAAATTAAATTTCTGACCATCAAATATCACTTTATCATTTATTATATCCAAATAATTTTAGGTGTTAATTGTTTATTTTGTCGTAAACTAACACCTTTCATTTTTTGTGCAATCTTTTTAAAATCACTTCCATCAATTGAACCGTTGAATGATGTTATAACATTAGGGCATAAAGCAACCATGTTATCACCTTGTTTCTCAATTGCTAAACCCAATAACTTCTTCTCATGTGCTTTTTCTTCAGCTTTATTCTTTAATTTAGGTTTAAATTTCTCATCAAAACAGAAAGAAATCAAATGGTGCGAATTTGAAAATGTTTTTATCATAAAACTGTTTATCGGTAACAATTGCTTGAATGCTTGAGTGTTAGAAGATTTGGGTCGCCAGCGATTGCCCAATAAGATGAATCAGTATCACCTTCAATGAAATGAAAACGATTAACATTCATGCATTTATACATTAAAATCATAAATGAAAACCAAATACCAGTATTTAGCATTATCTAAAGTGAAGAATGCCTCTTGTAAACATGTATCACATCTATAAAAGCTATCTTTAAGCATCACTTGATATGTATTTTCACCTATTTCTCTTATGTTTTTAAAACTTATTTGACATACATGCAACGCGTGCCTTCTGTGCATTCATTATTTTAGTCTTTGCGTAATTTTGCCTATTCATTGCATCGTAACCATATGATCCATTAAGTGAAATCTTGCAAAATAAAACTTTTCCTTTATTTCCTTCTAATTCAGCCTTTTGTCTTTCGTTCATAAATTCTTTCGCAAATTCATTAAAACAAGTGTTTTTCGTAAATGTTAAAATTGATGAATATCATCGATGATAAAATGAAATCTGTCTATTAGATACCAAAGATAATAAGAAGAAAATGGTTGATATTGGTTGTGTGTTGATGCTAACTGAGTTAATTTCCTCTGTTTCTGGTCAACTGGTAGATTGTTTGATTTCATGTAATTATACATAAAACTGCCAATTGTTTTTTTCATCTGTGATAATATCTAAGTTTCTTATTATCGGTAAAAGTTTATGTAATCATTAATGTATTTTTCATCAATGTGACCCTTTACTTCAGCACGAATAAAGTATTTTCTTCTTAATTATTCCCAGTGCTTTTGCTTTCTTTGTTGCTGTATCACAAATGATAACACCATTCAATCTTCCCGGCATATACATTTTATGGTCAGTATATTGAATGAAATCATGAGGATTAGATGAAAATGATGAAGGATATAATGAATTAAAGTCAACACCAACGAAATGAGTCATGATGTTGGAAGTGTCCTCATTTGATACATTTTAGTTTCTGGACTATATGAAAGTTTATTAATGTGCGTGATTCCTTTAAGATTAACACGATGTTGAACATTTGATAGACCACAGTAATTCCATTACGGAGAATGTGATAAGCTTCAACTGAATCTAAAGTCATTGGTAAATTATTTTTTAATGCATAATTTCTTAAATTGATTCTTAAACGTTGAACATCTTCATCTTTATTTGATTTTACGACATTGCAATAACAACACATTAACTGACAATTTTCTTTGGTATGTGGTTTTTCATTATCGATTCTATCCAATGTGGTTTATTTGCATATGTAAACGCTTTACCACACATTTTGCATTTAGATGAAAGGATTAAATCGTGATAGTATTGAAAATCATCCATTGAAACATTATTTTTAGTATCCCTTTCTGCTTTTTCATCTTGTTTCTTATATGATTCAATTTTATATTTCCAATACTTTTTCGTTAATTCAAAACTTGATTCTATCTCTTCCTCAGGATATTTTTCATTAGGATTAAAGTCTTTATATGCTAAAGCGTAACGAATCATTGAAGCATTCGATGATAAAGAAAGATTATGAAGCATATCAATTTTATAAACAAATGTTTCTTCAATAATTTTATCGATTGGGTCAATCATAATTTCAACATCTTTATTGCAATAATGAATAAAATATTCTAATATATTCTTAAAGTTTTTAGCATCATTGAGATATATTTGATAATCACTATCTGATATAGTTTCTTGAGTTAATGCTGAATAAAATGAATCTTGAGTGAATGGTTCCTCTTTATATAATTCTTCTTCGGAATTCTCCCATGTGATAAATTGATAAGGGAAAAAGGATTTAACACGTGATTTATTGTTTCCGAAATCTTGAGTGAATTGGTCTAATGTCCCACCCGCTATATAATTTCTGATGTCAATAAATCTCAATTCATATGGAACGTTTGTTTTCTTTACAATGATTTGCTTAAATTGTGAAGATGAACCCAGCATTGATTGTATTTTCCATTTTGCAGTGTTTAAATCACGAAGAATTAAATTTAAATCAAACTTTCCCGAATTAAAACCTATGATATTCACTTTATTGAATTCCTCATCCAGAAGTTCTTTAAATGCTTCCTTCTGTTTTTCATTTAATGTATGGGACAAAGTCCCCGCCGTTTGCGACTTCAATAATTCATCGTATTGACTCATATTTGATTTAGCAACTAATGAACAGGTTGAAAATAAAAATTCAATCCAGTCAGAAATAAAAGAATCACTCGAAGTTAAACAAAAATTCCTCGTATATGTTTTATCATTTAATTTAACCGTTGATGATACCATGAATGGTTTTAAGTAAGCGTTCAAAGTTGCACACTCAGAAAGTTGTAATTCTTCTTTAGTCTCTATATCTTGTCGGTTTATAATATTTCTGCAAATTGTGAGCTAATAACCACTGATATATCTTCTGTTTCGTAATATGTGGTGCATATGGTTGCTGGGTCTTTTGCAATTGAACGTCTTGAATTAATCTTCCATTATTTTCTTTACATTTCTCACAATGCTTTAAAAATCTTCTTTGGTTTTTCCTTTCTGGATCATCACGGATAGAATAAACTTCTTCTTTACAATATGGACAAACTTTATAGCCGGTGAGTGCTTCTACGTCTGTTATTCTGTCAGCGTGAAGTTTTCCACATGGACTCTGTGTTAATAAAATATTTACTGTTTCAAATTCTGGATCTATCATTATTGATTCCACTAATGGAAAGTCTACCTTATTTATGTCCACGTCTTCTGGTTGAGGATCACAATAATAGAAATCAATATTAACATTTAACATTCTCGCTAATCTCTCACTTTCTGATGAAATGTCAAACCCTTCATATGCATCTATTGCTTCATTTAAATAGCTTCTACGAGTTTTAGGATTAACACCATCAGGAATGTTATAGAAGCGTTTAAATAACCTTCTACCTTCTGCTCTAATTTGATTATCATTCATTTATGTAAGAATAAAAAATTAAAAAATAAATAAAAATAAAGTTTATTTTTTAAAGCCCATAAAATGAATTAAGAACACATAAATTTTTATCATCTGCGACGTGACGAATACATTTTAATTTACTCAAGAATGCGTACCCTGATACATTAAATCTAATTCCTGTCTTATTTAATTTCACAACTTTGAAAAGGAATGTATGAATAGCTATAAAATGATGAGAAGATGTTTTATGGGTTGCTTCCATTTTTTCTGAAATAAATGAATAAATATAATGTTTATAAGTTTTCATATCTTTTATGTTCTTAATAACGAATGGTATAGACCTTTCAACTTCGTCTTCCTTCGGTGCTGTTCTTTCATATGAAACATTATTGGTATCTTCAACAATGAAACCACAATCACACAAAATTTTATATGTTCCAATGGTTTCTTTTGATATTTTATCTAATAAATCAAAAACTTTATCAACACCTGTGCATTTATTTAAATAATAATTTGTGTAAATATCATGATCTTCTTTCTTAATCGTATTAGTTGCATATGTCACGTTTTTAAGAGCTTTTTTGAATTTTTCGGAATCTAAAGGTGGTGAAAGCAGGATACAGGGTATTCTTCATTATCAATAAATTGTAACTTATGTTTACGAATAAATTTAGTACCTTCTTCTGAAAGTGTTTCGTCTATTTCACCATCTAATAAATTTTGTGTTGATTCTGAGACATAATTTTTATATCTTTCTTCATGAGATTTCTGTACTTCTGATTCTGAAGCTGGGATATTCATTAAACCTTCTACTTCATTTTCATTATATTTTTCAACTTCTCTTAATTCCTTAATTTTTTCATCTATTTCATCTCTTATTTTTTTCAGTCTTTCAAGTTCATTGTATTCATCATCTTTAATCCGTTCTTCATAATATTCAGGGAAAACATCAGGTTCTTTAGGTTTTTCTTCTTCAGATGTGGGATATAAGAAATTTATAACATCATCTTTATTCATTTTTCCATCATAATCTAAATCATTTAATAACTCGGCAAATTTTTGACAATTTCTTAAATAATATTTATTAACTTCATAACCTACCTCCTCTAATATATCCTTTATTTCCTCGTTTGTGAATCCTAATTTTTTAACGTTGTTAGTTTTGACGCTCATTTCATACAAAATAAAAAATAAAATAATAAACATAACTAAGTTTTAATTTTTCGTAAGACATGAATTTTTAAAGTTTATTTTTTATTCATGAAAATAATTATTTCTAATTTCTTTTACTCTCTCGTATATACTAGATTTAAAGAATTCAGAACATTTCCCATAATCTCCTAAATGTTTTCTTATCCCTAACGTGTGCCAGTTATTATATGAAACTGAATAAACTTTATCTTTATCTTTACACCTTTCATCACTTCCAATATATTTATATCTCAGTTTTGATTTAGCATTTTCATATTCATTAGCGTTTAATAATTCACAGTCTTCCTTTTTAAATTGATGTTTAAGATATTCAGGATTTAATACTCTACGTTTATATGCTCCTAACTTAGTTCTAAAGGTTTTTCTACAAAATTTAGGAATTCCATCCTCTTTAATGTCATCAATGATTTCCATTTCATTATTTTCAATTTCTTCTTCTCGTTTATGAGGTCTTTGATTATGACTCCATTGATTCCATGAAATTAAATATTCTTTATCATTATATTTATACCTCATTAGCTTATTTTGGCTTTCATATTCATTTAATAATTCACAATCTTCATTTTTAAATTGAAGTTTAACCCATTCAGGATTTAAACAATGTTTAATTAATCGCGGAATATCTGACATCATCTATATATAGCTTCTTTTATAAAAGATAAAAAAATAAATTATTTTAAAATTAATGTTAATTTTTTAATGATTTATAAATAAATATATTTTAATGCATCGTCTATATATAGATGTAACAAAAAAAGTCACTAAACCCGTCATATCCTACTACTATAGTAAATTATTTCAGTTAGTAATGAAAAAGATCGTGAATTCATATCCTTGTTTAGTGATCTACCTGATATATACTTTCATCGGAAAATATTTCACAAATTTCAATGTGTCTAGCAAAATTGAATACAGCGATTAACGATATGAATGGTGGACTTCAAAGGAAAGCATTTAGATAGAACAAATTTAGCTTTATTCATAATTAAAATGACAATGTGTAAAGTCAACCACTTTTTGTCGGATTATAGTTATGTGTTAACATCATCGGCAACAACGAAATTAGGAATTTTTAAAAAATTAGAAAGAATTCAATTTCTTTTTGAGAACTTAAAAATTGCTTCGGCAAATTTTGACAGCTACTCAAGGCTTCATATACCAAATGTATATCAAGAATTTGATTATGGAATATGTCAATAAAACTACTCAGATCTCAGAATATGCATAATCAACCCAAAATAAGCGTCACAACACAAAATAATCAAAATTTAAAAAATAATGATGGGAAAAATCATTTCGCAACGGGAGATTTAAGTTATGTATGCAGCAATATTACATTATGTTATCAATTTGATCGGCTTGATATTAATAATTTGAAGTCGGATTTAATATCATCACTACCTATGAGTATCAATAAAGGAGTAACTCTTCCGGTTGATATTTCTGAAGGTATACAATTCTGTTTTTTGCAAGAGATGAAAATCAAAACTATTCATCAATTCTTGGAGCTACTTCAACTAAAAATTTCACAGAACCAGTTTTGATATTGCAAACTGACAATAGCACAGAAGTCATCAGAAATAATAAGCCTTATTTTGTTCTTGCAGCATCCATTTTTTATCAATATGATGCCCATGTTAAACTATATTATAAAATTGATGGTCAAAATTCGACTGAAATGAAACAATACAATTTTTCAAACACAAATAAAGTAGAAATCAATGAAATAATTAATATTTCCTGGGAGTTAAATGAAGGAATTCACATTTATTCGTTTTATGTTGTAGATTCGAACAATACTGAATCCAATGTTTTGAATATCTCTGTTAATTATATTTATATTCGTCCAATTCTAACATTAATTACAAAAGAAAATCAGCAATTTATCAAGAATGGTGGAAAGTTATTTATTAACCTAACTATTTGGGAAGCGTATGAATCTGTACATATTACAATATATTATTCAATTGACGATCGTGCTAAATCTCAATATCATCAAGGCGATTTCCAAAATACACATGGATTAATTATTCCTGACTATATTAAATTTCCTGATGATCTTTCAGAAAGTGAAAATCATAAAATCACTATTTGGGCAACAGATCAGTATGATGTTAATTCAACTATCTACAGCTTTAATTTCAGTTATAAATACAATCCTCCAGAACTAACAATCACTACAGAAGACAATCAACAATTCAAGAAGAATGATGAAAAAAGTCTCATTATCAGAGGAAATTTACGAGATAAAGATGGTGAAGGTCCAGTATCTCTTTTCTATCAGATTGAAGGATACAGTTCAGTTCGGATTAAAAACTACACTATTAGATCTGAATCATTTTTTGAAATAAGCCAAAAAGTTAATTTCCCATACGATCTTTCAGAGAAAACAAATTATGCAATTAACATTTGGGCAAGTGATGAATTAAACAAAAACTCATCAATCACAACGCTACATTTCTCATATGCATTTAACGATCCTGAACTAACAATCAGCAAATCCATAAAATTGATGGAAAGAATCTTAATATTCTTGGATATATCATGGATAAAGATGGAAATGGAACAGTCTCATTAAAATATCAAATAGATACTTACTCAGAGCAATTATTGAAGGAATACACGATTAAAAATACAAATAGATACGAAGTAAACTGCAACATAACACTATCTGATGATTTGGCAGAAGGCAATCATAGTATCACTTTATATGGCATTGATTCAAATGGAAGAAAATCAAATAATATCACAATTAATTTTACATATTTCTCCGAAAATCCATACTTTTATGTCACAAATGATCTGAGGCAAATCTACTATAAGAATATTAAAATCAAATTAAAAATAGTGAATGTTAATAATGCTAATAAGATCAATATAACATACAACATTGACAGTGGTAATAATGATACTTATAGTATAGAGAGTTCTACTTTAGAAATCACACATGACTTAATAGTGGATGTCAATCAAACATCAAATGATTGGGTGTATTGTATTAATTTATGGATTATTGATAGTTATGGTAAATCATCGACAGTATATTCATTCTCCTTTATGAAGAAAGAATACACTGATTTACCAGATTTCGAAATATATTATCGCAAAATCTCAATCTCTGGAAAAGATATGATGAGAAAACGTTAATATTTGTATTTTTAATTTGATTAAAACATATTGATTTTAAATTTATATTAAACTTTTTTATGATTGATTTATTCAATAAATGACAAGTTCGAAAATTGCGATGTTGTTTTCTGTATACTGGAAGTATCCAAGACTTCAATATCATTAATGACTTTACTTCAGATGAAGTGCAAACAATTTTCATATGAAAAATAGATTGGAAATAAGAATATTATTTAATTTTAATATAATAATTCAATCAGATTAGATTGTGTTACATGGCTCCAATAGAATTCAGATAATATCTTACCTTATCTTTTGCAAATGAGAGTGCTGTTCGTCCATCCAAATTTATTCTTTGCATCTTTATCAGCTCCAACTGAGATAAGATATTTGACAACTTCAAGATAACTATTTTCTGATGCATACATGAGTGGAGTCCATCCAAATTTATTCTTTGCATCTTTATCAGCTCCAACTGAGATAAGATATTTGACAACTTCAAGATAACCATTTTCTGATGCATACATGAGTGGAGTCCATTCATAATTATTCTTTGCATCTTTATCAGCTCCAACTGAGATAAGATATTGAACAACTTCAAGATTTATTATGTATATATGTTGACTCTTGTATACAATTATCGAAATGATATTAAACACTTTTTTAGAATTCGATAAATATCATTGATTGAGATTTTCTCTAGTTCAAGATATTTTTAATCATAATTAATATATTCTTGAATAAAAATCCGCTGTATAGTGGATAATGAATACTTTTGAAAATTGAAAATTTTCCAAATTGATTTACACGAAACAGAGCTATGAGGAATTGATTTAATTACTTCATTTGATTTTAAAACTGCAGTGAAAACATATACTTAAATAAAGTTGCCGTTTAAAGTTATATTCAAACAGAGTAATTCAATATTTAAGCGAAAGAAAAAACTAGAAAAATGCAAGCCGAACCGAATCAGCAGGAACAGATCGCAATTCTCCAGAAGGCAATGGAAACCCACAAGAGGGTCGAGCAGTTACAGGAAGAGAATGACAATCTCAGAAGGCAAATTCAGGACAAACAAGAAGTTTTCGAACGTCTTTCACAACTCGCTTTATCATCTGCATCACTTTTAGGATCTGTCGATAGCTCATCCCCAGTTACAGAGATGTCTTCCGTCAAATGCCTTTCTAAACTCGAAGAATCATCAGCAGTTTCAGCAGAAGACGAGAAGCCAGAGGAAGATCCTGTTAAGCTTATTGTTGGCAAATACCTTAATCATTTACTTGCTAAACTTGTCGAATTCTCTGAGAAGAACCAAGAACAGATTGATATTTTCGCACTTCAGGAAATTGAAGAGGAAATGGCTCAACTTTACCAATTCGGTGAAGAAAAGCAGATTATCCCACCAACAAAGCCAACAGAGGGATGGAAGAAGAACGTTGCTGTTCATCAGGCCCTCTTCGAAAAGCTTCAGTCATTGATCAACCAGAAACAGTAATTAGCAGATATTACATGTTTTAATCAAAATATAAGTTCTATATTCAACTACTTTTTTTAATTTTGATAAAATAATGTCATTTATGGCTATAATGAACCTTATAATCTTATTTAACTTTACTAATTTTTACATCTTATGGCATATTTAGCTCGAAAATAATATTATTTGACTTAAATTTTTATCAAAATTCAATGGATATCCAGTTTTTACAAGCCAAAACCAAAAATCATCATATACTATTGCTATCTAATTTGAAGAACTTTACAAAATGATTTTGTTCACATTTTATAAAATTTCGGAAAAATATCAGCTTAATGCAATGATTAATAAGCAAATACCTCGTCACATAAAAAATTAAAAACAAAAATAATTGGAGAATTTCTTAACAATGTAACAATATTTTATTATTATCAAAAATTAGCAAGGAATATTAGTAACTTGCAATCTATAGCTCTTAAAGTTTCTATTAGTGATTTCTATGAGATCATTTTCTGAATTTATGTAAATTGGTCTTGGCGGAATTATATTTTCTTTGAAAATTTCTCTCCAAGTCTGAATATCAAGTACATAACCCGTATCATCCATCATAGGTACTTTAATTGGCTCTCCAGTCAACGGATCAGGTGCTCCTATCAATGGGCAACCAGTGAAATCATCGTCATCAATAAAAGATTTTCGTTTTCTTGTCATTCCGCCTCCTTTTGCACCTGATATCTTTACCTGCTCTTCCAGAGCATTGAAGTGTCTATCAGCAAGCCTTCTGGCTCGTCCTACAGCTTCTTTCAGCGTATCTTTGTCTTCATTCGAAGTATTTTTCTTGTCTTTGTTTTTATTTGTTCTTGTAGTTGCAGGGATGTTTCTAACGGGCTTTTCCATTTGTGGAGTACCATCACCTTCTGTTTTAAGGCATTCCTCGATGAATGCAAAGGCTTCTTGTTCAAGAATTTTGATTGAATTTGGTGGAATTGGCTTTTTATTGCCGTGTTTGAAAACAAGCTTGCCATCTTCAAGCTGGTATTTATCGTCTGTTAATTTGCCATCTTTAATTAATAATCTGTAAAAATTCGAGCATTGGTAACCTAATCTTCCGCGAATTGGAACTGAAAATAGTCCCCAGAGGCCATCTTCGATTTCTAACTCTTCTCTGAAGTATCGTAGTCTATCTCTGAATTGTTCTTCTTCCTCTGGTGTGAATGGACCCGTTTTTTGCGGATCACCCGGAGGACGATTTCTGTAAAAGAATGTATTCGGGTTTTTAATGATTGATTGGAATGATTGTCGACGAATAGGACTCCACATGTTCCATACTTCTTGAGAAACGTATTTTCTCAACTCACTTGGAACTAAATCGTTTTCAGTTAAACGCTTTTGTTCCTCTGATTTTGAGTCTTTTGTTTCCTTTTTCTTATCTGTTTCCTTCTTTCCCTTCTTTTCTGTCTCTTTCTTCTCCTTTTTCTCTGGAGCTTTCTTCTCTTTCTTCTCTTTCTCAGACATTCAAAGAAGTTTTTTTTATTTTTTTCTAGCATGGAATTATTTTTGCTATTTAATTATAAAATTAAAAAACTATTTCTAAATACAAACATTTCCCTCCATATAATAATATCTAAAATTGAAAATTCTAAATTTGAAAGATTAGAAAATTCACTTTTTTGGGGACATTTCTGTGGATAAAAAGACAAGCATCAGCGCTGAAATAGTTTAATCATATTTGTTTAGTGAAGTAAATTTTGGCGCCAAAAGTAAAAAAAAATAATGCGAGTTCAGATTCTTGCACCTCTTAATGAAACAATTACTTTGAAAACCGAAAGCAAAGCGACAATTCTGAGTGCTAAGAGGACAATCTCGAAAATCACCATGATTCCGGTCGAATATCTCGAAATTTACCTCAATTCAACAAAACTCAATGATGAAGACATAATTGACGAAATATCATCCGACCAATCCACACCATTTATTTGTTCGATTTTCGATACTATGCCTAATGAAGATAACTCTGAAGTAGAAGTACCAGCAGATATTGATAATCGAATTCAACAACTTGTATGTTTAGGTTTTACAACACAAACGGCAGCTTGGACGCTTAGAAAATTTAAATATGATATTGCTAAAGCATTGAACTATATTACTTCCAATCCTACCCAAGCAAAGCCTGTTAAACATAACTTTAGGACATTGAATATAACCGAACCTGAAGAAACAGATATACAATATGATGATCTTAAAAAGGAGCATCCATTTCTTTTTGAACCAATTCCAAGCGATTCTCATATTAACGACTACATTAAAATATTAAATGAAACGTTACCTAAAGATATTTCACTTGATGTCTCGGCTCTCGTGAAAGCATTCATTGAAAACGATTACAACGTTTTTTCATTAGCTCACCAATTTCCTCAATTTCGTGTCGGATACCTTGAATACGTATTATACTGGGTTGTTAGAACAGTTACAGAAAGAATTTCTTCTCAAAATAGCTGGAGCATGGCTGAAAACAGATTCATTTTAGAAATGTCGGCTTTAGGTCATAATTTCAGAGAAATTGATGCAGTATTATTTGTTGAAGGTCGTAACAAGAGCGAAGATCACAGAAATACAATGCGTCGCACAATGAAAAGAACTTGGATTCTTCCGAGATTTTTGGAGCAGTTTCCATCATGTGCAAACAATCCTCCAGGTTATACTGATGAAGGCATTCCTTCTTACTTACCTCCACTAATGCCGCAAGTCGTTAAAAAGCCAAAAGTTCAAGATGAAGATAAAATTATAGAAGAAGTTCTTCAAAATAAGGAATATATCCCATACATCAAGAAAGAGATGGCTAAAATAGCCCAGAAACTTATGTCCGAACAGAAAGAACCGAAATTATCAGCAAATGAAGAAGATGACCAACAAGCGTTGTACTTAACTGATGAGCCACCACAGAAGTTTGATGAGCGCCATTCCAGATCCAACTGGCCAACAGACGAAGACCAACTTTTACTAAATAAATATTCCGAGGCCAAAGGATTGAAAGGAAACCGCTGGGAATATATCAGAAAATTCCTTCCAAGCAGATCCGAAAAGTCCATTTACTCGCATTACAGAATTTTGAAATACGAAATCAAATGCAACAAGAGACCAGAGCTGACAGTTCCACCTAACATTGCTGATGAAATCTTCCGTGAATCTACATATACAGAAGACCAAAAATCTTTTAGTGAATTAACCGAAATGATTGACATCATCGAAGCGATCCAAGTCTACTACGAATTGAATGGCAACTGGATTCTCATCTCAAGGAGAATGCCGCAATTCAAAGGTGGTTACATTGCTTATATTTTATATTATGTTTGTACAAGTCTTAAGAAGACAAGAAGGACAAAGACATGGTCTATGCAAGAGCTGCGCTTTTTGCTTGAGAAAAGAGTCGATGGACTTCCTGTTCAGGAAATTTCAGATTTATTAGCAAACAAAAGTCCAAAGCAAGTAGATACAAAGCGTACGCAGATATACACTACAATAAGAACCTCACCATATTTGAAGCAGTTTGCCGCTTTCTTCCAGAAGTGCGATAAAGAAGGAGCAACTTATGATGATAATGGTATACCATCCTATTTAGGACCTATGATTGAAAGGTTCAAATCCGAAATTCGTGTTATTGAATAAAAAATTGACAAATATGTTTGAGTTTTATTTCAACAAAAAGCATTTTTTTTTTTAATGCTTTCCCAACAAACTTCTATTGCATTTCATTGCTCTAAAACCTCATTAGTGTGCAATCATACCTAAAAATATTCATAATGTGCCCATATAGGTATAGATTAAATATTGAAAATCTTTCATTCTCAGACTTCAGCTCCAATTTTGCCAAGTATCACACTGATCGGAAGCAGGAAATATCTCTGTTTTGCAATATTTTAATCTCCACGAAATGGACAAACTGTTCTTCATGTTGTAGCAATTTATTCTAGCAAAGAAACAGTCGAACTTCTTTTCATTATGAATCAGATAACAAAAAAAACTCATCTTTCAAAATCTTAGATGTTATATAATGTTTCTAATAGAAATTGGAGACTAAGAAGTAGAATTTCTAAGCAATGTATTATAGTCTACAACATCTTTCATTATTAGGAGAAAATGAAGGGTAAAATAATTCTAATTAAATTGATTGGTGTATGCAATGAACTTGTTCAAAGAACGGATAACTGTTGAAGAAATATATTTTGAGATTTCTATAAATTTCTGCAATTCAAATAAAAAATGATTGGAAATATTGTGTCTAGCCATATGGTATAAATTATTGTAGACTTTTGAAATTTTGAAAGAATCAGCAAAGATTCACAAAACTAAAAATTCAGAGAAATGTATAAAATAGGTGGGAAAAACTTAATTATTTTTTTAATGAAATCCAACTTCAAAAAAAGAACCAGCATTATTCTTTCACATTATGTGAAATGAGAACTTCTGCAGTTGCTTTACTATTTTTCATTGTTGCAATATGAAGTGCTGTTTCACCAATTTTATTTTTTTCATTGACATTCGCACCATGTGAAATAAGAACTTCTGCAGTTTCTTTACTATTATTCCATGCTGTAATATGAAGTGCAGTTTCTCCACTTTTATTTTTTTCATTGACATTCGCACCATGTGAAATAAGAACTTCTGCAGTTTCTTTACTATTATTCCATGCTGCAATATGAAGTGCGGTTTCACCAATTTTATTTTTTTCATTGACATTCGCACCATGTGAAATAAGAACTTCTGCAGTTTCTTTACTATTATTCCATGCTGCAATATGAAGTGCGGTTTCTCCACCTTCATTTTTTTCATTGACATTCGCACCATGTGAAATGAGAACTTCTGCAGTTGCTTTACTATTTTTCATTGTTGCGATATGAAGTGCTGTTTCACCAATTTTATTTTTTTCATTGACATTCGCACCATGTGAAATAAGAACTTCTGCAGTTTCTTTACTATTATTCCATGCTGCTATATGAAGTGTGGTTTCACCATAGTCATTTTTTTATTGACATTCGCACCATGCGAAATAAGAACTTCTGTAATTTCTTTACTGTTTTCATGTGCTGCAATATGAAGTGCAGTTTCTCCGACTTTATTTTTTTCGTTGACATTCGCACCATTGGAAAGGAAGTATTCAATAAGGGATGAAATATTAAAAATCACTGAATACACAAAACATTTGTTTAGATCATTAGTTTGATCGAAATAAACTAAAAAGGATTCAAGATTATTGTAAAATCCACAGTATTTTAAATCGATCTCTATATTATATTCATTCATCAAGAATGTAACAAAATCAATGTTGTGTGAAATAATTGAATTTACCATGCATTTTTCATTTGGTTTTTGATATTTCAAACATTCACTCATAATCTCCGGATTTCCTCCTAGAAATGATAATTCAAGACATGTTTGAGTTATTGGTGATTTAAATTTCGATCTTAATAACTTGAAACAATCAACTGCTCCATGGTAACAACATAATTCAAGTAATGAATATCCTTTCTCTAATTCTGGATATAAATTGCTTTCAAGTGTTTGATTATCATTAAATCCTTCACTTTCAATGAAGACAATAAACTTTTCTTTATCATTATTCATAATTGCTCTGTAGATCGTATTTTCGATATGAATATCGAGATTTCCTAATTTAATTTTTTCAAAATCATCAGACTTGTCTAATTTAATTCCATATTCTTTATAAAATAGGAAGTTTGAAATAGGTTTAACATTGTTGGTCTTTTCTACATGAAATTCATCAGATATGAGTTTTGCAAGTATCAAATATGACTTTGTATAGCGATTATTATATGGAATGATATTTAAAATGTCTTTTATAATATTTTGTGGTGGATGTTTCTTTGAATCAATCAATTCTTCTTTGATTATTTTGTAAGTTGACTTTAATTCTTCTTCTGTTTCTGTTTTTAACTGATACAGCGTAGTATATGAATCAATATAGTATTTGTATATACTTCTCAATTTGTTGTACTTGTTATGAAGAACGTCTTGGTCGGACATTAAAAAGATATTTTTAAAGATCGGATATAAATTATGAATCTTGATTAAGTCAATAGATATGAAAAAGTCGATAGCAATAGAATTTTCATCAAGATAATTTTAGTATTCAAGATTTTTTTACCAATCATTCTGAATCGATTGATTCTTTGAATATGGATAAAGGGATATATTTAATTGATAAATTTATTTTCAAGACTGCCATAGAGGTCATTCCACTTGAGTTGATATACGTAGACAGGGGATAGAAATCTCAAAATGATATTGCACTCATATTTTATGTAGGTAATGTATATTGAAATCAATCAAGTGAAATATTTAGAGCTCCAACCTATAATATTAAATTTTATTTCAAATGCAACTTAAAATCGTGCATGAATGAGATTGGCAATATGTTTATATCTACATTAGTTGTTTTCTTCGATTTACTTGCTCAATCTTTTTCATTTTGTAAAAAAAAAATGAATAAGTATTAACACATTTGCGAACGTATGAGACTTTCGCAAGTGTGCAATCATAGTTTTCTCCAAATTAATATCAGTTTAAGTAAATGATGAATTGATATTTCTGTATTGATTGGGGCAAAGTCTCAAGAGCGGATCACTTTAATTTGTTTTAACTTGTAATTACAATTTCCCAAAGTTTGTATGCATATTGAATTCTTCGACCTAACAAATTTATAAAAACCTCTAGGTTTCATTCATTTAAAGTGGTCATAAATAAACAGTAATATTTTATATTGAAATAAACATCTTTTTTTATATAAATATAAACAAATACCCATCAATTCAAATTTTTGGGGTACCATTTTTTAATGAAATATTAATCACCAAAAGAATTTGAAGTGATTGGTATTCCAATATACTTCAAACATTTTTCTGAGCAAAGCTCAGAAAAAGTTTGAAGTATATTTCTAATTTTCGAGAATTCCTCGACGTTAAGTTAATGTATATGATAAGGAATCTATAATATGATTTTACTATAATCAATAATATGTAAAACCATTAAAAATCAGTAGAATACAATACATTCAAGAAAAGATAACTTTATAACAATTTCAATAATAAAAATAAATACATTCCTGAAAGAAATATAATATGATATAAACATTATGGAGTAGATCCAACGTATTGAGATAATTCTGCAACAGATGTATTGACGTCTTCACATAACTCAGAAACTTGTTGAACCTCTTTTGTCAATGCTTCAATAAATGATGAAATGTATTCTTTGTCATTAAATGAAGGATTCTGAAGTTTCTTGTTTAATGCAGCTAGTTGGACCTTCAAAGAAAGAGCTCTTGCTTGTTCTTTCATGTCATTATTAGACAACTCAACATTCCAGTTGCATGCAGCTAAATATCTCTTCTTTAGATGTTCTATTTCTTCATTTAAAAGTTTCACTTCTTCTGCAGCTTCATTTGGAGGATCTTTCATCATAGAATTCCTTGTTCTGTACAATCTTGAGTCAAATCTCATAATTAATGTTTCTAGTTCATTCATTTCGCTTTCAGATCTTCTTGGAACTGTTGTATCACAAATATTATCAAATTCTGTTCTGACTCTTCCTAATTTTTGAAGTAATTCTTCATCCCGAGGCATTGTCAGTGATTTAAGTGTGAATCTTTCAATAACTAATGCATCTTCGCAGTTCCTTTTTGTTGTATATTCTGCAATCTTTTCATCTAATTCAGATCTGAGTTGTTTCAGTCTCTTCTTTGATGTTTCTATTTTCGTGGGTTGATTCGAAAGAACTCCTGATTGAACTCTGTCTCTAATTGCAGATAAATTCAATAATTCAAAGCGTTCATCCAAATTTTGGGATAAAATTTTTGACAATTTTTGACGAAGTTCCTTATTTGTTTCGTAAAGTGGCAAATTGTCAGATTTTAATTGTTTTATCAATGTTTCATATTCGCATTCAAGTTCTTTATAAGTATCTGTTGTTGTTAGCATCTGATCATAAGCAACAATTAATTGGGACTTCAAGTTTTCGCTATCTGCAATTACTTCTTCTAATTCTTGTGTTTTTTCAACAGATTTCGGTTTTTCTTCAAGAGATTCTTTAAGAGAATCAATCTTTTTGAGTAATTCGGCTTTCTCTTGTTGTAGTGATTTGATTTTTTCATTTGTTTCTTGAAGATCTGTTTTTGCATTAATAAATTCTTTTTGTCGCTTTCCAAAGTTTTGTTTTGCTCTTTGTAATGAATTTTTTTCTTGTCCTAATGATTGCTGTGATGAAGCAATTTCGTTATTTAGTTGAATGATCGAGTTTTTTGAAATATTTAATCTTGATTTCAAAGATTGAATGGAATCATCGTCATTAGATGATTGTGATGCCTTTGCAGCAGATTGTTTTGTCTGTTTAGAAACAGGAATATCGACTTTGACGCTTACTTGAGGTGATTTTATTATTTCTTGAGGTGGAGGAACTGAATCTGCTCCAGAGATCATCTTCCTGAGCTCTTCGTAAATATCAGACAACTTGTTGTTTATTTGCTTGGAGCAGTTCTGGAGCTCTTTCATATCATTTAAAGCTTGAATTATTCCTCTTAAGTCAGCAGTTGCTTGTGTTGATATTGGCTTGGTTCCTAATGACGTATTACCGACAAGAGCTGGTTTGTATGTTGTTCCGATATCTTTTTGAGTTTGTTTTACTTTGGAAACAAATTTATCAACTTCTTCTTCAGAATACTGCGGATTATTGATTTTAATGTCGAAAATGGTTTCTGCGGTGCTCTCTAATTCATCAACAGTATCGAGTAATTTATCAAGAATTGAGGTTATTTGTTGATTATTTGCAGATTGATCGGAAAGGATATTATTGTGTGAATCGTTTATTACTGTCCTAAGAGATCTAAAGTATTTGAAGCAAACATTTCGAATTCTTGTTAATTGAGAATTAAATTCGCGAATAATCGATGAATCAATTGATTTCCAGTTTGTCCAGAAAGTGTTACACTTACTTTGATTAGTTTTGTATGTGTTTCCTTTTATTATCGTTTCACCAGTTGATTTTGTTAATCTAACGGATTTTATTATCTCTTGCAGTGAATTTTGAGGTATGGATCTTATCGCACCGATACTTTTCAGCAGATCTGAAAAGTAGTTTCCGTACTTAACAATACTCGGGCGGCCTTCTTCTGCTGAATACGCGTGTTTTGGGGAGTTTTCAAGCGTTTGGTTATTATTTTTTGGTTTGGAATCACTTCTCCTTGGTGAAATCTGATTCCATTTTGGTTTTGGACGTAGTGACGGTGAATTTGATAAGTTATTACGGCGCATTTAGAAAAATTGAGAATTTACGATTAAAAATGATTGAAAAGTTTGTCAGAATAAAATCTACAATAATGGCTATTTTATCTTATAAAATTGATTTTTTACTTCTTAAAATTTTTGAAACAAAAGTTCTTTGCTCCATGAAAAATCCAGATCCAATCAAAAATTTAAAACATTTCTTTATTTATCAGTTCGAAACTGCATAATTAGTATATATTGTTCTATTAAAAATATAATAATGCCATGATTATAGGTATTTTTACAAATTATTATAAAATTTCGATTTGAAGTCAAAGATCTATATAATAAATAGGAACTGATGTCAATATTCATTAATCTTTTTAAAAAATTTGACAAGTTGAACAATGTTGCACAGATCCATTTAACCCTTTCAAATATGAGTTTGTTTCCATTTGAACAATTTAAATTTGAAATCTCCAAAAATCCAGAATATAAATCCATTGTCAAGACGGACACAAATTGAATAGATGTCAACGAACACATTCTTGTTAAAGTTGGAGTACAAGCTCAAGTAATTCCACTTTCATCGTTTCCAGAAGCAATTTTAAAAGCTTCATTAAGTGGAAATAAGATAATTGTTTGTTTCAAAATCCCAATTTTTCCTCTATTTAATCTAAATGAATCTGAAGAAGAGTTTGAAGAAGAATATTATTAGTTTAAATATATATATATATATATATTCACGACGATAGCCATAATTATGGGGAGCTGCTCGGCGAGCACTTTATGACGCTTGCACCCTCGCGCTCGCAACGATAGAGAGTTAACTCTGAAAAATTTCTAACTTTGAATTTTTTTGAAAGAAAAGTTTTAAAAACAAAGAGGACTTTATCGATATAATATCATCAATTATACATGCTTTATTTAATTTAACAATAAAATACCACCTTTAAATACTGGTGTTACCTTCCATGCCGGCAATAGCGAGCACTTTACGATAGCGATTATTTTCCTCTCAATTCCTCTCGATTTAGCGAGCGAGCACTTTTTCCCTTAAATATATATAAGGTAGTCACAAAATCTAAGTAGTGAGGCTCTCAAAAATTGAACCGTACTCCATACAAAATTTGTGCACCCTCACTACTTAGATTTTGTGGCCTTCAATTGAGAGGTTAGTTTTGATAGAGCACGTTATAAAATTAAAAGGGAAAAATAAATAAAATTTAAACATTTAATTATATATAATGTAAGGAGTGTAATTCCAAATTTTTTAAAAACTATTCAAATTTGAGCATTTTTTTGGAAATAGTAAATCTAATATGTACATCTAATAACAACATGATTCATCACCTTTTCAAGCTCTGCAGTCAATTTTTTGAAATTTGATTGAAATAAATGTAGCAAAAATTACATTTCATTAGGGAATATATGAGTTTCTCTGGAAACAGGCTGATAAATTTTAAATTTTGTCCAATCAACATGAATGTATTGAGAAATTTGGATTGATTTTCTGGTAGAATCTGGAACAATTCAACCATGTATAAATGGATCATGTAATCATCATGAAATGTTAGTGTTAGAGTTCAAAAGAAACAGAATGAGTGGAAATCAAACACAATCTGAATAATTTTAAACGTATACAATTTTTAAGTTTGTATTTTGAATTCTACATATATGATTGTGTAATTCGTTCTTTCAAATTTTCGGATTCAGGCATGTTTTGATAAAATTCATTCCCAAAAACGTCAATTAACAATTAAATTTAGTGTATTTTAAATATATACGTATTATATTTTATAAATTATATTAAATTCGCAAAATTTTAAGTTTTAAACAAAAATAAAAAATGATCAAAATATGAAATTATGCATAGGATATTAAAATTTATATGTTAGTAATTTTTTTTGAATTGCTTTCAATTTTCATATTGAAATTTTTAAGATTTTTTTCTGAAATAATAAGCAAGAATATCAACCTAAATAATATTAAATTCCATGCGTTAATTTCCCCTCAAAAGTCATTGACCGCCTCTCAATCTAGATTTTGTGAGTACTTTATATATATATATAGCATATAAATCTATAGGCATATGAACCATTGCCAAACTATCTTTTAGAACAATGATTTATTCAAATGCATTTTTTAATTCAAATTTCATCAAATATATTAGCAAACCAATAAGACATGAAATATTCTTCAAAAAAGAAGTATTGATACATTTGGCTAGTAATAAAATTAAAAAACACAAAGTAATAAAAATCAACTTGCTTCTCAATGTCTTTGGTAATTTTTCATGCCAAACCAAATTAGAGGGTATGAAACTTTAAAAACCGAAATTTCTTGTCTGGGCTTTAGAGAGTACCATTTAAATATTAACAAAATGTTGAATCTATTATAACATTTGAATTTTATTCATCAATTATTATTTTGACACTTTACAAATATACTCGGGTCATTATTGATTTTGTAATTTAATCGTCGTCGTTATCGATTTTGTAATTTAATCGTTATCGTCTTTTTCTAAACGTGCATTTTTTGCTTTCGGAGCTATTGAACATACATTGGCCCTTACCAGCAATTGAAAACTATTTTTCATTATCAACAATTACATTACTCCGAGTTATTCATCAATCAATGAAAATCGATATATAGTCCATACTTCAATTTACAATATTGGCAAGTCCAATTTCACTTGGCATATTTAACTCATATAGAAAAACCAGTTGGAATCGGCAAAATTATCTTTAATTCCATACATAAGAAAAAAAAATTATAAAGTTCTTCAATAATAGCAAACTAATAGTTTAAATAGATTTACAAGTATCGCCCATCTACTTTTGATATAATTCACATATTAAATGTAGAAAACTGGTTTAAAATAAATATTTCAAAAGTTCGAAAACGATTTATGAAAAAATAATGTGATGACATTTACTAAATTTGCTCTGTATTAAAGTATCGATGATAGAAAGAGCATATTTTGTAAATATTTCAAAAATATTTAAGGACTTCGACTTTAGCATCACATAAATATGTTATTTTCTATATTAAAACGTAATTTTGGTGGTCTTAGAATAGAAAAATATGCAATATTCGTGGAGATAATGAGGGTTCTTAAACATGTTCTTAAAAATAAATAAAATAATACAAATCTTTATTCAATCTTTTGATATTGTTGGTCCTCTCTTTGTGAAAATACTTAACTTCAAAGAGTATTATGTTTTACCTAGTGATGACCTTAAGTTTGCAAAAACATAATAAAAGTAAAATAAAAAGATCGGATTTATCACAAAACTTTGAGTATTATAGGATTTAATATATTTTCTTAGTAGATTATATGATTTAGTTTCTTAAAATCTAAAGTATTTCTTGAGGAAAATATAAATTGAAATTCAAAAAGTAAAAAAAATGTAAACAAATCAAATTTTAAATGGACCAAATGTTGATTTTTCATTCGTTTTCTCATTATCGAAAAAAATTTGGAAAGCTAAGAAGTCAATAACAAGTTATATAATACAACAAAACCCACATCGGATATGTTTTCATCAAATAGTCTCCTAGATTTGTTATGAAATTAAAATATCATGATATTTTAAGGGCTTTTGATTTCAATATTAGAATTATTCAGTTATGTCGTGCTAATATCAATTGCTTTATACAATTAATCGTTTACAAGCTGCAAAAATCGAACAATAATTTGACTTTGTAAAAAAAGTGCGTCATTTTTATTCGTTATACTTACAAAATGTAAACATTACGAGAAACATTTACATTTGTAAATGTAACAAGTAAAGTTGTATCGCATAATTTGACTTTGTAAAAAAAGTGCGTCATTTTTATTCGTTATACTTACAAAATGTAAACATTACGAGAAACATTTACATTTGTAAATGTAACAAGTAAATACATCAGATTTAAATTGTAAATGTAGTTTATCTCTCTCATCTCCTTTTTAAAAGGTATTACATACATACGAACGCATGGGTCACTCAATAATTAGCGTGATAATAATTGAGGATAGACTGTAATCGTAATTTTATTTTTGGACTTATATTTCGACATTTTGAAGTCGCTTGAAAGTCTTGCAAATGATTAAATTTGGAAAATTTGACCTAAGTCTGCATTATTTTGATGACTTAAACAATTCTATAAATCTGTTTTCCTAAAAATTTAAAAAGATATAATTTCAATTTCCCTAAATTTATGTAATTCATATATCACCAAAATATTTGGACTGCATTTCGTTTGTCTGCACCTAATTAAAGTCTAAATACCAATTAATTTTGGAGTTGCATTGCTTTTAATGTAAAAATGCACGTTTAGAAAAAGACGATAACGATTAAATTACAAAATCGATAACGACGACGATTAAATTACAAAATCGATAACCTCTCAATATACTCTGACCCCATCAAACAAGTGTGGGATGCAATATTCCCCCTGGGGGACAAAACAACATCCTTATTTCATGTACTCTTAATATTGGTTCCACTTTCAATTTTCATAATTTAAAAATTCCACTTCCAATTTTCAGAATAAAAAAATTCCATTTTTTATTATTATTATTATTTCATGAGTGAAGAGTATAATGAGCTTATGAATAAGTACAAGGATTATATTGATCTTTCAGATGCAATATATAAGCTGAAAACGCTAGATGAGGATAAAATCAACGAACTCTACAAAGAAATCAAGAATCAATTTATCGAAAAAGGAATCATTTCAGCATCTCAGAATTTTAAAATGGTCGAAACTGCAATGAAATATAATAATCGTTACTTTAAATCATACTTTTTATTACTCCAAATGTTATCAAAAGAGTATAACCTTAACAAAGACAAATCACTAAACTGGTATCAACAATAATACAAACGTTTAAATATTGAATCAACAAATTCAATACTAAGAGCAATTATGAATTATGATATTGTAGAATTTATTCGATTGACAGAAATAGAAGGATTTGATCCAAATAAAAAAGTTACAAGTCTCTTTTATCCTACATCTAGTATTTCATTACTTGTATCATGTTGCTACTATGGTTCTGTTGCTTGTTTTAAATTTTTAATAACAAAATTCAAATTAGAAATAACTGAAGAATGTATTCAATGTGCATTTTTGGGTGGAAATCCAGACATAGTTAGTGCATGTTTGAAAGAGCTAAAAAACATATTTTTCTTGATGGATTTTGCAATTGCTTCACACAACATCGATTTTGTTTCTTTCATGATGAATGAATATAATATAAAATTCAAATTAATAGAATCTGGGAGATTCCACAATCTTCATGCATTTTTAGTTTATTATGATCAAACAAAAGATATTAACGGATGTATGGCAGCATCTTCTCTTTTTGACATCCCATCACTTTGTGAATATTTCATTTCGAAAGGAGCAGATATCAATGCAAGATGTAATGATAACACAGCTCTTCATTTGGCAGCAAAAAAAGATTGTAGCAAAGCAGCAGAATTTCTTATTTCAAAAGGCGCCAATATGGAGTTAATATGTCAAGATAGATACACTGCTCTTGATTTAGCAGCTGAAAATAATAGCGTTGAAACATTACGAATCCTACTTTTGCATGGTGCAAATATAAATTCAAAAACTGATAGTGGTAGGACTGCATTACATCATGCTGCTTCATTTAATAATAAAGAAGCAATCAACATTCTAATTTCATTTGGTGCTGATATCAATGCCAAAGATGATTTTGGATCAACTCCACAATTATCTTTTGACACTATTACACAAAAACAATGTCAAATATTTTGAGAAGCCAAATTTAAGAAAGTATACAAATGAAGACTCAAACAGCATTTTTTAATTTCCGCACTTTTTTGTCGACATAAATAATAATGTTATATAAATAATGAAAACATAAGATTTAAATAAGAATGTTGTTGATTTGAGACTTCAAAGATTTGATGTTGTTTTATATAAAATATTTTTTTTATTCAGATATATTTATATATAATTTGTTTAAACAAATGTCAAATTCTTAATCTTTTCAATCAATTCATCAATATTAATAACCTGAGGAGGATAACCAGCCGAATCCTGTGTTAGTTCCTGTGTGAATGCTGCGATTGCTGCAGGTTGGTAAGAAGGAGTTGCAGGCTGTCCTTGTTGCTGCAATTGCTGCTGTTGCTGATGTGCTTGCTGTGATGTCTGATTCTGGAAATCATTAACAGCATCATTGTAAAATTCAGAATATTCAACTTTACGCTTCATTTCTTCTTTAGAGTGGCCGTACGGAGGCAACAATGTGACGTATTCTTTGGAAACTTTAGGGAAATCAACAGAAAACTCATGTGTGCAATACGCTGTCATTATTAATTCATCGGGATCCAAAGGATACAAATCTCTGAAACGGTATCGATGCATGTAAGGAATGAAAGGATAAAGCATCTTAATTGTTTTCTGGATCTCATTCAAATGGTCAGGAGGAGCAACGTGTTCGAGTTCGAATTCGAAAAGTTTTTTAGATATCTTTAATATACTTTCTTCGCTTTCATCTCCTTTTGATTGTTGCAACAATAACCTTGTGTTTCTTATATCTCTTTGTCCGGCCATGAAATCAGCAGCTGCCAATGTGAGTTCCGTTGAATGGAATGTATCTAAACCATGCTGATAAAGTGACCACGCGATATCAGGATTAGAACACATTTTTGCGGCATTGATAATGAAATTTGGAGAAATCAAATCCAATCTGTCAGAAACTGTCTGCAAAGCTTCGTTTTCTCCTGACATAAGCATCACACATCTGAAATCTAATGTCATTGCCGCAGAAAGAACTGGCTCTTCCCGTTTCATTAGTTCGGAATAAATTTTTCTTGCGGCTTCGAAATTTCCTGATTTTACAAGTAAATCAGCACGTTCAAGTTCAAAAGCGGCATCGAACATGAACGTTTTCTGTGACAGTTCTAGGATGTTCTGGGAATCTTGCTCTCTGCCTGTTTGTTTAAGGAATTCCCAGTATTGCATCCAGACACTTTTTACCCACCAACATTCATTCAATGCGCGACGATATGAAAAATCGATCAAATCATTGTAGAATTTGTTATCGTCTTGGATGATTTGTTTCATTATCGTGCGCTCTGTGTTGATGTAGTCCATCCATGCACGGAATCGCTCGTTTTCGGATTTGACCATTTCCGGATTTTTGAAATTGAAATTGTCGGGGCCACGACGGTTTCTTCGGCATTTCTCTTCACAGGCGAATCTTTCTTTGCATTGGTCTTTGTTTTCTTTGAATTCTTGTGTCAATTGTAATAATTTGTCTTCTTTGTAGCCGGGGAGCTTCTCTTTGAACTGGCGGAGTGTGTTTTCGACACCTGGTGGATGGGATTTCTCTGTAAGAGCAACAATGACTTGGTCTAAGTATGAATCTCCTTTTTTGTGGAAATCGTTGTCGAAAAAGATCCTGACAACATTGCAGATGTCGATTTGATGCACACGCTCTTGGATACGAGTGATCATATGTAAATCTGGAGAGATTGCTGATACTTTTGAAAGGGCAGATTCTGGATTTGATAAATCTGACTGTTCATGGGCAAGTTTGAGCAGATCGTATGAATATTCGATGCCTGTACTTAACGCTTTAAGTAAATACGTGCAGATATCTACTGGATCTGTTAAACTTTTGATGTAATTAAGCCATTCGCTTGCAAAATCGATTGTAAAGCCAACACGACGTAAGCAAAGTGTTCGGTCTTTGTGTTTCTTCCAATGCTTAGGGTTTGTTGTGTAAACTAAGACTTTATTGAGATAATATTCAAATCTTGTATTGTCAATCTTCTCGATGTAGTCAAAACAGAAGTCGATAGCATCTGATGATGTAGGATGGAAGTATAAATGGCCGTCAATAAACCGGAAAATGACATTTGTTAAAAATGTCAAGTTTTGTGAGGAATCGAGCTGCTTAATGTCGTTTAAAATGGTGTATAATCTCTCAATTAGCTTTTCCCATGGATCAAAGTTAAATGGTTCTGTTTCTGTTTTAAGATAATATTCATAAATTTCTTGATTTTTGATTTTTTTAATATAACTACGAATCGGTTCGGAAAACATAAAAAGAGGAGCACCAAAAAACTCAATTTCGAATGGTGGACCTCCACCAGACAAGTATGAAGAATTTGCTCCATCAGTTTTCTTACAGATATGCCAGCCAGCACGTGTCAAGAAAGGTTGAGAGATTTCATTGTATTTTAGTGACATGGCAACTTTTGTGAAATTAGTATCGTATACTTCAATTGCACCCCAATTTAAGTCACCACGGTTCTCGGCTGATCCATCATCGGACCAAATATATGCAATTTCTTCAAATGTTTTCTCGCCACTGATAATTTTTTCGTAAAGTGATTTAATAATATTATATGCTTCTTGTTTAGTTTTTTCGATTGGTCGACCTAGTCGATTTGGGTTTCTGGAAACTGGGTGATTAGATTCTGTATGTTTAATTAAGATATGTGAGCATCGAAAGATTAATGGCCAAGGACCGTCATAACCTGGCGGAGGAGCAGGCCGTACCCATGAACATATCTTTTCTTTCTCATTTCTAAAGTAATATCTAGACCCGCTTAATGTTTTGACTTCAAATCCTGGTGGAAGAGAAGCCATTTTTTTGTTTATTTTTTTTTCTCTCTCTCTCAACAAAAATTAACACACTTAATTTTACTGTATTAATGTTATCGCATTATATCAAGTAATATAAATTTCATATTAACTTTTCGTTTGAGAAATTATAATTATAATTCATTTCAAAATTAGCGATAAGTTTCTAATTTAACTATGCGTATAGATAACTTAACCTCAAGATATAGTTTTGCCTAGTTAATCTTATATAAATATCAAAAATGGTGCAGAAATCAGTTTGTTTTCATAAAAATTGTAAACCATTGAAAAAATTCAAGTTTGAATGATTTTTCGAGAAATTACATACTTTTATTGATATGAATAAAATGAATAAGAATTGTTTTGAGAGGAAGTAAAATTTTGATTCACAAAATGTACAATCAAAAGACTAACTTCACAACTGATGAACTTATGCAGCCAATTCCAAAAGGTTCAACGTTCAATGGAATATTTACCAGAAGAGAAAAAACAAAACTTACCACTCATCAATTTTATCTTTACTCACAAGACGCAGAAAATCTTCTATTATCATCTACAAACATAGGACCAACGAGACATTTTGTAATATCTACTAGTGCTAATGAAATTAAAGAAGGCTCTGAATTCCATATTGCTTCATCTGAAATTTCAGGCTATACATATAACTTTACTGATGTTAATCATAAGCCAATCCTCGAAGTTACTTATAAATCATTCACAGAAAAGAAAACAGGAATTAGAAAATTAGAAATTAAAATGTTTAACAAAAATCATGAGCCAATTGAAGAAGAGAGTGAACAAGTAATACAACGAATGCCTCATAAGGTTAATAATCAATATTCTATGGTTTTCCCTTCAATTCCAATTTCAGGTATGTGTGGGAAACAGTCAGAAAAGAATTTAATACTTGAATACAAGGATGAAATATGTTTTATATTCGAAAAGACAGAAGAAGATGAATTTTATCTTGCAATTCGATATCCTTTAAACATTGTTCAAGGTTTTTGCATTGCACTCACAGCAATGTCGAAATTCGCTACTGAATAGTCACAACTTTACATAATTTCATATAAATAGAATGTATGTTAATAAAATCTCTTAAGAATTAAAAACTACTGTTATAAATACTAATAATGAACTTTTGATTTTATTTTGTCAATATCAAAAATTGAAAATTCGTTAAAAGCGAAAAATAATTTTTGAAATATATAATATTTATGATTAATATTAGATGCCTAAGAACCGGCAAGAAGTATCACTCTCATTTAAACTATACAATTTTATTTTGTCAATATCAAAAATTGAAAATTCGTTAAAAGCGAAAAATAATTTTTGAAATATATAATATTTATGATTAATATTAGATGCCTAAGAACCGGCAAGAAGTATCACTCTCATTTAAACTATATAATATTTATGAAATACCATAATTTACAAAATATAACATTAACAGAGTCTTTATTCAATAATATTTCTTGATTATATAGTGGTATTCCTTTATTCTAATGAGCACATATATCTAAAAACGAATTAATCATATCTCATACTTTATCTAGTTTTTCTGCTTTCTAACTTTGAGAGACTATATGATTTTATGGAAAATTTGAGTGTCTATATTATGCCATCTGAAGAGCTTTAGAAAAAAATGCCTTTATCATTAAGTATTCAAAAAGACTTGTGCGAATGGGGAATAAATTGTCATTAGATGAATGAACGAGTGAATTCTTGGGAAAGATAATATTAGATACCACAAAAATTGTTCAATTGGAGCCTTTAAAAAAATAAAATATTCATGATTTTTGTTTTATAAATTCAATAGTAACAATAGATAATATTACAATAGTATATCAGTGAAATAGCCGAATTACACAGATGTTTCAATCTTTTTGAAAGTTGAAGGATCTTGGCGGCAAAATGGACAAGTTTTGTTCTCTTCGTACCATCTAGACAAGCATTTGTCACAAAATCCTGTATGACCACAAGGGAAAATTATACAATTTGCTTCATTATCGTTGCAAATTGTACAAAGTCCATGAGAATCTTCGCTAAATCCTGATGTAACGCCAATTATTGGGAACCTGCATAGAGGGCATGATTCCTTGTTCTTCAAAGCCTTTTGTCCGCAGCTCATGCAGTAAATACAATGGCCACAATCCTGGAAATAGCAATCGCGTGGTCCTTCTTGGCACTTTATGCATTTATTTGAAGACTGCGGTAGTAATGGATCGCATGGGATATGTAATCTGTCGGCTTCTTCTTGGATATTCGTTGCTGGTGGGCATTCTCCATTTCCTTCGAATACGTATAATCTGCTTGTCTGTCCATCGTAAGGCTGAACATGTTTTGAGACCCTATTATTCTTTACAGATGCAGATCCTTTGTATCGAAGTTGACAAATCGCTTTTGTGACTCCATTGAACGTATTTTCTACTGCATCAATTTTTCCTCCACTGTAAACAAGTAGGCCATAAGGATAATTACCATCAATTTCATTAGATTTGAAAACAACATTTGAAGAATTATAAGATTCGCATGCTGATATCATGCAATTCAAGATCTTGTTATGATTTATTATGATATCTGTCGTATCTGAAACGCTGATTCCGCATTCTCCGACAATATCAATTGTATTATCTTGGAAAAGGACTTGTTTGGAACCTCTAAAGCATATACCTGATTTATCCATGTTCCTTATATAATTTCCGGTTATTTGGCCGACACATCCATATAATAAAGCAATACTTGGGAATTGGCAGTCTGTAATTGTGTTATTTGTAATGAGTGCTCTAGAGCTATCACTTATATAAGCTCCATTTCCATTGATATTCTTTATTTCGTTATGATCAATTTCAATTTTTGAAGCAGCACAGGAAATAGCTGAAGATTCAATGTTATCAAAGAAGCAATCTTTTAGTGTTATGGCTTTGCACTTCACAAATGTAATTCCGTTTTGTTTTAAGTTGGAAAATTTTGTTCTTTCAACAATGTATTGGCAATTCATTGCATAAATGGATGGATATTGAATATCTGTTAATTCTGAATCTGTAATCTGAACAACGCTATTTTCTTGTGAATAAATTCCGTTTTGTCTCGAATCTTTCACCGTAGTTTTCTCCATAATGAGTTTTGAGCTGGAAACATTAATAAGTGTACAATTGCTATCTTGTATCGTGTCTTTTTTCAATAAAACTTGAGAGTTGTGTAAAATATTAATTGAAACTTTTTCGTTGCAATGGATTTCGCTATCTTTAATTAAAACTGTTGATCTCTGTATTTCTATTAGAGCATATTCTTGGCAGTCATCCATTGTTATATTGCATTGCTGAATCATTATGAAAGGAGACGATTCTATTATTAGCGGACTTTCAATTTTGAGATTGTTTAAAACTGCTGTTACTTTTCTACATTTAATGGAGTTACATTTAATTGATTTTCTCTCCGATTTGCAAATCAAAGTTTCATTATCTCGAAAATTTATGCCTTTTAGTTCTAAAACTAAATCATCTAATAGTACATATTCATTTTCTTGAACGCCACGCGTAAGTATGTTTGGATAAAGTTCAACAAGCTCGGATAGTAATTGATATTCCATTTTGAAAACATTTTTTGAATAATTTACATTCAATAAAAAAACAGAAAAATTTGACATAATTTTAATTTTTCTAATTCCACAGATTTGCTGCGATAAAATTGTAAAGGAACTAATTTAAGTTGTGGCATTTTTCAAAACTAGTCGCATAGGAAATAATTTCTTTTCATAATGATTAAAAGAATGCTGGTATGTCCATACAGCTGCACACAAAATGTCTATAATTGATTTAAATGAAATTTGAGGAAATCATAGATTATTTCTTAAATACAAAACATTTTTAAATCTAGAAGTTCTTAGAAAGATTAATGATGGAAATTCCTGAGTATATCAACAAATACTATATCATACTGTCTCCGTTCTGTAAATTATTTCACATTAAACTTAATAATTCGATCAACAAAAGGATTCTCTTAATAATGCCAAAATGAGATCTCTGTATGTTAATTATAAGTTAGAATGTTCATATTTCAGGATATTTTAAATAAATTAGCTCTTGAATATAAAAATTGAATTTTTCTTTTAAATAATATTTGAGTTTTCTGTAATAAAATACATATAACATATGAATTATTTGTATTTTACCGATTTTATTTTTTAAGTTTCGAAGTAAATTATCATGCAAAAACGATTTGAATATAAAAATTTCATGAATATTATAATTTTATGAAAACTTGAATCATTAATCTTCATGTTTTAGACTCCATTTCTTTGATTTTTAAATTTATTAGAAAAATTCATTTTTACAATACTGTCATGCAAACTATTCTAGACTTCGTATTTACGATTTCTTCACTCATATTCTCATATTGATAATGGTGGGCTGTTGTTACTTGGTTTTCAAACGCTATGCACAGTATGAGTTATGAGCCGAAATGCATGATTGTCTATTTGGGGTGTGACTGCCTGAATTTTCCTCAATTTCATTTATTTTTATAAAATTTTGCAATTTTTTTTGGCGAATTTTTGAGCAAATTTGATGGATTCGAAAGAAATGAAGAATTTTCTTCATAGTGTGTCAAAGCCTAACCATCATTCCAATGTTAAAGCCAGAATTCAAAAGGAATTAACAGAAATTAAGAAACAATTTTTAAAAGAAGATAACACTTCATCGACTGTTCTCCTTCCTATTGCAAAATTAGCCTTTCTCACTATTGTTGGTGTTAATGTTGACTTCGAAGCTAAAGAAATTATGCGTTGATTAAATTCTCATCGACTATCTAATGTAAGAATCGGATATTTAGCAGCTTCATTAATATTTTCACAGACTACATCATCATTTAAATTGATTATTCCTGTCGCAAAACAACATTTGATGAGCAAGTATCTCTTGCAATATTTAGTAGAACTGGTGAAACATTGAAGATCCGTGAGGCCTATTCATATCTTATGGTTCTTAACGAGTTAATGAGCTTGATTGCCATGGTTCCTTTAACATATGATTCAATGGTCCTTTGTGCGCAAACAATTGCACGCCATTTGAAGACTAAAAGGGTCAACGTTCTCAGTTTCGCTATAGATACATTGCTACATATTGTTAAAACGACACATCAACTTGCGTCGAGTATTCAGAGCTCTCTGTCCGATTTATTTTCAGCCATGAGATGCACTGATATCAATGTCTCCAAATTGTCCATTAATTTGATGGAAAAAATGTCTAATGAACAAAATTACAAAGAAATGACCGAAGAATTCATGTCTTACATCCAAGCCGCACCTCTTGATGTCAGGAAAGTCCTTTGCTGCACAGTTCCTAAGATATTAAGCATCGAAACAGCAGATCCAGAGTTTTTTGTTTTGACAAATATCAATTTGATGAAAATTGCCGGCAAATTCACGGATGATTCAATATGGCAGACCACTGCAGATAAATGTGAAGAAATAGAGCCATTAATTGAAAACATTATCGAAGATTTGATTGACTTTATCAAAAAGACACCAGAACCATCTGTATCATTAATGAAATTAACCATTTTCTTATGTGGAAAATATGTTAATACCAAACCAATCCCAATTATTGAATTATTTGTTAGTCGGTTTGGATCTCAAGATTCTCTTGTCCAATCAATGATCATTACCATGATCACTAGGATCACGACAAGATGTGTTGACATTTACGATGCAACAATTAAATTTTTATCTAAGAATCTTCGACACCCGAATCCAGAAGTTTCACAAAGAGCCTCTGAATGCTTTATTACATTACAGACAACACCATTATCTAAGTCTATATTTGAATCAATGCCAAAGGACTTCTCCGAGAAAGATTTAAATGATATGTTGAATTTATTAAAGGTCAATGTTCCTTCAAACTTCGAAATTGACCAAGTAATGCATCATGAAGAAGACGAAGACAGATCAAAACAGGAAGAATTGCTCATTAGAAGATTCATTTTAACCAACGAAGGCGTTTTATATTTAGATCATTTTATTCATGTATCAGGGAAGCTTAAATACGGTAGTGATAAGATGAGCAATGTTGCACAGATCCATTTAACCCTTTCAAATATGAGTTTGTTTCCATTTGAACAATTTAAATTTGAAATCTCCAAAAATCCAGAATATAAATCCATTGTCAAGACGGACACAAATTGTATAGATGTCAACGAACACATTCTTGTTAAAGTTGGAGTACAAGCTCAAGTAATTCCACTTTCATCGTTTCCAGAAGCAATTTTAATAGCTTCATTAAGTGGAAATAAGATAATTGTTTGTTTCAAAATCCCAATTTTTCCTCCATTTAATCTAACTGAATCTGAAGAAGATTTTGAAGAAGAAGAGTATTTGAATGACGAAGAAAATTATTAGTTTATATTATTATTTTTTGTATATGTTATATTAAATGTTTGTTTGAATTCTCAATTTTGCTTCTATATGTAAAAAATATATTTCATTATCAAAACGTTGAAGTCATATTAACAACTTTATTATTTAAGGGTGCGCTTACTACTTTCTGACATGCTCCTATAATATCAATATATCTTTATTGTGATTGCAAAAAAGTATAACAGTAATATAAGGTACTAAGTAGTGATTTAAAATAACTTCTTCCCGAACAAAGTTAATGACTTTTTACCTTAGAAAATTTGGATAAAAATCTAGAATTGAGGGAATGTCAGAAAGTGGTAAGTGCACCCTTAATACTTATAATTGACATCTATAATATTATTTTTTAAATCTTATGATTCGTATCGACATCATTATAATTTAATCTTTTGCATTGCACTTCTTTTAAGTCTCGAAATGTAAAATATTCATTTATTCTCATATGACACAGTCTACAGTTATGATGTTTAAAGAGAATGGTCATTAATACTAAATATCAGTTGTCAAGTAGTAAAATATTCACCATTTATTTATTGAAACAGAAGTTCAACAACCAAAAGAAAAATCTTAAAATTAATATAATTGTGGAGTTGTACCATAATCATCTTTGGCATTGACATCTGCACCAAATGAAATTAGAATGTCGATTGCTTCTCTTTTATTAAATGAAGCAGCATGATGTAATGCAGACCTACCACCATCAGCTTTTGAATTCATATTCGCACCATGTAAAAGTAGGATTCGTAATGTTTCAACACTATTATTTTGAGCTGCTAAATCAAGAGCAGTGTTTCTATCATAATATTTTAACTCCATATTGGCGCCTTTTGAAATAAGAAAATTTGCTGCTTTGCTACAATCTTTTTTTGCTGCCAAATGAAGAGCTGTGTTATCATTACATCTTGCATTGATATCTGCTCCTTTCGAAATGAAATATTCACAAAGTGATGGGATGTCAAAAAGAGAAGATGCTGCCATACATCCGTTAATATCTTTTGTTTGATCATAATAAACTAAAAATGCATGAAGATTGTGGAATCTCCCAGATTCTATTAATTTGAATTTTATATTATATTCATTCATCATGAAAGAAACAAAATCAATGTTGTGTGAAGCAATTGCAAAATCCATCAAGAAAAATATGTTTTTTAGCTCTTTCAAACATGCACTAACTATGTCTGGATTTCCACCCAAAAATGCACATTGAATACATTCTTCAGTTATTTCTAATTTGAATTTTGTTATTAAAAATTTAAAACAAGCAACAGAACCATAATAGCAACATAATTCAACTAATGAAAGACTAGATATAGGATAAAAGCAGCTCATAACTTTTTTATTTGGATCAAATCCTTCTATTGCTGTCAATCGAATAAATTCTACAATATCATAATTCATAATTGCTCTTAGTATTGAATTTGTTGATTCAATATTTAAACGTTTGTATTATTGTTGATACCAGTTTAGTGATTTGTCTTTGTTAAGGTTATACTCTTTTGATAACATTTGGAGTAATAAAAAGTATGATTTAAAGTAACGATTATTATATTTCATTGCAGTTTCGACCATTTTAAAATTCTGAGATGCTGAAATGATTCCTTTTTCGATAAATTGATTCTTGATTTCTTTGTAGAGTTCGTTGATTTTATCCTCATCTAGCGTTTTCAGCTTATATATTGCATCTGTAAGATCAATATAATCCTTGTACTTATTCATAAGCTCATTATACTCTTCACTCATGAAATAATAATAATAATAAAATATGGAATTTTTTTTATTCTGAAAATTGAAAGTGGAATTTTTAAAAATTTGAAATTTCTTAAGGAGGTTCTCCGACCAAACCGCTTGTATCATCAATCAGCTCCCATTTTGTGCAAAGCCTATGCTTTTTTTCATCTCGAAAACAAAAAATTTCGAAAAAAAATACAACTTGGGTTCATTTAAACCCATTGTCCAAGTCAATCATTTGTGCGAAGTCTCGGGCTCGGATTCTAACTTTTTGGTCGGCATTAAATCTCATTGCGAATAAATTATACTGAAACCTTAGTATTTGACCAGAAGATATTCACAACAATCGAGTGTGCATGAAAAGTTACTAAGCTTTGAGGTGTTTGGATAATGCCTTGGCAAAATTATTATTGTAAATTTATATTTTCGAATAAACTAACAACAATATAAAAACTTATTAAATATACTAAGCAAAATATATCAGTCTTCAATGTTTTTTTCTTAAGCATTTATTAAATATACAAAAAGATATTTTTATGTCATTTTTTCGTTTTTGAAAAAATTTGGAGAATCCATACTGCATCATTCACATTATATTACATTTTTCTTAGTTATTATTTACTTAAAATGGGTTATTATTCAAAATAATCGCTATATTTTCACATTATTAGTTATGATTTGCTTTTAAACCTATATATTATTCTTTTTAGAAGTCATACTACTCAATAATATTAATGTTGGAAAATATAACAACATTGAATATGCGCATTGCAACTGTTATTAATATCGAAGCCAGCATATAGGTATTAATGAATTTTGAGTGTATAATATTTGAAAAATGGCACTTAAATATATTAAAGAAGTTTCAATTAAAATATATAATCTATTTTTCCAAAGGTAAGCATCATGAGATGAAATTTTAAGATGAAGGTCTAAAGTAAATTATATTGGTGCAATATTATGGCAATTAGACTGGAATTAAAAATCAAATGAGATAAAAAATTGAAAAAACGAAAAAAGAAAATTAAAACGGAGATATTCAGTATTTTAGATATCTGATTCATTTACCAAAAATCAAAAAAAGTCACTACACATGGCGCAGAGCTCCCACTAAAGGCCGGCTTCGAAATGCTGTAAAATTCACTTTTCCGAGGGAAATACTTCGTATCTGAAGGCTGGAGTAAGACAAATCTTATCTATGGCCAGAGAAGAATCAAAATCTCACAAGTTGCTAAAAGTTGGATTTATTCGGAAAATGCAAGATAATTGCAAATTTCATGAAAAAGACCTCTTTTCACAAACTTGCTTGAAAAATAACTTATTCATATATGAAGTATTTTAAAGGTTAAGAGAAAGTTTAGATAAGTATGTTATTTAGGCACTTGAGTACCCTCTAAGTTAGGGGAAATTGAGAGGATGAGTTCACTTGAGAGTACCCCCTTAACTTCACTATTTTCTAGACAGACTATACTAGGGGCACAAATTGAGTTGCGAAAAACAATTTGGGGATCCCAGGGCGATTTATTTAAAGTTTAATGGTACACTTACCACTTTGTGACACACTCTCAATTTTTTTGACACCCATTCATTATATCCCAGTTTTCTAAGATCAAAAGTTAATATTTTTGGTTGGAAAAAAGTTATTACAAATCACTACTTAGTACCTCATATGGATGTTGTACTTTTTTGTTATTAATATGAAGATATGTTAAAATTTTGAGCGCTTGTCAGTAAGTGGTAAGTGCTTCCTAAACTTCTTTAATATTTATATTTGTGAGAGTACTTCTAGGTACAATAGCATGAACGCTTACAGAGTTTTTGAAATAAAAGATAAACATTTTATTTTGAAATAATTATAAAAATAAAATAAACATGATATTATTTAATTATATGTGACATCACTATCATCATCGCTTGATATATCAATATTAGCGAGATCTCTTTGTGGTGTAACATAATAGTTTCTTGGAGATTTAGCATGAACATTTATAGAGTTTGATGCTTGCGAATTATTCTCATGGGTAAGACTTCTTGGAGATATATATGTTGGAACTCTTTGTTGTGAAGGTGGTGCAACTCTTCGTTTTCTTCTTGGTGTGATATCATCATCAAAAGCAGTAGTTGTAATTCTTCTTATATTGTTATCCTTCATTTCTTCATTATTGAAATTTTCTTTTGCAAGTTCATGACGAATATTTTGAACTTCATTTGGTGTCATTGATCTTCTAGGTGAATTAGCTCTTCTTAATCTTCTTGTTTGTGGAGTTTTGGCTGCCTTAGGTATTGGTTGTTGCTGAATTTCTTTATTAACTAAGAATTCTTGTGATTTAATTGCATCTGTGATTGCTTGAACTTGCTCTCCATCCGAATTTCTTCTCTTCTTTCCTTCGCTTTTTGCCCTGTTGTTATTCATATTTTCAACCTTTATTTGATCTTCTGGAACGAGAATAAACTGTGGTTTTGGAATATCACGATTGTTTCTTGGTGTATTTTCATCGTTCTTGAGTATTTCAGGTCTTTTATTTTGGTTTGCATATGATACAACTATAGCTCTTCTTGGGCTGACAAATTTATTAGGGCCGAATGCTGCAGGAGGATGAGGAACTTTAATTGGAGATTTACTAGGTGACTTCATAGGAGATCTAATTGATGATTTAGATGTTGGGACAGGAGAAAGACCTTGTGTTGTTGGTAATGATCTTTGAGAAGCCGAAGCTACTGATTTAACTGATTTGACTGATTGCGGGGTTCTCTTTGCAGAATGAATATTTTGTAATGGAATTTCATCCTCACTAATATATTCTTCTGGATCTGTAAGAGGATTAGAGTTGCTATAATCATTATCTGATATATATTCATATATATACTCATAATAATATTCGCTTGTTTCTTCATTATCAGCACCAGCTACATTAGCAACTTTTGCCGGTGACTTTCTAACTCTCTTTCTTTGCATTGTACCTCTTTCAGGATCAACATATGTTCTAGTATCAATTTGAGTGTCATGACAATCCGGATCATTTCCTATTGTTATAGCAAGTTGATGGTGTTTATGATATTGATAAGTACTGACACATATGATAATTCAAATGTTGGAATGTGACTTGCATCATTAAGTGACATATCAAATTTATTACTTGGATTTTCTGGATAAATTGATAAAACACTAGAATAAACAAGTGATTGAAGACCAGTTGCTAATACTTTCAAGTTTGCATTTGTGAAATCAACCGGACCATTGACTTTCTTGTTTGTTCCAAATGAAACAAATTGATCCCAAGTCATTGTAATATTGATTTCACTGCTTGAAGAAAACTGTACGACTTTGGCTGCAGCTGCAGAGAAATAACAATCTTGAATAACTACTTTCTTGAATGCAATTGTTAGATCTGTATCACAATCAATGATTGTGCTTTTAATTATTACTAAACCTGTTACAGAGTTGGAATTCAAAAGCTTTAAAGCTTGTGCCTTTCCACTTGCTCCAGTAATGGAGTAATTAAGAGCGGCTTTTGAAGTATCTTTTACACCGAAGAAATCGATATATGTATTGGCGTTTTCTTGGACATTAATAATAACATTTGGAGTTACATCAGATATTAATCCGGAAATTTTGTCTGCAGGTAGGTTATCTGTTGTGAAGTAACCAGGAATAGAACTACTACCTAAAGATATCATCAATGGCAAGGCTTTTCTGATGTTGCCATCGATTGTGGCCTTTAATGCAATACTAGTACTTGAATCCATTGAAGTTACTAATATACTCGAGTCTTTCCAAAAACCAATTTGATCCTGAGTTGTCGGGAAAATTAATTTTGCTCTTGCAAAACCAGAGTTTAATGGAACTGTCAAAATGTTTGTGAGTTAGTATACAAGTCTTGGGTATGGTGGCACTGCGTTCCACTTTACCCAATACTTGTGAATTTGACACTTTACAAAACCGTTAACGTGTATTTTACAACACAAACGACAACACTAACTTAACCTTAAATATTTACAAAGCCGCCAACCACTTCACTTCACTAACGAACTCACTAATGTAAAAATAAACGTTCTCACTATCGTTCTCACTAACAACTTCACTAATGTTCTCATAAATTTTCCTCAATATCTTCATCATCAGTGTTAACCCTATTGTAGTCATACTTGAAGCCATAAACTTTCTCTAACTTCTTAACGTACAATTTACATAACTTACCTTCGTCATCGTATGGTTTAATGATATAACTATTTCTATCTTTATAAACAGTCAATGAAAAGTCAACTGGTCTCGGATGTATTTGAAAGAACATGTTATGCTCAGGAAGGAAGAATAAATGTTTAAATGTATGTTTGTTATATGTTTTGATTTGTATGAGTTGCTTTTGTTCTGTCATTACATCCAAATAAAATAAAAATAAAATAAAAAATAAACTTAAAAAATAATGATATCACCACCCTCACACGTATGAAAACATAGCACAAAAATAAATTTAGGGTAGAAGGTTAGATCTAACACGTTTTCTAACCTCTTTTCTAACCTGTTGAATTCATTGCTTTATAACTCTCTTCCTTGGTTTCTTTTTAGTTGCTTTCTTCACGTCTGTCTCCAACTTGACTGTCTTTCTTCTTCGTCCGTAATGATACCAGTTACTTCCACCAGTCAATGGGTCAAATGGTCTTTCGTAAGGATTTCCATACATTCCATAGGGACCATACGGAAGAACTACTGGTGGAGAAGAAACATTTTCTTTAGTTCCATCGAATCTATTTAAATGCATTGTTTCACCTTTCATCTGGTCATTAAAGTCTTTTGCGTGTTTTGCAAACTCATCGTCCTTTCCTAAAGCATTTTCTGACTCAGTCGCAACCAAATTGGATGCTTTATTTATGAGCCCTATTTTATTTAATCTTAACTTCTTTGCAACCCAGCCTCCAATCTTCCCTTTATTTGCATCTAATGTCTTCGAAACCCTTCCTCCACTCATTTTATTTACTGCGTCATAAGCCCCAAGTGCTTTTGCTCCAAATGCTAATGCTTTTGTTCCCATTGCGCCTAAAGCTGTCCAAGCTACCATTTACACCATATTAAAATCATCTCTCTTCAATATTATCTCATAAAAGTTCTCGTTACTGGAGAAAGTCAATGAAACATAAACATTCTCATTCATAAACTTCTTTCTTATCTCATCTATACGCTTCAAAATGTCTGAACAATTGCTAACATCTTCTACAACAGTTATTTCATCATGAATGACCTTCAAGAACAAGCTCATTTAATATGCTATTAAAATCATCTCAATAATGAGTCCATCCTTTCCATCTTTAGGTAGCACAACATCTTTCATTGAAGAAGGTTTCGACAAGTCTTATGTTAAACTTACTGACAAAGTTTGTTATACTATAATGCTTCGGTGGCGAATACATGTAGTTTGAAAGACATAATATAGATTCTTCAGCAAATTCACTTATACTGGATTTTATAACAATGTTCTCACGAGACCAAATACCACCAATTGACAATCTTGTAAGCAATCCTGCTGAACCTTCTACTGTAAACGTCGATGGTAACATTCCACGAAGGTCATCTATTGACATCTTTGAGTCACTGAATTTAAATATTTTCTTAAAGCAATCGTCATTATCTAACCATGCAATAGCTTTGAAGTTTTCATTCGAATATACATCTGCTTCATTAAATGTAAAACCTGACTTCTTTGCAGAGACGACTTTAAAATCTATTGCATTTGTTTCAAAATTATATACTATGGTAACTTCTGAAGGTAATGGATGTCCTTCCGCAGTCAGTTGTTCTCTCACTACCGTTTGAAGCTTTGTGTTAAAAACTTTCATGTCATCTCCTGTGTCTAGGTTCACATACACAGCAACAGGAAAACTATCTTGCTTCTTTGTTTCATCATTATACCTCAAAACATTAAAGTTCTTCAATAATATTGTTCTTCCTGCTGGAATACTTCTAACTTGTCTTATTTCAATAGCTTTCTCACCTCCTACATACTCTACCCAGTGTCTTGGATATTCATAAGTATACTGACTTTCTTGAATTTTGGTAGGTTTCATCATAACGTGTTCATAGTATATCTTTATACTCTTGTCAGTTAGACTCGGTGCTATGTTCTGAATATTTCTGACTTGCATTTTTAATGAAGATAAAATGAAGCATTTAATACATGACGTAGATGAAGACATGAATGAAAGCAGTGAAAAGCTCAACAGTTCTCTCATTCTTCCTTTCAGTAAGGACTATGAGTTCTGTTCAAATGGTGTGTATTTCTATTGTGGAAAGATGGGTTCAGGTAAGACATTTAACCTCATTCGTCATATACTCATAACAGAGCGTTTAGGAAACGACTCTTACTATGACCAAATCATTATATCAGCAACTTCAGACTCTATGGATTCAACAGCGAAAACATTTATGTCAAAAGTTCAAGCCTCTGTCGTTAAAGTTCCAGATAGCGAACTCATTGAATTTCTTCAACGTTACATTCGACGTAAGAGAAAATATTATGCTATTGTAGAGTTCATACAGTCAGGAATGCAAAAGACTTCAGAAGAGATGGAAAGAATTATTGACAAACACCACTTACGTCAATACTCAGGAGTTTACGATATGAAACGACTGACAAACTACATTCTGTCAAAACTTTCAAAATACCCCTTCAAAAAGTATCCTTCAAACACTCTGCTCGTTTGTGACGACTTCGCCGGAAAAGGTTTAGTGTCAAAAGCAGACTCACCATTAGCTAACATCATAACTAAAGTCAGACATTACCACTTAACTGTAGCAATACTTATGCAAACATGGCGTTTCCTTGCTTTAAACATAAAACGTCTCATAACTGACTTCGTTATCTTTCAAGGTTTCTCACGCTATGACATTGAACTCATTTGGAAACAGTCAGGTATAACATTACCTTTTGAAGAAATTTGGGAAGCATATAAGTCTCTCATCTCTCCTCGTTCATACCTTGAGATTCATATCATGACTAATACCATTAAAGTCAAAAACATTCCATGGGAACGACCAACATTGTTTTAAAGTTTAACCTTCAATTGACTGATGGTAAACAAATTCCATGCATCTCTGTCGCCATTTCTGTTAATATTTTTGCTGTCATTCATATCATCCACTTCCCCATCCGTTAGCTTTTGAGGATATGTGTTAGAATAGCTGTTCTTAAATGAAGGCTTTTCACCTTTGAGAGCATAAACTCTATAACTTTCTGCATACTTTATGTTTGAACCTCCTGAGCCATCATTGACATAAATTTTTATAGGCTTCCACCCTTTGTTCATATTCCTGCTTCTTCCCTTAGCTCTTTTGTTCAGTAGTTCTACATCTTTATACACAGCTCCTGTCTCAGTGAATTCAACAATATTTTCATTCGTTAGCTTTACATTCAAACCCTTGTCGAGTATATTGTTCATTTCATACATATAAAAGGTTTTTATTCTATATGAAATGAGAAGCAAATCCATCTTAGCTGGTGCCGTTAATGTTCCAATTGAACCAACATCAAATGTTGACTCACGAACGACAAACAATATTGTCATAAAGAACTATAGTTCAGAGTGTTTGAAAGAAAAAGAACCAGAACTTAAGTCGGGAGGGCTCAAAGAGCCCATCTTGGCGCATGGCGCCGTGAATTTAAACTCAGCTTCAAACGCTAACGCTACATCAGATGTTAAGTTAGAGTATCCACCACTGGACCAAATTCTTTCAAGAGAAGCCAACGACAACCCTTACACAAATGTTCAAACAAATCCTTCAGATAACGTAGACCATTACCTTCTTCAGTTATACCAAACAATTTTACTCAAAGACGATAAGAAGCTTTTGACAAATCTTATAAGCAAGAACCAAATAATTCTAACAAAGGAGGACCTTGAAAATGTTATCTCACGAATAACAGGGAAACAATGTGTCATTGACTATCTCGACCCTGAAATCGAATGCTGTGGTCAAACTCCACTATTCATGAAAATAGGTAACATCCGCATCATTGAAACACCAGGAACTACAGGAGTTGAGTTTAAGTATAAATATTCGAACGAGTATACAAAACTATCTACTTACTATAAGCTTTGCTTGAAATATGTTTTAGTAAATTAAAGCAGTCAGGAGGGCTCTTTGAGCCCATCTTGGCGCTTTGCGCCGTCAGTCAAAAAAATTCAAGTTAGCAATTTGTAATATCTGTCCAAAACTTCTTCAACAGTATCGAACTCATCTTCATAATGCAAACCTAATCTTATTGACTTGGTGCAGTTTTCACTAACACAATATAGCGCTTTGCGCTCGGCGCCTTTGACGCCTTTTTCTGTTCTCTTGACTGGCATAACTAACTCATTTGTTTCATCAAACAGCAACAACCAAAGTTCATGACCTAATACATAACATTCATACTTTATATTTTTAGCTCTGAGTTCTCTTGTAAGCTGTTGCATTTAATATTTTCTAAAAAGTCAACTTCAACAGTCATTCGCACTGGTGCCTTCAGTTCTACAGGCTCTCCTTGAAAGTCAACAAGTCTGAATTGCATGTCTTTCAAATTATGAGGACTAATGCGAACCCATTTACCTAAATGAGTTGCTATGACAGGAACGTTTGGAATGAACATTGAATTGACTGCATAACAGAAGGATTTATATTCTACTGAACCTTTACTATTAACTCCTGAAATACCTGTGACATTAGCTATTTTTGACTCAACGTACAAACAATTACCATAACATACGTATGGAACAGATTTCATCTCAATCGTTTTGTCAACACTTTTCAAAGGAAATGTCATATGGTATGCTCCCAGAAGAAGTTGTACTCTATGACTCATTCTTGGTATCTTGAACTCTTTCTTTACTGAACTTCAATGTTCCCTCAGAAGAGAGTTCGACATCTATGTTGTCAATAGTTTCTTCATTTATGAGAGTATCTATGACTCCAGCAATTTTATCTATTCTGTACTCGGCTGTTACAAATTTTTTATCTATTTCAAATCTATGAAATCTGTTTCATCTGTTATGACAAAAGTTGCGATAGTATTGAAGTCAACAACTCTGAAAGCAAGCGCTTCATTCTGAAGACCTAAGTTTGTTTGTAGCTTTACTGTCCCGTATTCGTTTGGGTCTGTACTTTGCAAATAGAACAACATTTTATTCTCATTAAAATATGACTATTGCTGCATATGCGTATGAAACAAATGAAGCAAGAAGAGCACATGAACTAGTAAACGAAAACTCAACTTTAACCATTGAAGGCAATGATTTAGTCATTGACGATGGAAAAACTAAAAAAGTCATTGATTTCGATACTTTTAACACTTATGACCCATTCATTACAACAAGCAAGGTTCCCATCATAAATGATGGAACGGTGCAATATATAAATTCTACAGTAGATGCCTCATTAGTGAAAGTATTAAATGTTCTCATTGAATTGTTAAAGAGCTTTCGATTTGACGACAACATTAAATGCCTAAAGAATTTAGTCATGAATGAGAAACAAATTCTCGGCGTTGCTGGTAGCAGTAATGATGTACACCTTATGACATTAGAATATTATAACGAACATAAAGATGAACTGAAAGGAGAGAAGGGTGACACCGGACCTCAAGGACCACAAGGAATACAAGGAATACAAGGAATACAAGGACCTCAAGGCGAAAACGGTTTGGATGGAAAGGATGGAAAGGATGGAAAAACTGCTAAATCATGGATATGGGACCTTATAAATACTGGTTTAACAGCTGCTTCATATGGAGTTCTTCAATACCAAATCGGAAAGATATGGGCGGTACTTGGTGAAGAAGTTTTAAATGACGTTAAAAATGCTTTGAACTTCATTTCAAATGGTTCGGATACTATTAAAACTTTATCTGGTTGGATGCAAGAAACAAGGAGTCAAATAGATACTGTAAGACGTATAGCAAACAATGCACGTACGGGATTGGATACTTTACGACAAGCACAAAATACACTAAAGGAAGCAAATGATATTCTTGGCTCAGTATCAGACATGCATGAAGATTGGCTTAAAGGTATTGACAAATCTTTAAAAAATCACAGTCAGTCTATTGCTGACTACAAGAAAAGTATAGATTTTTTACATAGTGCTATGGACGTACATGATGGAAGCATAAGGAACTTACTTAATGCTAACAATAACTTACCAGGAACTATTAAAGCATTTATAAAGTCCTTTGTAAAACCCGGTGCTCTAACATTTAGGTCTTTGAGAGCAAGAGCATTGAAGTCAAGAGATGCAGAAACTCCAACAGAACCTACAGAAGGAACTGAAACAACAGAAACTCCAAAAGAACCACCAAAACCAACAGCTAATGAAATATTGTTCGAATATTTTCCAAGGTACTCTGTTCTCATTGCATACATTCAAGAAATACTTAAGAAAGCAGACTTGACTTTAGGAGATGATGAAAGTTCTGTATATCTTTCGTTCCAGTTTCAAATAGCAGAACTTTTGAGACAGATATGCTTAATGTATGACAACATCTCTGATTTCACAAGATATGATGACGACCATGACCCCGAACATGGTGAAGAAGAAGTTTTACAAACATCCATTAAGACAGGAAAGGTTTTAACTCAAAGTCTCATTATTGACACCAAAGATGGCGAAGTGGACGTTCTTCAAGAGCTGAAGAAAAATACTTCTTCGGGAGGTGGTGGTAGGCATGAACTTGAAATAAATGAGATAGAAGAGAAATTAGCCGAAAAAGCAGATAAAGAACATAAACACAATATCTCCGATATAAATGAACTTCAAGCTACATTAAATAGTAAAGCGGACAAAAATGAACTTGACGCAATGAACAAAGTTTTGAAATCTCATAAACACAACATCTCCGATATAAATGAACTTCAAGCTACATTAAATAGTAAAGCGGACAAGAACCATGTTCATTATATAACTTCAGACGAACAGATTATAACGGACTACCATGGATATTTAACACGAAGTGATGAAGCGAAGACAAAAAATGTTAATGAAAGAAGATATAAATACATTCGTGCTAAAGGTTATGACATAAGCTGTACTGTACAGTATGATGTAGCTAAAGCACCAGAAGCATTTGGTTATACCGGTGAAATTTATGCCTCTACTTTCAATGTTAACGGTGTATTAGTTGAACCAAGATTTATGTTAAGAGTTAAGGCAAAAATAACGTTTGAAGATGCTATTAAAAGTAAAGCTGACAAAGTTGAACTCGAAGCAACGAACAAAGTTTTGAAATCTCATAAACACAACATCTCCGATATAAATGAACTTCAAGCTACATTAGACAGTAAAGCTGACAAGAACCATACACATAAATCCTTCACTACTGTTAGAGCAGACGACATAATATTGAACTTTGACCTTGGTTCAAGTGCACCATTAGAAAATCCAAGTACAAGCGTAAAAGATACTCTTAACAGTTTAGATAAGAGTTGCAGGAACATTGAAAGTCATGCCAGAAACTTTGAAGCACATGAACTACCAACAATGTTAGATAAGAAAGCAGACAAAACTTATGTGGATGCAGAACTAACAAAGAAATTTTCGAAACCAGATACAATGACATTTACAACAGAAATTATAAATGGTGAACCAGCAACTCCATTTGAATTTGTTAGAGGTCTTCAACCAGATACTTTTGAATTTTTCTTGGATAATTCTATTGAACTAACATTACATTATAAAAGTGGAACAAATGCAACATTTCATCCGGGAGATACATTCCAAATGGTATTTAATGACATAAGTTCTTTAGAATATGTTTATAGAGTTATGAGCATATATGATTTAATATATCCTATAGGAGCTGTTTATACGTCTATGAATCCAATAAATCCAAACACTTTATTTGGTGGTAGATGGTATGAAATAGTTGACAGTTTTCCATTCTACACTAATACTCAGTCAATGAAGATGGGAGGTTCAAAGAAAATAGGTATTGAAAACCTTCCTTCACATATGCATAGGTTCAGTGGAAGAACATCTGTGGAAGGAAACCATTCACATTCAATAACAAAAAGAGGTTATACAAATCTTGCAGCGGGTTCGGATAGACAGGGAATGCATAGATATGATATCACAACTGACCCCAAAGATGTTAGCACAGGTATTTTCTGTGGAACTGCAGGAAATCATACACATGTTGTAGCTGGTATTACAGACCCAGCAGGTAATGGAAAAGATTATATGCCTCCTTATATAACAATGCACGCTTGGATACGAGTTGGTTAAAATCTTTAACTTTACATAAATGAGCTTGAAAGAAGTATTCGAACAACATCCATGGAGGTCATTTAAGAAATTCAATGAAGCTGCAAAGAGTTGGGGATTTACTAACAGAGCTGAAGTGAAAAGGTTCTTTGACAAAAATGTTGTACATCAAACAAAAATAAACCCTTACGACTACTTTTTACCAATTTACTCCAACACTCCTGACGCATACCAATTTGACACTCTCATTCAAAGCAGAAAAGGAGGACATAAACCATTCCTCATCTTCATAAATGTTAACACTCGTAAAGCATATGCATATCCAATGAAAAATAAAGGAACTCGTGAAGTGTTAAGAGTTTTACAAAAGTTTGTAGCAGAACATAACCCAAGTACTTTAACATCAGACCAAGACAGTGCATACCTCAGCAATGAAATCACAGAATTTCTCATTAAGCATAACATAACTCACTACACTACTGAAGACCATAACCATAACATACTCGGCATCATAAACCGCTTCATAAGAACGCTCAGAGATTTAAATCAAGAGCGAGACTTTACCGAAGAAACAATGAAACATTTTCTCGAAGTATATAATTCCTCAACACATTCTACAACAGGACATACACCAAATTCAATGACACAACAACAAGAAGAAAAGTATATACAAAAGAAACGAAGCCAAACACAAAATATCAGAAATTCAACACAATTTACCCTCATTCCTGGTACAAAAGTTCGTGTAGTTCTTGACGACAAACCGTTGACAAAGAAACGTTTAAGGTTAAGTAGAAACTATTATATCGTAGACTCTACACAAGGTAATGGATATCTTATAAAAGCTGCTGACGACTCCATAGCATTTTACCCTCGACATAAGTTAGTTGAAAGTAGTAATGGCAAACTTGCTGAAACCATTGACGAAGCAAAGCGAGGAGTGGTTATTGAAATACTTGGCTACAACATAAACGATGACACTTATAAAGTAAGATATGAAGGAGGTGTTGAAGATGTTATACCATCTAAGAACTTGAGAGAGTCAAAGCCAACACATCTGGGACCATTAGAGCGGGAGTACTGGAAAGACAAAAATATGCCAGAAAGAATAAGAAAATTCTTCTAAACTTTTTCATTAGATGTAAATCAGACATGAATGAGAACAGTCATGATATCATTAATGGTACCATTTATTTACACCAAAAAATAATGTTTATGTTAGAATGTTAGATCTAACACGTTTTCTAACCACTTTTCTAACATGGTCTAAAACTCTCGAAAATCATGAATTTTTGACATTTCCTTATGAAAGAAAAATAACGCTAATTTTTTTCTAAGAAAAATTTTTATCTTGTATGTAAAGATATGATTTCAACAATCGGCACAACAACAATTCAAACTACAGCACCAAACTCGTTAGTCATGAATCCAACATCTATGTTAGTAGAGATGAAAAGCTTCATTCCTTCTTCATATACTTTCGAAACAAAAATCCAGAAGATAAAGCAAGAACTTTTAACAAGTAATTTAGACTGTAGTGCGAAAGATGAAACAAATGAACAGTATCTTTATGAAATGCAGGACATTATTGACCATTTACCCAAATTGCCTGAAATCCAACAACAAAAACTAACTATTCCTGAATTCGACGAAATTGAAGTCAAAACAACTGACTCAGTAGAAATAAAGAAGTTCATACGTAAAGTAAATTATGAATTCCTTGGTTTTCATTGCAACCATAAAGTTATGGACAAAGATTGCGACATGGTTTATAAGAATGTTTCTGACATATATAAATCTGAAGAATTTAAGACCTACGATAACTTTGTTTCATTAGTTGCTGAATGTGTTTGGGAAATAAGAGATAAAGATAGAAGAGGCAAAGTATGGAACGAACAACTAAGACCCGCTATGTTTGAGATGAAGAGAGCAATTGACGCCTTAGTTGTTTTAGCAGGTCAAATTTCAATGTATAACGCAAAAATGAACCCGCAATGTTCAAAATGTAAGGCAGCGATGAGGAAATATAACTACTCCGTCAAAGAGATAGAAAGAATGAGAAACGACTATGCAGATTTAAAGAAAGAAGTAGAAAAGCCAGCAGAAGATAAAATGGACATGTTAGCATTTCTGAACAAAAATTATCCAACTGCTGACGATTTCCTTCTATCTGACGTCAAGAAGAAATATAAAGAAACCTTCGGCATTGTTAAAACATTCGATGTACTAAAAGAAGAAATAGAAGCTACAAAACTGTTTAAAGTCATGAACCATCGCAACATATACCATGTAAAACGCTTGTAAATAGTTATGTTAGAAAAGAGGTTAGAAAACGTGTTAGATCTAACATGCTAACATAAACATTATTTTTGCTGAATTCAGCACAAAATTCTGAGTAAAATGACATATGGCACGTGTCAAACCGTTGAGTTTTCACAAATTTTAAAAATTGCTGCGGAAAGTTCGTCAAAAAAGTGAAGGTTCCCGACGGTTTCAAACCGCCATACTTTACATGAAGATAGTTTACAATGTCAACTAAATATCATGTACGATAGAAACGGTTATGTAAAGTTTACATTTTGTAAAGTTTTGTCCTGATTTCTGATTCAGACAAGTCTTGTATTTTTTCATTGTATTTTTATTTTTCAGAACAAGTCTTGTATTTTTTCAGAACAAGTCTTGTATTTTTTCAAGACAAATCTTGTCCTGATTCAGAACAAGTCTTGCACTTTTTCAGGAAATCCTATCGTCTAACTTTACAAATGTCACTTTTTCAACATGATTGCATTTTGGTCGGGAAACAACTTTCTCTCAATTTTGTCACTTTTTTCTATCGTCGTGTTTTGTCACTTTTCCCTCAGGGTGTGTGTCAGAAAATATCCAAAATCTTTATAGCCTCGTATCTCCTTCAATTCTTGACGGCTTGACATGTATGACACACCATTCAATTCAGAATTATGTGCTGAATCTTATGACCTTCATTTGTTCGTGACTTCTTTTCACATATGTAACCCTGAATTTTTAACATTTCTTTAACACAGAAAAATAAAGTTAGTTTTATTTTTATTTATTTTTTTATTTTGTATGTAAGGACAGATATGTCAACAACAGAGAACACAACAACTGCTATCGTTCATGAAGCCATAAATGAAGAATACGAGTGGGTTCAGTTTAACAAACAACTCCGTCTCATTCGTTCGGTCAAAGACGATATGTACCAAATGCAAAGTATTTTGACAGCATGTTTTGCTCCAGACACTAAACACGCAGACGACTGGTTCAAAAACCAAAGCACACAAGAACTTTTGAGTGAAATTTCTCTAGACCGACTTTTTTCGGTCTTGCATAAAACACATGAAAATCGTAAAAATTTGCCAATAAATTTAAGAGGTTATTATGTTCATAGACTTTTAGTAAATGCAGTTGCAATGTGGGCTTCTCCTCGTTATGCATGGCATGTTTACAGACTTCTTGACGAAATTCATAGACAAGAACGTGGAGAGATGGAAAAGAAACTTCAAGCAAAAGATGAAGTCATTGAATCCAAAGACAAAAGCATACAGAAAAGAATACCACGTTCGGTACCAAAAGGAAAGGAAAAGAGTTATAAGTATATGATATATACTGAAGAGTTGGAGAAAGAAGAAGATAGAGATATGGTTATGTTGCATTTAGTCAGAAGAAACAACAAAAGCTTTTATGACCTTGCTAAGATTTACAAATCTGACAGAAACTGGTTCTATCGTGAAAACTTACCGATTTCAATGACACCGAATGAGCAAATAAAGGAAATTGTCAAAAATACTCTTCCTCAAACACACTATGACATCAAAGGTTGCACAATACTTACATTCAAAGAAGACTTAACATTACTGAAGGAAAAAATAACAGAATATTTCGATAACTTCAAAGAGGAAGAATAAAAAAATCTAAGCTAATTTTATTTTTTTTATAAAATTTTATCTCATATGAAAGAACATGAATTTAGAATATTCGGAACTCATGACAGAAGAAGAGAACGAACAACATGTAAAAGATTATGCAAAATTTCTGAAGACATACAAAGCATTTAAACAATATCTAAATGCTTCTAAAGATTATGCAAAATTTCTGAAGGTATATAAAGCTTATGAAAAAGCGTATGAAAAGTTTATACATTGGGGAATTGTTGTAAAATATCGATATGAAGACTAACCAAAAATATATTTTTGCTTAAATGACGTCAGGGTCAATTTCTTCAACCATTTCACTTCCTTCGTCAATGTCAATAGAAGCTTCTTCAACCTTTGGTAAGAACTTTTGTATAACATCTTTGTTCGTTATTGTTTTCAGAGATGAAGAATAATATTTCACATTTGTTTCACCCTTCTTATATTCTTTCTGTTCGGAAAGATTCATAGCAATACTGAAGAAGTCAATGTTGGAGTTCTTTATAATAGTATAATGAGTATCTTTGACATTCACGAAGAAACCCTTTTGTTTCAAAACTACTGCTAACTCTTGTGAAGTATAACGTTTGCGGTCAATGACAATAGCTAATGGTCTGACATACTGACCAAACTTAGATTCTTTCACAAACTTCTTGTTAAAGATAACATTGACGTTTGAAGCATTATTGAACTCATTCTTGATGACAGTAGCGAGAGCATTGTATGAAAAGAACTTGCAATCTTGCATGTGTTTCATTAAAATAAAAATATTAAATTATTTTGAAAAATAACTTAAAAAAATCTAATCTAATTTTTTCAAAAAATATTTTTTATCCGATAGAAAAGATGACAGAAAAATTAACTTTTTACATAGCGCCAGACCCTTCTTGCCCACATCTTTTTAAGCCACAATATATAGTCATAGAACTAAATAGAGAAAGCGAAATTCTACAAATAGAAGAAAGCGAAATTCTACAAACAGAAGAAACATATAGAGACCTAGATAACGAAACTGGATATGCACTATTCTGGTTAGATTGTCCTTATGAAATGTATGAAAAAAAGGCTTTATATGAAGAATATAGAAAATATTGTCATGAAAACAATATAAGACCAAGCTCTAGAGAAAAATTCTATGCTGGTATAAAACATCTTTTCGAAGTTCGGAATGGCAAATATAGAAAGAAATAATTTTTCTAAGTTTATTTTTTCAAAAAATATTTTTTTTATTTCCTACTAAAGATGTATCGGAAGTTGTCTAAGTTAGAACACTCGGAAATAAAACAACTTCTTACAGAAGCTAATATAGATGTTGCAAAGCATTACACAACAAACAAAAAGGCACTCGCTGACATCCTCAATGACTATATGGTGAAATAACTTATGATAGAATTCATGAGTTCATAAAGCCGCAACGCGGCGAGGACGAAGTCCATGCAAGAGCATTTCCTTTAAATGACGTTGCTATTGACTTATATCATAGACGTTCAATACCTCATGAGAATCGAATGCATATCCATCAAAAATGACTTCATCATCTGTTGTAATATTCGTTATCGAATAGCAATTATTGAATGACCATCACCAATATATGCATTATGACCCATGTTTACATATTTTACATTTTTACAATCTTCAAACGCTCTTTTTCCTGCATATGCAAATAGAGGAACTAACACATTGTCAATATTTGTAGAAATAAAAACACCTTCACCGATATAACGAACTGTATTTGGAATAGAGATCATATCAATATGGCTAACAGCAAATGAATAATTTCCAATAGAACCTAATTCATCTGGGAGTGCTAATTTATCAGTAATAAAATCAGTGAATGACCAATTGCCTGCATCATTCAAAGTTTTTGGATATATCAACTTTTTTGTTATTGCACCTCTGAATGTACCTTCTCCAAGTGATAATGTTCCATCTGGAATGGTTATATTTTCCTGTTCAAGATATGCAAATGCATATTTTCCAATTTTCGTTATATTTGCAATCTTAGGTAAAATTAATGTTTGTAATGGACAGTATAAAAATGCATAATCTCCAATAGATTGAATTGTGGAAGGAAGTGATAAATATGTCAAACTGCTGTTACTAAATGCATTATTATCTATTGTTTGTAATCCTTCTTTCAAAATCAATGTTTTAACTGAACAATTCTTAAATGCATAACTTCCAATTCTGGTGAGAGTTGAAGGCAAATCAATATATGAAATTACAGTATCATAGAATGTATAATCTTCAAGATATGCTAAACCTTCTGGAATAATGATGTTTGGAATTGATGTATTTTGAAAAGCATATGAATATATATTTCTGATTGAATGAGGAAATGTTACTTGTGTAATACAACTAGAATATAATGCATATGTATTTAATGTTGTGAAGTTTTCTTTCAGATTCAAATATGTTAGAGATGTGTTATAAAAGACATATTGACCAATAGAGACAAGACCTTCTGGCATCTCTGCATTTCTGAGTGATGAATTATAAAATGCATAATTTTCAATATACTTCAATCCACTTGGAAGATAAATTGTTTCTAACATTGTGTGCTTAAAACATTCATACGGAATTGTTTGAACCTTTGAAGGTATTGTAATTGTTGTAAATGTTGTGTACATGAAACAATATTGTCCAATTGATTGTAATGTTTCTGGAAGTTCAATTCCTTCTAGTTTAGAAGCATTATAAAATACATTGTTTGATATAGTTGTAATTGAATTTGAAAGTTGAATAATTTGGAACATACTATGTGCAAATGTATATTCATATATATATGTTACTGAGTTAGGAATAACAATTGAAGGAATTTTGCTGTGAGCAAAGCAATAAGAATAAATGTAATTTACAGAATCCTGGAAATCGACTAATTGACATGTTGCATTATAAAAGCAATAAGAGTTGACTGTATTTAATGATGATGGGAGATATATATGTTTGATACATGTATCACGAAATGCATTTGAAGAAAGAGATGCGAGTCCTTCTGGAACTCTAATTTCATCAAATGAACATCCGGCAAATGCATACTGACCAATTGATCTTACAGTACTTGGAATGGTAAAATCAACAAGATTTGTATATGCATATTCATAGTCATATATACTGTACCTGTCACTTGGCAGTGTGATATGAGGCATTGGAGTCCATGAAAACAAATAATATCCTATACTCATTTGTGATGTCAAATCGAATGATATCAATGATGAGTTGAAGAAAGCATAACTTCCAACAGATGTTATTGTGTTAGGAAGATGTATTATTGATACATTCGATTCTCTGAATGCTCCTTCTCCAATCGATGTCATACTACTTGGAAGTGTGATGTTTCCCATATGTGTTTGTCCAAATGCTCTGTCACCAATAAATGTTACTCCATATGGAAGATCAATGAATTGTAAGTTGCTTTTATAGAAAGCAAAGTCATCAATGCTCGTTATTGTTGATGCAAGTTTGATTGTATATAAGCTAGATTCTCTAAATGTTCCATCTTGAATCTGTGTAATTCCTTCTGGGATAATAATTGTTGTTAACTTACATCCTCTAAATGCCCATCGTTCAATTCTTGTTACTGTGCTTGGAACTGTGAACTCCAATATATTTGAATACGCAAACATTGCTTCAGGTATGAATGTGAAACCTTCGAAAAGAGAGAAATGCCTTATTAGTGAATTTTGGAATATTGCTGGACCAATGTCGATGACATGACTTGGTATATAAACGCGTGCAATTCTGGATCCATCGAATGCATTTGATCTTATCTGTGTTATTGATTCTGGACATTTCACCCATATCAAATAACTGTTTGCGAATGTATAATTACCAATATATGTTGCTCCATCTGGGATAACTAATGACTGGAGAGCACAATATGCAAAAGCATATTGTCCAATTATTGTCTGATATGGATATTTTATCCAATGAATATTTGTTGAAGCAAGTCCATAATCCTGAATTTCTTCAAATGTATCAGGAACTGAAAGATTGAATAAAGGTGTGTGCGATAAAGCATAAGAACCAATAACTTTTAAAGTACTTGGAATTGTAAGATCAACTAAACTTTCGCACCAGCTAAAAACACTTGCATTAAGCATAGTTAAACCTTCAAATAGTGTGAAGTTTCGGAAATAGTTCTCAGCAAAAGCTCCAGCTTCTATTGTTATCACAGTTCTTGGAAGGACGATATCGTTTAATCCAGCTTCATAAAAAGAATGATCAAATATTCTGGTATGACCATTTGCAACAGTTATATTTCCAAGACTGCAAAATTGAAATGCATATGGCCCAATATATTTGATTGAAGAACAATAATTAAATTTTTTAACGGAAGTTGAAGAAAATGCATAAGACCCGAGATATTCGAAACCATCCGGTGTTGTAATATCATTTAATTTTGTGCAATTGCTAAATGCAGCTGATCCGATATATTTGATCGTATCTGGTAGTTGAACTTTAGCTAGATTATAACAGTTATAGAATGCAGAGTTCGAGATTTTTGTAGTAGTATCATAAATATAAACTTCTTGAAGTTATTGAATAAAAAGCTTCTGCTCCAATTATTGGAACTCCAGATATATTCAAATACGTATAACTGTAGTAGTTATAAGTATAAGGTCTATTAGAAAATTGTGAATACGGTATATTATCTCCAGAAATGTTTGTCCACTCGTATGAATAAACAACATTCATTTGAAATTCCGATAAAAATAAATAAATAAATAAGTAAAAAAAGATTAAATTTTATTGTAACAATTGTAGATATTTGAAAAATATATCGAAATTTTTGATGGTTGGAATTTGTTAGGAACTATCAAAAATTTAAACAAATAAGGCATAATAGCATCTTAAAGCAAAATGCATTTTTAAATAATTTTCTAAATCATTAACCCAAAAACCTGATAAGATTTGAATAAGATATAATCAATGCGTTTATTTTTGAAAGATTATAGAATTTGGGAACAGGACAAATTTGCCACACGGCACTTTTTTTAAAAAAAATTAATGGAGCGGAGCGATCCTCTGCTGCAGGAGCCCCAAGGCTCCCAATCATTACGAAAGGGAGCCTCAGGGCTCCTGAGAATCCATCAGCAGAGGCCTTTTCATTTGGCCTCTGCTGATCAAAGATTCGGCGAAGCCATTCTTCGTCTCAGGAGCCCCAAGGCTCCCAATCATTACGAAAGGGAGCCTCAGGGCTCCTGAGAATCCATCAGCAGAGGCCTTTTCATTTGGCCTCTGCTGATCAAAGATTCGGCGAAGCCATTCTTCGTCTCAGGAGCCCCAAGGCTCCCAATCATTACGAAAGGGAGCCTCAGGGCTCCTGAAAAACCTCTTTGAGAAGGTTTTCTTAAAGAAAACCTTCTCAAAGATGATTGTCAGCATTCACTCAAAATCTACCAAGAGTTTCAAAGTTTCAAATCTATCTGAAATGAAGCTTTGAATCTCTTGTATATCTAATTGTAGAGGTACCTTTTCAAAATGTCTTCTATTGATTAAATTTAATCAGTAAAAGTCATTTTGAAAAGGTACATCTCTATAATTGCTATTGAGCATTCACTCTTGGAACCTTGGAGCTCATGTGTAGTGCATGAAAACTCCAAGATTCTAGCATAAAACATATATCATAGACATAATTTCTTCAAATATAATTTAAGGTTATTTTTTAAAAATTAGAAAAGCGTAATTTAAGGTTATTGAAAAAGTGACAGTTGGCAAATTTGTCCCGCACTCATAGAATTTTTTTTATTGTAAATTAATAATAGTAATCACCATTTATAGTTATCGATCATAGTTGAAAATTTGTCAAATCATATCGAATTAATTTGCTTGAATTATTTTCATTTTTATATCCCAAAGAAATCTTAATTATATCTGATGTTCAATATATATTTAATTCAATTTCTCGATATATGACGGTTATACTGTTATTAAATAATTTCTCTTTTTTTAATCTTCGCAGGTGTTTATTTTGATTTAAAACATTAATAAGGTATGAATAAATTATTCCGAACATTTTTTTAACTTATAAAATTTGAACATTTGAGAGAATGATGAAAAAGATTCATAATTTTATATATAGTTTACAAATATCATAAAATTTTTCGAAAAAATTTTGAAATTTGTAAACTATTCATAAAATTTATGAATTCCATTTTTCAGCATTTCGCACAACATTGATTTAAAATAGTTTCAGCATTTACCCAAAAATTGAGGCTTTGCCTCAATTTTTAGGTAAATGTTGCTAATATGTGTGGCGATCAATATATTAAAATTTGAAAATAAGAGTACAGTTGAAATCAAATTAAATTATATAAATAAAATGTCAATAAAATTATGAATTTTTATTTTGAATACTATTCAAAAATTGTGTGTTTAATTGAAAAAGTGCATAAGAATATATATCATTCAAATTTTATAATGAGAGAAGCATCTTATTCAAGCAATTCGGGAAATTACATGATTCAAGATGGATATATACCAAGCTACAAATTCTTCTTTGACGACTATATAATAAATGCAACAATTAAGAATGTATCACATATTGAAAGTAATGCTTTTCAATATACATTTAATTTACGGAATGTTCTTGTTCTAAACAGTTTATCATACATTTCTAACTCTGCTTTTTCTGAATCTAGTTTACAAAGTATTAAATTCTATGGTTCTGTTGATTCAATTTACTCATATACTTTTTATTATTGCTCAGATCTTATAGAATTCGAAATAAAAGGAGAATTAAGATCACTTGGAGAATATTCATTTTATTCTTGTTCCAATTTACGTTATTTCAATTGTACTATGACACTTTCCACAATTCCATACAACGCTTTTTACCTGTGCAGAAATGTAGAAAAATTAAATCTCCCAGAAATTCTTCAAACTATTGAATCTTACGCTTTTTATGGGTGCAACAATTTGCAAATAGATAAACTTCCTGAAACGATACGCTCTATCAGATCTTATGCTTTTTATGAATGCAGAAGTTTGCAAAAGTTAAATCTCTCTGATACACTTCAAACTATTGAATCTTACGCTTTTTATGGGTGCAACAATTTGCAAATAGATAAACTTCCTGAAACATTACAAACAATTAATTCCCACACATTTTATCAGTGCAGCAATTTAGGAAAAGTAAGATTTCCGATTTCACTTCGAACGATTGAATCTTATGCTTTTTACCAATGCACGAATTTAGAAATAAATATATCCTTAAGTGCATATACAATCAGTTCTTATGCTTTTTATGGATGCGAATCTTTGGTTGAAGTTGTTGTTCCAGAAAAATATAGTTTCAATGATAATATTTTTTCATATGCTCACATAAATTTGTTATATTTACCTTCTGAAATATCTTACATCTATTCCTCAAATTTTCAATATGCGACAATTGGCAACGTCATATTTTCCGCCGATAATACAACACTTTTGGAAAATACATTTTATTATGCTACTATTAAAAGTATACGATTTCCTATTTCTGTTTCTATTCAATTTCGAACATACTCATACACATATTATCAAATAACATATGGATCAACATTAGAGAAAGTTAGATTTGATGAAGGTCTGTCAATCGTTCCCAGATGTTTGTTTTATGGCTCTACTGTAAATGACATTGAATTTCCAGCAACACTCACAAAAATAGAGCAATATGCGTTTTATAGGGCAACTTTAGCTCAAGTTAATTTCCCTGTAACTGGTTTTGATAATATAACAATTGATGACTATGCCTTTTCATCTATAGTGATGGAAAAACTATATCTAACTGATGCAGTAAAGAGCATTGGAGCATATTCATTTTCAAGTTCAAATATAAACTTCGTGAATCTGACAAATCATGTTAAGATTGGTTCATTTGCTTTTGCATATACTCCACTTTCTTCAATTGATATTCCAAATGGAACAACAACAATATATCAATGGTCTTATGCTGATACAAATCTAGTTATTGTAAGACTTCCGATCTCAGTATCTTCGATTGAAAATTATGCTTTTGCTGGATCAAAGATAGCAAAGCTTTTGTATTATAATAAATCAATGACTTTTGGAAGCGGAGTTTTTAAAGATTCATATTTGCGTAAGTTTAGATTCCAAGAAGGAATAACAAGTATTCCAGATTACTTCTTCTGCTTCTCCAAATTAAAAGATATTGTTATTCCTGATACAGTAACATCAATTGGTTATGCAGCTTTTGCAGGCACACCAATCTTTAATTTCACAATTCCACCTCTGATGAGATCAGTCACTTATGGAGTATATTATCAGACAAACATAACAACAATTGAATTGACAGACAAAATTACTTCTATTGATGGTTATGCATTTGCATATAGTAAATTAAGATACATAAACTTAACAGAAAAGATAACATCAATTGGTAACTCTGCATTTTATATGAGCCAGCTTGAATCTATCAATTTGACAAAATCGATGAGCATTGGATATTATCCCTGGGGATATACTCCAATGAGAAGATATAAGATTCCATATGGAAGAACATCAATATATTATTATGAACTAGCATATATGACATTAGATGTATTAATTATTCCACCAACAATTACATGGATAGGCTATCATGCATTTGATTCTTTGAAAGCGCCAAATGTCACCATCCCTAATGGTCCTACTTATATTGATTATTACACATTCGGTTCTGCAATTATACCAGAAATTACTTTACCAGAATCTGTCAATACTATTAATTATGATGCTTTTTATTATACTAATTCAACAACAATTACATTGCCTACTAAAGATATTGATATAAGATATGAGTGTTTTGAATACTCCAGGTTCAGTTATATAAAAATTCCAGAAGGGGTTACAATGATTAATAGGCATTCTTTCCAATATAGTTATTTAGAAAGAATAACTCTTCCTTCAACTCTTCAATGCATTGGTTACAGAGCATTTTATTACTCCAGATTAAAATTTATTGAATTTCCAAATAATTTGTCTCAAATAGATGAAGAAGTATTTGCTGGGACTCAACTAACTGTGGTGGAATTACCTGCTTCAATTAAAATTTTTTGTAAAGGAGTATTTATGAATACAAATCTTACACAAATTAAAATTCCAATTAATTTTTCTCATCTTAATCAGAGTTTTTATGATAGCGGATTGGAAAATGTCAATATTGCAGCCAATTCACTTCAATATATTGGTCCAAGTGATTTCCATGGCACAAAACTCACAGAAATTGTAATACCAGAAGGTGTAAAACGAATTGAATCCAGTGTATTTTCTGGATCAAAAATTGAAAAATTCACTTTTCCATCAAGTCTAACTTTTATTGGTGGAAGTGCGTTTTATGAAACTCCTTGTACAACATTTAAGTTTACAAATGTTGTGACACTTTATGACTATTGTTTTTCAGGAAGTAATGTTAAATATTTAGAGTTACCTCCAACAATATCTTATATTGGACATTATTGTTTCTATAATAAAACATTTGAAAAATTAATTCTTCCATATACAGCAAATTTGAACATTGGAAAATTCGCTTTTGCATACACAAACTTCACAAACTTCACGATTCCTCAAAATGCATATAGTATTCAAGAACAAGCATTTAGAGGTGCTAGAATTGATACTTTAACAATTCCAGGATCAGTTTATTATTTGGGAAACTGGACAGTTGTTAATGGCTATGTTAAAAAGTTGATCATAAAGTCAGGAGTGACTCAATTGAATGAATATTGTTTTGCAATGTCTGATATTCAAACAATAGAAATTCCTTCTTCTTTAGCACAAATTAACCAATTCGCTTTTATGTCGTGTGCAGTTGGAGAAATAATTTTACCTAATAATTGCAATGTTGCAAACAATGCATTTGAAGATTGTTACAATCTGAAAAAGGTTACTCTTGGACAAGGTTGCACAATTGGAGCAGATGCATTCTTAAAGTGCTTTGCTCTCAAAGATTTAGTTTCTTATGATTCTGTCAGGTTTACAAGCAACGCATTCGGAACAATATCCAAAGCAATTGTAATCAAACATCTTGGAACATCTGATTCATCAATTTCATCAACAATTAATAACTTCAAGCAAATTGCTTCGAGTGTTAATGTTCAATGCAACTATCCAAAAACAATATTTTGCGGAATGACTGTTAATAAATTATCATGCTAATTTATTCCTTTTATATTATATTTATTCCTTTTTAAGCTAAATATAAAAAATTTTTATATTGAATAATGTGATTTTTCTCATTTGTATTTTAAGGGTGTATTTATTCCCATATACATAGGATAATTTTCAATGATGCTTCAAGCCAGTATCAAAAATTTGAATTAATGTCAGATGGGCGGGAACAAACTTCTAAATTTTTATGTTATTCTTATCATTTTCCTTAAAGATGCACATTTCACTTTCTTCCATGCCCTGGCAAATAAAAGTATATGAGATTTTTTAAATCAGAAAATTATCCCCTCAATCATGAGATATCATAGGATTTAGAGGAAGTCAGAAAGTTCATTCTCAAAGCGAGAAACATAATTGAAAACTAACATATATGTTACAATTAAATAAACCTGAGAAGATGTCAAATGGGCGTAAGAACACTCTTAAAATAATAATTTTTATATATAACATACAATAAAAAATAATGTTTATTTAATTAAAAAGTTGGATTTCATCTTCAGGACCAATTGCAGCAACAAAATAACTTCCATTTCCGAAAACTGCAGCTCTTGGTTGTGCTCTCAGTCCAAATTTAACAGCCTGCGATAGTTGGACATCCAGTGGATCAGTTATCATAAAAATGAATCCTTCTGTGTCTCCGAAAGAGACAATCAACAAACCATTCTGATGCCAAAAATGGGATTTCGAAGGAATCTCAAAACAAATTGTTTTGTAGTCAGAATACAAATCTTCTGGTTTTCCTGATGGAATAACAAACAAAAGACCATTAGATGTAGAAGCAGTCAAATGTAACATGTTAAAACTGAAATTAAGATTAAATATTTCACTTTCTGTTTCAATTTCAGAGATTAGTAAGTTATTTCCTGACAAATCCCATATCCTAATTGATTTGTCTGTTGAATTTGCTGTTGCCAGGTATCTTCCGCCTGGATGTAAAGATGATAAAGTAATTTCATGCTGAATTTCGGTGTGAACAAGTACTTCGCTATTATTTATCTGTATAACTTCGAAACCATTATCAAAAACAGCAATAACATGTTGAATCTGTGGATGAAAATAACAATTTACAATTTTCTTCTCTGTTTTGATGATTTTATATGGTTTATCATTTTGGTAGTTTTCGTAAATGTAAATAACACCATCAGAATCAGAAACTAAGTAATGATAATCGCGTGAATTATGAATTGAGACTATTGGAGCAGATCCGACTTGGATTTGTTGTACAACTGATTTCAGATGAACATCAAATATTGCAATTGAACTCTCACTTGTTCCTATTAGTAATTTATTATCAATTGTTTGATCTAAAGCAGTAAACTGAGCAGAACCACCTAAAATTGATGTTAAATGAGACAAATTGTAACTGCTGAATCCTTGGAGAATGTTTAATGCTGGTGGAAAATATTGTTCTTTGAAATTTTGTTCAAATGCTAAATTTGATATGGATTGTAAAGAGACTTTTTTAATAAAGCTTGAGAATGTGTTTTCTTCTGCGCTAATATTAGTTGTAGGTTTGATATAAATTCTCTCCCCTTCATTTGATAAAATTCTAGCAATGACACGCTTTGCAGCTTCGGTTTCATATAATGCTTGAGCTAATTCGCGCTCGCATTGAGCTAATTTCTTTCGAGTTTCATAAAGTTCTTTTTGCTTTGAATTCCACTGATTTTGCAATGAAAGTAGATAATCTCCGAATGAGTAATTTCTAACTGTTTGTGTTTTATTGACTGGCATGTCTATTTTTAATGGAATTAAATCTGCAAGAGTCAAACTTTTGTCTGTAACAGGACAAACTGGTGATATCTGAATTTGATGTTCAATAGAATCCTTGTCGTAGACTATTCCTTGAGGTGTTACCACTGGAATTTTCGGAACTTCGCCAGTTAATGCGCACCTCAACATCAGAAAAAATGAAAATTATTTAAAACATCTAACTTATTATATGGGGTGGTGTAAGAAATAAATCTACAACAATGAGCTAAAACGCTTTTGAGGGAATATTGTGCCCTTTTCAAAAAGTTTGAGATCTCCAAATTCCCCTTTTTTCGCCTAGTTCTATTTGTTTTCGTTCAATATGAATATATACATTATGTATATGAGTCTATGTGGGTACATGTTGCTATAGAAAGATAACGATAAATCGTTTTAGATGGTGAAATAGGGCCACTTAAACTAAACAATAAAGATCAAACAATACTCACGCAAGAGCATATTTAAAGCACTTTGAAGTTAAACATAATAGTATATATCACAATGTGATACATCATCTATTCGAAATATTTGGTTAATACATTTTAGTTGTTAAAGTATAAAACAATTTGCTTCATCTTTTTGCAATTTTTAATGATCATTATTATAACTTCTTTTCTTGATGAGTAGACATCATACAGTGGAAAGGCAAACATTATAGTAGTAAGCTTATCTATTTTCAAAACATTTGTTTAGTTAAAACTTATTAAAATATCTATTTAGAGGTGTGAAATTTTCCATCCAATTAATATATGATTCATTATAAAAATATACAATATGATATAATTCCATACCTTGACTTCTTTTCCTGATAACTTACTATATAATGCATACTATAGAAAGTTAAACAATACCTGAGTAAGAGCCTCTATATTTAAAACAATATGTAGTTAAAAAACATAATATACAATACAATTTATTTAAACTTTCTATTCAGGACGGAAATATCCACTATACGAACGAATAATGAACATTCCAGCCTGCAGAGGATCCTGAGTTTCGATTGAAAGACAGATTCTCTGTTTAGGAGCAGTCATCTTCGAAATGAAATTTTGAAGACGTTTGAAAATTATATCATCTGGTTCTATTTCTTCTTCTATTTTCTGTTTCTCAGTGATGAACAACTTTCCTCGAGAGAATTCATCCGAAATTTTACTCATTCTCAGCATTTTTTGGAAAATATCTCTCAAAGTTGTCTGTGAATTTATTGACAACAGTCTGGAAACACCATAAAATATGTTCTTTTTCATCAATCTCACTTCTATTGAGAATGAATTTCCTTTTCCAAGGATTTCTTTAAATTCATTTCTCTTTGATGGGACAACATCGCGAACTGTATCAATACGAGTGATTCCTTTCGTCGGAATATCAGTGTTCTGGTATATTTTCTCGATACATGTCTCTGTTCCCCTGGAAAATTGTAATTTCATGTGTTCATTAACTCTGAAATCTGGATATCGCCTGTGTACTTCGGTTTCTATGTCTGAAACTGAACTACCGATCTTCATCCAGAGTGGCCATTCGATCTTTTTCACGTGGGATGGATAAACTAAAATTAATCTGATCGGAGTGTAAAGGGAAATGGATTTGGCGGTGATATCGTTATCTAATATCAATGCACTAACTTTGGATGGAAACATTGTGGCGTATGGATAACTTCCTGGATAAATAATATCTTCTTGGGTATAAAAAAGGATTTTTGAGGGAGATGCGTTCATAGTGAGAGCAACACGTTGCTGGAGATCACTATAAGTCGAGTTTTGTGGCATTTGGTAAACAGTATTGTTAACAATAATTTTAATTGGAACAATTAAGTGTTCTAATGCATTTGTTCCTGGTCGCATGCCAACACATGTCTTCATAGTATGCCCATGAAGCATAATCATTGCATTTTCTGGAAGAGATTTATGGATATTTTCTGCAATATCACAACCAACAACTTTTCGTGGAAGAGATTCTGTTAGCAAGAATACTGGTCCTGGATTAAGTGATTTCGGAAGGATAAAGAAGATGTTTGAATGACCTTTGACGATATAATTTTCTGCTTTTTCATTTAGATCAATAGGACCTAAGAATAAAGCATTGCCTGGGAATCTTATCCACACATAGTGATTTGCCTGATTGAAATCTGGTCTGATTCTTTTAATAACTTCTGAGATGGAATCTGATTTCGTACTCCATTCAAAGAAAGGAGTATTCGACAGGATTTCTGAACCCTTGATATTATCTGAAAAGATAAATCTGGAGAATAAACAGTTAGATCTGTAGGGAGCGAGAAATACAGGTACATCGTCTCCGGCATCAATAAATTGGTCGCAGTCATTTCGAACGTAGAACACTAAATAAGCAACAGGAGCTCCATAATTGAACAAAAAAGTGAAACTTGAATTTTGATCGTCGCGATTTCCGAAAGTTTGCTGAACTTCTGCAAAATCTACTTGCGTTACTGTTATATCATCGAATTTCATCCATTTCCCGCATAGTTTTATGTAAGAAATGTAATGACCACTTTCTGGGTTTCCGCAATGGGCCACAACTGCAAATAAATTGTACTCAGTCTCATCGTTATAAAAATCATCAACAAATTCTTTTAAATTTATCGTATTTGGACAATCAAATCTTGTTTTCACTTCTATTACTTTTCCTTCTGTACGACTGAACTTAAACCTGCATAAGTGTAATGCTAGAACAGGTGGAAGCTTCGTAAATGATCTTTTTTGTATAATATCTCCTTCATCGCTTGAAATTGTCTCAGGAGCTGTCATTAATGAGATACTTTCGATAACACTATGTAGGCTATCGACAACAAGTGGTAAAGTAAGTACTGATTCCTCAGTAATCTTGGTATTTTTATCTTTATCTGTAGTTGATACATTTATATTAACGCTCATCATAACTTTAATATTATTTCCGAATACTATGCCTAGTTCATGCTCCAGATTATCTAAAAGAGCTAAAAGAAATTCATGTGTATCTTGTTGAATTCTGGCTATTTCTGCAGCATTTCCAAGAGCACGAAGTAATTTATCTACTGTTGGAGGCTTCGAAGAAAGCTGTAATTCTACAAATAACTGTTGAATTGCGGATGTCAATTTTGGAGGTTGATTAAAACTGTAAATAAGCTGTCTAAATGCACCTAAATTGTATAGTATTTGCAATACTGCAGCCATATAGCATGTAGCTCCTGAGTTTCTAATGCCGACAAATCTTTCTTCGCGAGTATATGGATAAAATGGCGGCATTTGTATTTTAATGCTAATTTTTGATGGAGATGCATCATATTTAATTAAGCAAAATGGATTTCGCTTTGTAAATGTCGATCTTGTATTAATTTTTTTCTTATCTAAGTGAATTTTGATTTTTATGTCGAAGAATTCATCAAAGCTCCACTGAAGTGCTGAGCAGCAATATATAATAAGCGTTTCTGTTGGGGGATACAACAGACAAACAAACGCTTCTTTGTCCTGGATGAAAACTGGTGACATATACAAGCCTTCCTTTGTATGTGGTGTCTTTTCAATCACCCAGTCGAACTTTGTTTCATTACCCCCTCGCCGAAACGATGATTGAAAAGCACCCATCCCCAAAATTATTGATGGAGATTCCCCCAGTATAAAATAAAAATGTAAATCAGAAACTGTTTAATTAGCTGATAAAATCATTAAGTGACTCTAACTAATAAAAAGAGCAAAGCTCATAAAATAATTCAATAAATAATATTTCGTAACGCAGCTATTCCAATGAATGTATTGAACAACAGTAATTATTAGTTGACCATTTCCATTCCTTATTCCAGGAACATGCTTGACTTCAGAAAACAAATATTCAGAATTCCGATCAAAATAATATTCCCTTGACTCATTAAGTTCATAATACTCATTGTGGGACTTAATTGGACCTGATGGTATATAGGCATTTTTAGTCAAAGCCCAAGAACTACCACCTCCACAACCGCCATTGTAATGCAGACTTGCAAATCCACCGAACCAACCACCTCCTGTGCCGCACTTATCATATAACCCATATATATTTTGGACTCCATTAGGATTTTTTGAAGCACCAAATCGTGCAGCTTCTCCAGTTCCGAAAGTAAATCCGAACGACGAATTAGCCACGTATTGGCCGTTGTAACGAGATTCTGTCCACCAGCCTTGAGCAACAAGATTACCACCAGATCCACCTCTTCCATCATTAGCATTGATGTTATCAGACCCTCCTCCACCACCGCTCACAATCATGAGATGATAGAGGGTATTATTCAAAAATTTGACAGCGGTTTGCCCTCCACCACTTGCCGTCCCAGTTTTGTCTCCTGATGAGCTTCCTCCGCCACCATATCCGCCAGGAACCATGTTTTCCTTGAGAAAGTTGTTTTCTGCTTGTCCAGCTATATATTGTCCGCTTCCCCCAATAGTGGCATATATTTGTGTTGATTTCTTGATAGTGATAAGGCCGCTGACATAGCCACCTGCACCTCCGTAATCAAAAGATGGTAGGCATTTTGTGTTTCCGTTAAATTGCTTAACAACACTATCAGGAATACATTCACCAGATTCATTATGATAGGTAGAGACTTCATTGGTGGAACTTCCTCCTGATGCACCATACAATTCAAACTTGTAGATTCCAGGAGGTAGCTGAATAGAATAGTCAGTACATGAAGCAGAATCTTCACAAGGATAATCAAAAATGTACTTATTCTCTTGTTTCGAAACAGGAAGCTCAGCTTTTAATATAACACCGGGTTTATTGGCATCATACAATGAATATTGAATCATTTAAAGTGAGATTTATTATATTCTAGTATTTTCATCCTACTATTAATATTTGACTCTCAACTATTCGATGTGAATCCAGATTCAAAACATATATCATAGCTCTTAATTGTACATGAATCTTTCATGTTCTAAATCGCACAGGAAAAAATAATTAAGTGTATTTGTCTAATAAAAATAGTATTTCCCATAGCATTGTTATCAATATCTCCACCATTACTGTCTCAAATAAGCATGAAAGATGATATTTTCCAAAAATTCTACAGATTTTCGTCAAAAACCATTCATATCTTAAGCAAATAGTTTTGGTTGAGTTTGTAAATTCCAACTCTCGCATATTTCCAGATTTCACCAAATGTTAAGTATAACTTAGAGATGAGTTAAAATCAACATTTTGTATAACTTAGAGAATAGATAAAATCATGTTTCTAGTACTTTTGATACAGATTTAAACATCACAAGTGCTAATTAGATAAAATAATTCAATTCAAAATAGAGAAAACAAACCAAGCATGAAATAATATCATAATAAAACATTTTATAAAACACTATTATATTTAAAAGTTCAATGAAATAAAAAAATAATAAAAAATTAAAAAAAAATTAATCATGTTTTGTGAAAATTACGATAACTGAAAGGTTATCGTTAGAACCTCTATTAAATGCTTCATCTCTTACTTGTTTTGCAGCCTTTAGCGGAGAATCAGAGTTCCTTACTATTTCGGATGCTTCTTCATCAGATAAAACATCCCAAATTCCATCACACGCCATGATAACTCTGTCTCCAGGAACTAATCTCTCTTCCATGTACGATGGTTCCGTGTTCACGTAATCTTTGAACAAACCATCACCTAACGCTCTCGATACTTGTAATGAGCCCATTATTCGACCATTTATAACTTTTCCGCCTTTTTCTTCAACGTATTTTGTTTCTTCAGGCAAAGAAGCTCTATGGTCAACACTCATTCTTTGTGGTGTTTGTCGACACAAAACACATCGTGTGTCTCCTAAATTTGCAACCGATAAAATTCCGTTTACAAATGAACTGACCAAAACCGTTGTTCCACAAGTATAAAACTGTTTTGCCATAACGTTTTGTACTAATGGAAACATTACTTTATAGAAATTACCCTGGCATCTGTTGGATCTTATTGTATATGGTAATCTCTCAGAACAATAGTTTGATGCGCCATTTCCGCCATGTCCATCGAAAATTCCGAAACAATAGACATTAGGAGCTTCTTCTAAACAGAAATGTGCATCTTCCATTGTATCCCTGCGACCACACATGGCTGCAACACCATAAGACAATGGTCCAAGAATGCCACTTTTTTCTTGATGGTCATTTGTGAGTTTTCTTGTCAACAAAGGCTCGTAGTTTTGGATAATTGCTGCTTCTACGCGTGGTATTAATGATGGATCAAGTTTGTGCTCGATAACGAAAGAAGAAGCAACGACAAATGGTGAATCATTGTAATTTAAGTAAATTGTTTTCTGTTTTCCATTGCCAATATCGAAATCAAATCCAACATCGTATTGCTTGTCCTTGTATGTCAATTTTGTTCGCTGATGACGAAGCTTTCCGATGCGAATCCACTTTTGAGATTTCGAATATGTGACAATCCTTATGTCATTCTTATCTTTGATAGCGTACAATGTACCAGGAACAGCTTCTAAGGCATTCGTGTTCTCAGGAAGTGAATTTATTTTGGTAGATTGTAATGATGGAATCCAAAGTACAGTATTTGCTACTTCTTCAGCGAATTGCTTCTGTCTCTCTTGTGGAGCACGTCGAGTAATGTTGTGTGTGAACGTTCTGACGTATCCATCTTCAGTTGCAATTGCAAGATCTTGATTAGGGAGATAGACTTGGGCCCAGATAGTACTTTGAAGGGCAATGACATCTCTGATAACCCAATGCATCTTATCTACGATGAAAACGCAATGATCTTCACCGCCAATTACAATTTGATTTTGTTTCATGTTGAAATGGTAAATATACTCATTGGATATCTTAAGTGTACGCTTCTTTTTAATTTCCGAGCTGTTGACGATCCATTCTGTTAAAAATCCATCGTCTCCGATGGTATATAAACTTTTTGTTTGTTTATAGTATCGAACTTGGCGAATATTGATTTTATGAGCATGCTCTACTTTGCAGAGTATATTTCCATTGTCATCGACAAGTGTAATTGTGCAACTTTTTCCACAAGCGATATATCCGAAATCTGTTTGTGTTGCGCAGACTATTTGATCGTTTTCATGGTATATAGTTACTGTAGTTCCATCTGATGATGTCAATTTCAGCGTTTTATCCCAAGATGAGGATAAAACTTTTCCTGAATCTGTAATATAAGTGCAGCTTACAGTTGAATGATGAATATTTAATGTCCTAATTGGATTTATATCATTTTGGTCGCTAGCCAAATCTGATAATGCCCAAAATTTTATGAGACCATCAAAACCTGAAGTCAAGAAAACACCTTCTGGATATGTATTTGATGGTTCTTGCCAATATACAGATGAGAGACTTAGGGAATGCGCTTTCAATGATTTAACTTTGACTAATTCCGCCTGGTTGCATTTTATAATCGTTAAAAAGTCATTATAATCACCAACAGCTAGATAGCCTACTCCGGAATAGGTGAACGTCTTCATGCATCGAACGCTAGCGTCAGTCGCATGGATTTCGGAGGAAAGCGCGACTTTCACCTCCATCGTCCACCTTTTTCGAAGGTTATCGTCGTTTGAGCACAATCATCCTTGAATTTTGCTAGAGAAATGAGTTGTTTGTACTGTTTGTATCATACAATGAATATAATTACGTCTCGATTCGAAGAGAATTCACATTCCGAAAAATTCAGAAATAGACATTGATTATCCAAGCAATCGGATCTCGTTTTATTGTAAAATAATCCATTTCCAATATAAATCTTTATAAAATTAGATTTAATGTCTGTATATAAATTTCAATATTTTTGATTTTGATCATATTGAACTATGATCAAATATTTGAATTGTCAAGTACATTTATATGAAAAATATAGGAGCTAAACGGTCAGGTATCTGTTGAAAGTGAACAATTGAATTCACAATAAGTAAAAGGAGTAGAGTTAAAGAGAAATGATATAGACATTTTGAACAAGTAGATCTATCGTTCATTTAATATGCCATTTATTGACTTACTCTCAATTCAACTCAAATCAGAAAATTCAATAAATCATGCATTCTCTGCAATATAAAAATAATGTCGATACATTAGGCAAAATATCTGGATTTTGCCCTTTTGGATCCTAATAACTGATGCCTGCATTGAATTCGAAATTTTTTAGGTGGATGATTTATAAAATATATGTTACTAGATTTTGTGTGATAGTTCAGATTAGCTAAATTAATTTTTAACCTTTCTGATTCAGCCGATAATGATCTGATTTTGTTGAGGAGTTTGAATTTTATCAGTCTATTTATTGAAAATTAAAACAACTATAATAATAAACTCTAAACTTGTAATAATTATAAATTAAATTCGAACATTCTCAATTTTTGTGAAAGAAATATCTGGAAAATTTGAGTAAAACCGTAAACAATTTCAATTGATGGATAATAATAAGTTATGCTATATACACATTGCTTAACAAACTTGATTCACTTCGCGCTTTACAATTTTGAAAGAATCGTTTTTAAAATACATCAATATCGAAGGATTATATTCACATGTGATAAATTAATCGACTTCAAATAACATGTTTTGACTGTGAAATTTCAAAATTTGTAAAGATGCAATGTACAAAAAATTAAATAACTTTCCTACCTTAATATTTTTAAGAACAATTCAAAATCGGAAGTGAATTCAATGAGATGTCAAAAATTTGACTGCGTGTGAATATGATATCATTTAACAATCGTCGAATTCTTATATGGAATGTTTTTTAAATATTCTATTCAATTCTAAATTTTGACAATCTTTACAATGGAAGAATCTAGTGATCATGATGATATGACCGGAGAATTTTATAAGAAAGGTTCAAAATATGGCTTTTGGCACAAGAGGTTCTGTGTTCTCAGAATCCAAGACATGAAGCTTTTGGTTTATATTGACAAAGAAAAAACAAAATTGGACAGAGCTATTACAATTACTTCAGATACAGAATGTATTCTGGATGATGATCATAAGCATCCGAGTTTTACTATCAGCGGTAACAATATAAAATCTATTAGATTAAGTACAGACGATTTGGGCATTGTTAACAGCTGGGTAACTACAATAAGAACAATCACAATGCAAACACCGCAACTTTCGATGAATGATTTTAAAGTTATATCAGTAATTGGCAGAGGTTTTTACGGTAAAGTAACTTTATGCGAATTAAAGAAAACGCATGATGTTTATGCAATTAAATCAGTCCATAAAAGCAGATTGCTCAAAGAACACAAGAGTTCAACAGTTATTACCGAACGAAATATTTTAATGCACATAGATCACCCATTTATTGTCCATATTTATTTCGCATTTCAAACATCTTCAAAAGTATACATGGGATTTGAGTATATTCCCGGCGGAGATCTCGCTTTTCATCTCAATAATACTTCGAAATTTACTTTCAACGATATTAAACTTTTTATCGCCGAACTTGCTCTAGCCATTGACTACATTCACCAGAGGAAGATAGTTTATCGCGATTTAAAGCCAGAAAATATTTTAATAGATGAAGAAGGTCATCTCAAGCTAACTGACTTCGGATTAGTCAAAAATATTGCTTACTCCAATGGAACAAAGTCGTTTTGCGGCACACCAGAGTATATCGCCCCTGAAGTAATCCGTGGAGAAAAATACGGTACAAAAATCGACTGGTGGGCATTGGGAATACTTGCTTTCAATTTATTATATGGAAAAACACCATGGAATGATGAAAATCAGGATAAATTATTTAATATGATTTTAAATGACAAAATAATTTTCCCTGATAACGCCAAACCTAATGAAATCGACCTTATCACTCATCTCCTTAACAAAGATCCGTCACAAAGAAAAGATATGAAATATTTAGTTCATCATCCTTTCTTTGAAGGTTTAGATTTCAATTCTGTCCTTGAAATGAAGTACCAACATGATTTCAGACCAATTATTATCAATCTCAACGTTGCTACTAATTTTGACAGAGAATTTCTTGATGAACCGATCATAGATTCCCTTGGAACACCCGTCCAACAGGAAATGAATGCGTTCGATGGATTTTCTTTCGTCGCCGATCCGAAAGAAGACATCACGAAGTATAATTACCAGTACGAGCTTCCATCTGCCTCTGTTAAATCTTCGACAATCGAAGAATAATTTTTGTTATATTTATTTTTATTGTTTGTTTATAAAGATTTTCGAAAATTGCTAATTTTTTTGTTTTATGGTATTTTAACGAAGGAACCAATGTTTACAATAGTTTCACATTTATTCTAAAGAATTTAAAATCGCTTAATCAATGAAAAAGAGAGATCTCGATCAAAATTATCGTTAAAAATTCTCGAATGCTTCTGCAGAATGAAATTAAAGCGCTGGAAGAAGAAATAAATGGTGTTCAAAGATTGGAACTTCAAAAGAGACATTTTGATTCAAATGCTACAGAATGATATTAAAGTACTGGTAGAAGAAGCAAACAATAATGTTAATTTTTTCAAGGATTTCTAAAGTACTTGTGAATTTTTGATTTTTTGTTTGAATAAAATTTCATATTTTTTCGAATTTCTTTCAGATCCAAAAATATCTAAACTAATTAAACACAAAGTATATAAACTTATGATTTATCAAGTATAAACAACAAGAATAAAAGAAATTAAGAAATTTCAATTTTCCAGCAATTCTTTATCAAGCATTGCCACCTGGTTTTGAAGTTCCAATCTCTGAGCATTATTTGTTTCTTCTTCCAGTGCTTTAATTTCATTTTGCAGCTTTTGAATTTCTTTATCTTCATAATTTAAAGAAGTTCCTTCTTCTGATTTGCAGTACTGAATAAAAGCGTTGCTGATCTCTTTCATACGTGATTTGATGACTAATTCCTTCAAAAAGTCACGCATTAAGTTAGAAGAACGCAATGATACTAATTTTACAATTTTCTGTTGGATTTCATCGCATTTAGCTTTCGATAGAGTTACTCTATTGTCAACATCAGTAAGATGCTGTTGAAAAAGATTTAAAATTAAAATATTTCTTTCTTTTGCAACTTCTACTGAAGATTGTATGGATTTGAAAGCTTGCACTTTTTTCTTTAGTTTGTTTTGATATAATTCTAAGTCTTCTTTTTGATTCTTTTCAACAGTCATGAAATATTTTGCAAATTTCTTTTTTGCTTTACGAATGTAGAAAATAATTTCATCACGGGAATCTTCAACATCCAGTTTCATCTTTTCCAAGCGTTTTGCAAAGAATTTCGTGTAAGCTTTTGCATCGGACAATTGATCATAAAAAACTCTACTTCTTTTTGATTCTTTGAGTGTAATTCGTTGTTTCTTATATGTGTCTTCTAATGTTTCTGATTTCGATGAGACATCATTATATTTTGTTGTTAAATCAAGCATATATTGCCTGAACATCTTTGGAGCATTGATATCTTCAAATATTTGATTCGAGTATAGTTATTTAACATAACTGACTGCATCACTTGTCTCTTTTTCTAAAAAAAGTAATTGTTTTGCTTCTGATTGTGTTGAAACATGGTCAGTTTGCAATTTTTCCATTAATTTATGCTTTAAGTCATCTAATTCTTTGTCTAAACTCTCGTACTCTGATTCAAGTTTTGATAATTTCTCTTCGCTCATTTTTCTGACTATTTTTGAAAACATTCTGATTACTTCTTACATCAAAGAAAAACAAATTTAAAAAAAATGCTCAGGGTAAACTTTCCACTTTTTGACATGCTATCATAGTGTCACTTTTAGTTTACATCAAAATCTTCTCAAGAAGATTTTTAAAATCCGAAACTTAAAATCATCTTCCAAATCGGCAATCCTGAGATACATTTGAAAAACTATTCTTGACAAGCAGTCCAGCATTTCGATGTGAATTATGGGATTATTATATATATTGCTATAAGGAATAAATTTAACTGCTTAAAATCGAATTTTGAGCATGATTTATTTTTGAAATTATTTGATCATTGAATTTTCGGCGATTTAAATGGATCAATCCGCAATATAACACAAGTTGATAAATGCTATTAGTTTAAAAACGATTAACAATTGCAACTTAAAATGAAATTTAGATAGACGACTAAAAAAATATTTTTAGTCTTATATATATAGCGCATCTATCGGCGCGCGGCTTCGCCGCGCGCCGATATAAGCTGACTAGATTTTCACATCACTTTTAATTTTCAATAATGATAAGCTGACTAGATTTTCACATCACTTTTAATTTTCAGTAATGACAAATTTGAAAGGAGTTGGAGAGGTTTGGCATGAAAAGTTGCTGTTAGAAGCAATGGAAAATGAGGGCTTCAATGAAAAATACTGTGAAGCATATAAATGGTTATCTTCATATTATGGCAATATTCAATTTCCTGCTTTGAGAACAATATGTACAGCAATAGCAGATCATTTATCTATTCCCATTGCTAGAGAGTTTTACAGAAGAAAGAAAACATGTTATTATTGGTTGCATACAAATTTCGAAACAATAAAACGCAATTTAAAAGGTACAACTAAAATTGATGTTTATGATGGAACATCTATTATTATTCCTGCATTCCCTTCTCTAGAACTATGATAACAAAACATGGTTAACGTATCTTCAAATTCTAGTTAGTCACTTCGCTTTTTCATATCGTTTATTCTTTTTTTCTAGATAAAGTTTATTTTTTTTGAAGAAATATGTATTCTGTAAACGTATGTAAATATTTCTAATAGGTATGTAATTTTTAATAATATATACAAACAAACATAAAAAAAATTAAAAAATTAAAAATTTCAATCGGAAGAAATTGAAAGATCAAAGTCACTAGATGAATTTTGAGTCTTCTTTTTCTTTACGGGAGGTCTCTGTTTCTGAGAAACTCTTCTTCCTTGTGATTGTGTCTTAATTCCGAGTAATTGGTTCAAAGGAATGCGAGTTAAGTCATTTACTTCTTCTGGAGTGTCACTGGACTCAACAATAAAGTTTTTTCCTTCATCGGAAGAACTTTCTGATGAATAAACATGAGAAGATTCTTCAAAATTAGATTTCGGAATTTGTAATTCTTCATTTTCTGATTTATCTTCATTGTCAGATACTGCGAGGTGGTTTAATACTTTTTCTGGAGGACAAAATGTAACTTCATTGTCACTTTCAACGAAATCTGATGATTCACTAATAAATATGAAACTTTCATCATCAGAAGATTGTTTCTTTTTATAATTGTCCTTTTTTATGAACTCTTCTAACTGTTTTGTTGAATAAATCCTCAAAATTTCATCATTATTTTTTTGATTAGGTTTTTCGTCGTCATCCATTGGAGGAATAGGCACATCTGAGTCATCTGATACCATATGTTGTATTTCTTGATCAGAAATCTTTGTTGGAACAAAATTATTTTCTAAATTATTTTTTTCCTCTTCATTATCACTTGACAAGTAATTTATTGGATTTATTATTTCATTTTCAGGTGATTTTTCAAGTTTTTCAGAAAATTTTTGCATTTCATCGTAAGATTTTCTTAAACTTGAGACATCTGCGTGAGGAAGGTTATCAGAAGCCAATAGATTACTTCGAATAGAAATTTCGGACTCTTTGACTTCTTTTTCTATGTCAATTTTGTCTGGTTTCATAAATAAATCGTCATCAGAAGAAGAAGTCGAAGAATCCATTTTAAAGCCAAACACCAGTTCACTTATTGTCTTTTTCCTTGGTTCTTCTAATTCTTTCTGAGAGACCAACTTCTGAGATTCGATCGGAAAAGAAGATTTCATCTGATAAGGCGTCGGAGGGGTCAACGTTGTTGTCTGGTTATCAGACTGTGAAGATGTAGTTGGTTGTGTGCTAGAAGAACTCTGTAATGCAAATAATTGTTGACTTTGAGAGGAAATTTTGCATTCAAAAATTTGAGAGGAAATTTTTGTAAAAAGTGACGTTTCGGAAGAATGAGGAATTATAGAAAAAATATTTTCATTTGATTGTAGGTTAGAATGGGAAAACAAAGACAAAGGCTTATAGATTAAGTCAGGTCCATGTCTTTGATCCAATTCGGCTAATTCATCCGTTGTCAATGTTTTTCTTTTTATATTATTTTTTGATTTTTTTTCTGATGTCAAATCTTGAATTTCCTCTTTATTTTTAATTGTTCTCTCGACGATTTCCAGGTCGAAAGGATTCATTACAGGGCAATCCTTGTAGAACACGAAATCCTTCATCTGTCGCCTCAACAATGAACACACTTGGTTATTCGCGTGTTCCGAGTCAGCACTCAAATTTTTCTGAGCATCAGAAAGTAAAAAAATGACTTTTCCATCTCTTTTTCTTCCCGTTCTTCCCATCCTTTGTATTGTCCTTGTAATTGATTTTTGCACATCGTAGCAAATGATCAGATCTACTTCCCCTATATCCAGACCTTCTTCGCCTATTGCTGTTGCTACTAACACATTGTATATCCCTCTGCGAAATGACTGTATCAAGTTAATCTGCCTCGATTGATTCAGACCCTTAGTTCCACCTGAATTTGATTGGCCAATGAATTCTGACACTTTTACGATAGATTTTGACGATAGAGCGGTTACTATGTCTTGAACAATATTTCTGAAGTTACAGAAGATGATTATACGACTTTCCTTTGTTGCTTCGAGGAAATCGACCACTATTTCACATAGTTTTTCCATTTTCGGATCAATTTGGCGTTGCTTTTGTGCTGCAGACAAAATTGGCTGGAGATCTGAGACAAGATCAACATCTCGTGTTGATTTGTCTGTAATGAACTCTGTGACAGCATCAACAAACGTTTTTATGGAATAATTTTGTAAATATTCCCGAAATTTTAGTAATTTCATCGTAGAAATCATGACTCCGACTCCTTCATTGGCGTTTCTGTTCTTCATGAGTAACCCTATTTGTCCTTTGGTCGTTCTCGTTGGATCTGTGTGAGGAACTAAATTATCTTTGGATAATACTTGTAAATATCGCTTAATTACTGTATTTATACGCGCAATGAGTTCATCAACGCCTGCTGCATTGGGAACAACAACTGTTTCGATGTCTCTCGTCTTTACATATTGTTTATATTCATCTTCTTCGCGATATTGTATTTTTGAGATGAATAAACCGTAAATTACGTCTTGTATAATGTCCTTATCGCTACCTGGAGTCGCACTGAGTCCGATTACTCTAAAAAATTTTGTATATTCTGCAATTCCTGAAACAACTTTACAATATGAGTGGTCACCTGTTGCATGATGGGCTTCATCTATCACAACCAATACAATTTGGCTCGCTGGACATGTTCCTTTCTCTAAATCTTTTTGTACTGTTTGAGGAGTTGCAAAAATAACACGAGCTTTGTTCCACAATTGTGGTCTTATACGTGGTTCTACTGATCCTGTAAGTTCTATGATTTCTGATTTGTCTATTTGTAAAATATCTCTAATTCCTGCCATTTGTTGAGTAACAAGTGGTCTAGATGTTGCTAAGAATAGTATTTTCCCTTTTGGAAACCATCTGTAGAAATTTAATATAACCATTGCCGAAATAAATGTTTTTCCTAAACCAGTTGGTATGACAACCAGTGTATTTTCTTTAACAGATGCTAATGATATGTCGAATTGGTAATCACGCTTTGAAAAATTTGTAATATATAAAAAGCTTTTTGCCATATGAAGATCTATTTCTGGATACGGAAGACCTTTAGATCTTTTTGTCTCTGTTGGTGGAAAGTCTTCTTTATGTACTACTGGTTGGACTTGAAAGTGACTAGGGTACCCGCGATTTGCCTTGTGGATCATCACAGGTACCCTAGCAAAAATAAAAATGGACTATTTTCTTGTTATATTTGAGGAACTGTTTGTATTATATAAATAAATTTCATAATATTGATGTGTTGTGATAATTGTTTTCTCAAAATTCAAATTGGAAAAATGATATTAGCGTTATTTTTGGTGAATAATGTTATCTTAGCTGTTAACAAATTATTTTCAATACAAATTGATCTCTAAAAATCTATATTTTTCCATTTGGAAAATAATTCTATATTTTGATATCTTTATCATACAATTTCATTAGTTTTGTAGGTTAGATAAACTATTGTAGTAATAAATTCTACTATTATTGAAGATTCAATTTGGGCGATAAAACTAATAGCATATTAAGTCTCCAAATTGCGGTATCATATGTACTATTAGTAGTTTATTTGATTTGTTTTATTCTATACCTATAAAAATGAGTGGGGGACAAACTCGCCCATTGTCACTTTTTCATTAACCTTAAACTTGTAATTTTCATTATTTTTAATTAACCTTATTTCTTTCCCAATTCCTGATTTATTTTATTCACTTACTATTAAAAGTCACATTTTAATAAAATATAATAATTTATTTATAGCATTTTTTACTATACTGTTGTTGTAAACAGAAATTCATCAAAAGTGACACCTCAGAAAAGCTAAAATATTGAATTTTTGGAACTTTTGATAGAGCACGTTTTTAAATATTAATTTAAGTAATGTATATTTTGTAAAGATTCTTTTTAATAAAAAAATAAAATTTTGAAGAAGAACACAAAATCTTCTGAAAAATAATATCACATAAACTCATATTATTTTCTAATATATAACTATTTTATATAAAAATCAAATTCAATGATCTTAAAAGCGAAGGATAAACCTCAAAATTTACGAATATAATGAGTGGGAATATAATGCTTATCTATCATAAAACCATATGAAATATTCCCACTCATTATATTCGTAAATTTTGAGGTTTATTCTTCGCTTTTAAGATCATTGAATTTGATTTTTATATAAAATAGTTATATATTAGAAAATAATATGAGTTTATGTGATATTCTTTTTCAGAAGATTTCATTCTATATGCCTATGAAAAGTACTCTCAAAACTAACTTTTCCTAATTATAATTAAATCTAGAATATTGTATTATGCTTAGTATTATTTCATTTTTCTCATTCAATTTAGAATTTACAAATGTCAAAAAATTGAGAGCTGTCACTTTTGATGAATTTCTGTTTATTACACTGTAATAAAAAATTAATTATAATAAATTAAATGTTTATTAAATCAAATGTTTTCTTTGCAATAATATTTTTAATGTTGAGTAAACAATGTTGGGATCAAGTGTATCATTTTTCAGACCTTTCTGAACAGTTTCAAGCATACTGATGCATTCGACTTTTTTAAATTGTGTCATTTCTTCGAAATCTCTTGTGACTTTTTTGATAACTTTAACACTTCTCTCTGAATCCAGACCTTTAATTTGCAACTTAATCAGGAATGAAGGAACAACACTGGAATATAACTCGATGACAAGTTCATCGAGTCGAAGATTTGGTTGTACACCACTTGTATGTGCCGGATACCATTGTGTCAAATTTTTTCTGAAATTAACTTTAAAAGTACTAAGTAAGATCATGAGATATAGCAATATATGTTTAAACCAACTTATATTTTGGTTGTACACCACTTGTATGTGCCGGATACCATTGTGTCAAATTTTTTCTGAAATTAACTTTAAAAGTACTAAGTAAGATCATGAGATATAGCAATATATGTTTAAACCAACTTATATTTTGGTTGTACACCACTTGTATGTGCCGGATACCATTGTGTCAATTTTTTTCTGAAATTAACTTTAAAAGTACTAAGTAAGATCATTTATTTTTGCATAATATAATGCCAATATGGTTTCTTTTGATTTTATTTCATTTATAAGCAAATCAGATTTACCCAAAAACTCCACTCCATAAGCGTTCATTTGCTAAATTAAAAAGTGACAATGGGCTAGTCTGTCCCTTTCTCCTATAAAAATCTAATTTGTAATTGGAGTTACAATTATCATGTTAGAATGATGAATCAAGTTGTTGAATCGTAAATATTTGTTTTGTACATTAGTTTACTAATGTTATATAATGGCAAATAGCGAATTTTACGATTTCATAAACGACTTTTCAGAGAATCAATCAATCTGGAACTGCAAACTCGAACATCTATCCAATTTTGGGCAATTTTTCCAATACGTAAAAGCATAGAAACAGTTTTGTTCAAATCGCGAATAAATTTGAAAGCTCTATCAAATTTTATATGCTAAAATATGTAAGAAGAAACAATATGAAACGAATAATGATTAAACACCATAAAATTTTGAAATGATAATTTCGCACACGTTTAAAATTTTGTTTTAGATCCATGATTACACTGCTTTTTACTGTTTTAACATACTCAGATGAAGTTTGTCTTGTTGGTACACAAGCAAATAAAGATCTTTGTCCAACAAGATTAACAAATCGCATGACTTTTAGCGAAGTTCCGGATTCAATATTGCAAACTGCAACTACATTTGTAATTTGTGGTGAAGTTACTCAGACAAATCAAGGAGATGTATCAAGTACAGCAACATCTCCTGTGGTAAGTTTAATATTAAGATCATCTCAACTCGCAAAAACTCAAAATTCAGAAATGCCGCTTCTCACATTTACATCAATGCAAGATACAAGACAGAAGATTCTGTTGTCCGATGTTTCTGATAGTACAAAAGCTAAATGCGCTTTTATTAATATCGACTTTCTTCAAGGACAAACGCGTTTATTTTCATTTCTCGATTTAACTTTTGTCGGATCTCTTTGTACAAATACAGTGACAACAGCCAGTCTGGTTGTTGAAAGAACGCTAAACACAGATATCTGTTCAATTACATGCTGGCAGATTTTACAATCACAGCCATCTGCCCAAGTCAGTATAATTCTTAATTCTGAGAATGAAATCGAAAACGCAGCTTCAAGCTCTGCATCTTTTAGTGTGAATTTCAGAGCAAGTGTTTCGATCTTGAATGCTCATCAATTTAAGGAAATCATACTATCACAAGGATCAACAAACATTGATCTTACAGTTGTTTCTACTAATGATATAGAATTCACAATTACCGGAATTTTATACTTTGATGATTGCAGCATTGATGTATATTTCGGCAATGTCATAACTACGCCAGCAATATTCAACTTTGTTTCAACAAGAGCATATACAAAAACAACATTTCCAAGAATTAAATTTGAAACAACAAGCGATACCACAATAAGCATCAATGGTGAATGGACTCTTGCCAAAGATTCCATTCAATCAATGATTGACTCAAGATTGAAAGCTATTATTGCTCATCAAACAAAATTAATTCTTCAGACATCGAGTTTTAGACCCCAGATTACTCATACAGCCGGAAACCTAACTTTCCAACTTGGAACATCAACATGCCTAATTCCACAGCAACTCATCGAGAGATCAACAACAGATTGCTTTTTAATTTTCACTCCATCAGGAAGTCTCAATTTTGCAAAGGGTATAACATTATCAACAACTAAAACTCAGTTAGAATTTACTAACCCACAAGAATTTACTCTTACAATCGGAACAATTGATACAACTCAACTTGGATCTTTTACTTATTTCCCGTTCAAATTCAAAATGTATAGAAGTAGTATAGGAAGAATCAGTTTTCCAACAATCCAGCTTACAAATGTTGAAACGCCGCTGTTAACCGCAAGTAATTATATTATTATTGATCCAGACGTTGCAACATTCCCAACTTTAACACAAAATGAAGTGCAAAGAATGACACCAGATGCTGCACAAAGTTAGTATGGTTATGTTGGGTATGGTGGCACTGCGTTTCACTTTACCCAATACTTGTGAATTTGACACTTTACAAAACCGTTAACGTGTATTTTACAACACAAACGACAACACTAACTTAACCTTAAATATTTACAAAGCCGCCAACCACTTCACTTCACTAACGAACTCACTAATGTAAAAATAAACGTTCTCACTATCGTTCTCACTAACAACTTCACTAATGTTCTCATAAATTTTCCTCAATATCTTCATCATCAGTGTTAACCCTATTGTAGTCATACTTGAAGCCATAAACTTTCTCTAACTTCTTAACGTACAATTTACATAACTTACCTTCGTCATCGTATGGTTTAATGATATAACTATTTCTATCTTTATAAACAGTCAATGAAAAGTCAACTGGTCTCGGATGTATTTGAAAGAACATGTTATGCTCAGGAAGGAAGAATAAATGTTTAAATGTATGTTTGTTATATGTTTTGATTTGTATGAGTTGCTTTTGTTCTGTCATTACATCCAAATAAAATAAAAATAAAATAAAAAATAAACTTAAAAAATAATGATATCACCACCCGCACACGTATGAAAACATAGCACAAAAATAAATTTAGGGTAGAAGGTTAGATCTAACCCGATATCTAACCTCTTTTCTAACCTGTTGAATTCATTGCTTTATAACTCTCTTCCTTTCTCCAACTCTTCTAACTTCTTCTTAAGTTCAGCAATGTTGTCCTCATGAAGTTTAATCTTCCTTAATATACCTTCTCTATCTAATGGTTGCTTTATCTTTCTAAACTGAACTCTACCATCCTTCATAGTATGAATGTAAAAACCTTCTGGAATAGTTCCTGATTTAATGTATTCTACCAAAAACTTTTGTTTCATTGCTTCAGTGACTTTAGTCGTCATTTCAATCAAATAAAATTTTTAATATTAAATAAAAATAACGTTATTTTTTCAGTAAGGAAACGCAGGAGTTTTACGATTTATTTGAGGAGTAGGTTCTGGTTTAAATGTTG